CGTCTGATGCAGAATGTAAATCATTCGGTCCAAAAGGATATGACGGGACGGGCTTATACAACCAAAATATTCTTGGTGCATTTGTTTTTTTCCGCACGCTGTTGGGATGAAAAAAATGCTTTCAACAAAAAGTGGTGACGGAATACTGAAGATCTCCCCATTCATCTCGAGCTCCTTTGGTCCCATTTAGTTGGAAAACCACTGGAATAACCCAATGAATCAATTCATCTTTAATGGAAGCTCCTCTCCTCTTCTCTTCTTTCCTCTCCTGTCCCCTCCTTTCCTTTCCTCTCCTCTCCCCTTCTTTCCTCTCCTCTCATCTCCCCTCCTCTCCTCTTCTTTCCTCTCCTGTCCCCTCCTTTCCTCTCCACTCCCCTTCTTTCCTCTCCTCTCCTCTCCCCTCCTATCCTCTTCTTTCCTCTCCTGTCCCCTCCTTTCCTCTTCTTTCCTCTCCTGTCCCCTCCTTTCCTCTCCTCTCCTCTTCTCTCCTGTCCCCTCCTTTCCTTTCCTCTCCTCTCTCCCCTTCTCTACTCTCCTTTCCTCTCCTCTTCTTTCCTCTCCTGTCCCCTCCTTTCCTCTCCATTCCTTTCATCTCCTCTTTTCTCCTGTCCCCTCCTTTCCTCTCCCCTTCTCTCCTCTTCTTTCCTCTCCTGTCCCCTCCTTTCCTCTCCTCTCCCCTTCTCTCCTCTTCTCTCCTCTCCTCTTCTTTCCTCTCCTGTCCCCTCCTTTCCTCTCCCCTCCCCTTCTCTCCTCCTTTCCTCTCCAGTTCCAAAGACTAAAACACCAAGAACGCCCTGAAACGCCATTTGGCGCCGCTGACCAACTTCCCCTCCGCGCTGCATGAACTGTCAACACAGATAACGGCCATAAAACCTCCGCGTTGACAGATATTGTTTGAAATGGAGAACTAAACGCTGTAACGGCGAGAATATACTGCGAGGGCAGACGAGGCAACGCCGAGCAATTAACGGAGCGATACGGAACATGAAGCTTTTATTGACAGCCCTCTCTCTTCGTGTGTGTGTGTGTGTGTGTGTGTGTGTGTGTGTGTGTGTGCGTGTGTGTGCATACTGACCGGTGAAGAGGTCTCCGTTGCTGTAGGCCTTGCCGTGTCCCTCCTCATCGCTGGGCACGGCCGACACCTGCTTGGCCGAGGTGCAGCCCATGGCCTCACACCCTGAGGCCTCTCGTCATCTCACGCTCACCTGGACGAGGACGAGAGAGACAAGACGCCGCGTCCATTTAGATGCGCTTCTTCAGAACAGCACGCGAATCGCCGCCGCCGCCGGAAAGCGCCTTTTCCTTCCACCGCCTTCACTCCCGGCGTTCAGGAGGCCACGAACGCAGGTTGAGTCATAACATGAATCGGGAAGAGAGCGATGCGGATTATTTCGGACGGGGCTAAATAAAGCGACGGGCATTATTGGTGGAGAGGTTGATTATACTAGACTACCTGGTCAGAAGTAGGCCTGCAAATAAATACATACGAGACATTATGCAATAGCATTGAATACCTTTGGGATTTATCAATCAACTGGTGTTACATTTAAAAAAATATTAATATATATATATATATATATATTATATATATATACACACGTAGACAAAAGCCTGACATTATTTGTGGTTTTATGTGATGAACTACCTGCAACAAATAATAGAACATTCTATTAACCCCCTGAAGAAGTCTGTAGGGGGAATGTGTGCTGCAGACAAAGAGCCAAAGCCTCGAAACGCTCCAGGATTCACTCCCGAGGGAAATATCTGTCTCATTAGCAGCTAAACGCTTCATTATGTTCACCGGCTCGTCTCTGTCTGCGTGTGCCGGGAAGCTCGTGTGCGGCGGCGTTCATGGCGGCTCGCTTGGCTTCAGAAGGCCGCCCGCCGGGGTTGAAGAAACAAAACCCCCCCAAAAAACGTCTCCGTAGTTGTCGATAGACACGTCGCCGCGGGCGACAACTTCTCGTCCTTTCAAGCGACAAAACTCTCTCCCCGCCTCTTTCCCTCGATTAACTCAACGCCGCTTCTAAAGTGATTGAAACGTTGAAGCGTCCTTCACCCAAGCAGCTCCCTCTTACCACCACGAGTGTGAGAATGAAAGTCAGGTTGCCGTTGGCAACCATCGGAGGAGTCGGTCAACCAAACCGTGCGACCCGAAATAGAAATTGCGATATTTGATATTTACATATGAAGGGTTCACTTTCCGGGACAACGGGGAGGCGAGTGGAGTTGACTGCACACGCGCACACACACACACACACACACACACACACACACATCACACGGAAGCCAATGATTGCCGATCACTTTAATGAAAACCGGAGGTCGGGTACATCGGTGAGAAGAGGAGGAGAGCCGAGTGGGCTGGACAGGCTTTAGAAAAGGACAAAGACAAAGGTGGGGAAAATAATGGCAAAAATAGGTGGGAAGCCGAGTGGGCTGGACAGGCTTTAGAAAAGGACAAAGACAAAGGTGGGAAAATAATGGCAAAAATAGGTGGGATAGAAAGGGGCCCGAGAGAGCTCCAGAGGACCGCCGCCGCCCCCCCCCCCCCTCCTTCAGCCGTCCTGGGGCCGTTTGAAGTGGACACGCTGCACCTGAGCGGCCTCCGTCACCCGGGACACGGACGCCGAGAATACACGGTGGTTGATTACAGGAAGAGCTCACGGTCAGTCTGATCATGGTTTGAGTTTCCATGCCAGACGTCTCTACGCTGCCAGACGAGACTCTTTTTATAGGAAACGCTGCTATTTGAAAGTGTGGAAAACTGTTTGTCTAAAACTCGCTCTGCCGTCCGCTGCCAAGAACCAAAACAGAACTGGAACTTTCAAGCAGCCGCGGCTGTCAACACTCATGATTATTAAAAGTCCGATTCCAGATGTACTTCCACATGAGTTCAACGCAGAGACACATTTCACATGACGTGTTTTTTTTTTTCCACAGACTTTGGGTGGACTCATGAATGACCGTAAACACACAATACAGGACTCATCCTGGGAATGTAAATAAAGCAGGCGAGCCAGTTCTTGTTGTTATCACGGGAGGGAACAGACAGGATCGTCTTGACACCAAAGAAGTCGAGTGAGGCCGGAGGCGGTTTGGGATTCGGCACCACGGGGGGGGGGCGAATTTTTTAATAAAAGTCTGCTTCCTTCTCAAAATGGAGGCGCCTTAAGCCAACAAATCCGAACGAGAAGTACGTTAATGAAAGGAACCGTGATCGTAGTTTAGGATTTATTCATGTGTGTTAAAATGTCATAATCAGATGTATAAATACAAGTCTTGTGTGTATATTAAGCATCCTTTTATATACTGCTGTGAATCAGTGGTGTGTGTGTGTGTGTGTGTGCAGTAGAGGATGACGGAACCTTTACGAGAAGCTCTTTCTCAACTCTCCAGGTACCACGTGTCATCCACGGAGCCGGACCACAGCTTACAAATGGATCCCTCAAAAAGGGCCGACAGGTGAGAGGAGGCTTTCGCCGCGAATCGAGACGCCCACACACACACACACACACACAGGTTGTGTGTGGTGTCACCCGAGGCCGCAGCGTGTGTCCCGGTGTATAAAGCAGCTTATCGGAATGTTCCAGGCAGCCTGGGAAACCGCTCCCTTACTACAACTACGGCTCACACACACACACACACACACACACACACACACACACACAGGTCTTGGTGCGGCCTCGGGCACATTGTGTCTGGCGACAGCGTTTCAATGATAATCTCCTCCGGCGTAAGGGAGTGGAGAGGGAGGATTCCTCACCGCCGAGGACGAGGTTGCACACCCGGGAACGTCTGGGTCGCTGGTCGTCCGTCAGAGAGTCAAAGCAGCAAAGACCAAAGGAGCCGCTGCGTTCGTGCAGAGCTGAAGAAGCGCAGATGTTCGGTTAGCAAAGAGTTTCCCCTCCCGAAACGCACGGTGACATTTTGCCTTGATGGACTTTCAAAAAGGATCTGAGTGGGCGGCATCTGTTCGGAGGGCTCTGATTTGTGTGTATTGAAGAAAAAAAATAAAATAAAATTGCGAGTCGGCGCAGGCTAAAAATAGCCCCCGCCGTCCCAGGGCCATTGTTGTGTGCAGGGATAATGCCAGGCTGCGGCAATCCTGTGAACCAAACTGCTGTCACTTGGGTCGAACACATGAGCTACGGCCGGTAGGGCGACTCTCACACAGCCGAACACGGCCAGAAATAAACCACCGCGGCCCGTTAGAAGGCTGAGGTTGGGCGCTTGCTTCAACAGCACACAAATCACTGGTTGAAGAGAGACAGTTTTACGACGGTGTGTCTTTTTACACTCAGGAGATCCTGTTCGTATCGTTTTTTGGGGGGGGATGCTTGGCTCGAAAGATGTTATGTATTAATAGAGAAAAAGTCCAAAATGTGATGCGTCAAAAAGGCACATTAACCAAAAAGACACTTTGCATCCCAACCGAGAAAAGGAAACAACAAAACGAAGAAAAACTGAAATGGTTTAAAAGGGTACACAACTTTTGCATCGCTTGCCATAGAACTCGCACTCTTAAAGCACACAAACGGCTTCGTACGGTTACGCTTCCCAAAGAGCCCCCATCACTGACCACAGCGGGGCGTAGACACGGAAGTGTGTCAATGGGACAGGCTTAGTGTGCTGAGTCAGCTAAGACCCTCACACCAGCCAATGACCTCTCGCCCCCCCCCCGTGTGTGTGTCTCTCTGGCACACACACACACACACACACACGCACGCTGAGCCGGCATGATCTGATAAACATTGCCTCGTCTGAAAGGGGATAAGGGGTCTTAACACCAACTGGCACGCGACCACCTCAGGATTCCACGCAACTCGCTTCCAGATGCTCAGCATTCATCGCCGGGGGGGGGGCGCAAATACTCGCCGGAGCGAAAGCGGCGGCCTGATTTAGAGTTTGTAAATAATGCCGCGATGTCGGCCGTCGTCTCGTAGCTAAAAGGGGGCGGGGCGGGGCGGGGCGGGGCGGGGCCTCCAGACGGCGTTTCGCCCCGTTAGCAACCTTAAAGTGTGTCTAACCGATGACATAAGCCTCTGCCCTCGGTTCAAGGCGTGCTGAGGCCCCCAAAAAGGGAGCGACGCGTGGCGGATGACCAAGCCTTTGAAATGAGTGCGACTTGGCAAACACGCAGGCCTGCCCGTGCCTGCATGCCGGGAGCTGGGCGTGTTGACCTGCCCGCAGTGGCGCGAACAAGCTTTCTCTACAAGTCAGTTTGTGGAAGGGGGACCTCAAAAGGCATAGTGTGTGTGTGTGTGTGTGGGGGGGGGGGTATGCATGCTTGCATAAACACAAACTGTGCACACAGGCTGAGCAGTGTGCAGCGCGGAGGGTTTCTCAAACACAGCGTTGTGCCAGAGGCCAGAGCCTGAAGAACTGGTTAAGCGAAAAGCAAGAGCGAGAAGAGCACTCAACGATGCAGCAGGTTATCTTTCTTTCTTTCTTTTTTTTTTTTTTCTGCAATGGCGCCGATTGTCTTGTGGGGTTTATCGGTTCCCACCAGTCTACTGTAAGCAGGAGTGGCCGGCTGAGATTCGGCTTCCTGGTAAGACGGCAGGGGGGGGGGGGAAGTGGCGTCTTGAAAGCCGCACGCGGGAGGGGGGCGGGCCAGAGGAACCAGCAACATTTATTGCTAAATATGTTAGACGTCTAAGGAATTTGACACGGCGGTTGGTGCATAACATCGGACAGGAAGAGGAAGAGACAATGGTTCCTGATTGATATCGAGTTCCATGTCAATATTTCCACATGAAGTTCTGTCTGTTTGTAAAGCGCTTACGTGGATTGTTTTTTTCTCTATTTCTTATGCATGTTTTATTATAATAGCGACATAGGAATGGATAGAGACCTTTATCTCAGTCCGTCGTCTTACGTCATGGTATCAAGAAGTCATGATATAGATTAGTGACTACCAGGGACTTTGAAACAAACTAATTTTACTGTTGAGGCCTCAACATATATATAAGAAAATGTATATAGACAAACAAGACCACCGGAATCTACTCCACGGGGGTGGGTGGGGCGACCCTGATCCCGGTCCGCTGCCTCCTCCCCTGGCCAGCAGCTCCACCCGGTCCATGCCGGGGGGGCAAAAGCAACACCACACTGCTGGAAAAGGCGGCGGAGGGAAGGGGAGGCCCGTTGGAACCAAAACCAGGACCGAGGGGATGAGAGGGGCTCCTCCCCCCCCTCCAAAAAAAAGGGGAACCTGGTGCTTGGACACAGTAACTCCAAATCCCAAAGTAAATACAAGTTCTTTGCAGCCGCTTCAGAAAGGGAAACCAAAGCATTAACCAGACAGGAAGGACGGCCGATATAACTCTGGCTTTGACATTTTTACTTGGAATGGCTGCTGCTTATAAACATTGACGATGGCTCCGTTCCGTCCAAGTGTCCCAGTGAGCCAGTGAAGGGAGCCAACGTGCCCTGAAACCGGAAAAGCAGCCGCACGCAATCCAGACGTTATTAACAGCGTTCTTCTTTTTCTACCGCTGCACGTCAGCACCCGGATCTATGACCACTAATAAAACATAGTATCACCTCAACGTGCAAGTCGCCCCGGGCCGCTGTTACTTTCCCCCCCCCCCCCCCCCCCTGAGGAATAACCTACCAACCCAACACAAAGTCGGCTCGGAAAAGCAAAAGCAAAAACACCTGGACGGCGTCGGCGGAGTGTCTTTTTTCGCGCGCGCCGCAGTGTGTGGAGCGAGTCCTTTACCTCTCCCTGTGACAGAGCAGAGTCTCAGTGCGACGCCGGGGCCAACGCGTCATAATATTTACTCTCGCCAGGCAGCGCCGGCCGCACCTCTCCTCCTGTCCCAGTCGAAGCAGTCCATCAGCCTGACAAGCCTGGGAAGCGGCGCCAAACGCGCGCGGGGCCGGCGGGCCGGTAAAAGGCTCCTCCCGAGTGGTTTTGCTGCTGCAGGAGTCTCTCTCTCTCTCTCTCTCTCTCCCTCTGTCTGTCTCTGCGTGTCTCTAAGTGGACGCGCGGGATGGGCGTAGACACACAGGGTGGGGGCGGTGGAGGAGGAGGAGGAGGAGGAGGAGGATACAGGCGCTCCTCTGTTCTGTTGGGTGAAACCGTACAGCCTGCCCGCGCGAGGCACGTGCCGCTAAAGAGCCGTTAGATGGTTCCACGTTGGCGACAGGCCCGTGAAATACGTTTGAAAACTAAAAAAAAGGAATAAGTAAGTGAGGAAACGCATCGTGGCGTCGGAAAGAGAAGGAGGCGACACCATCAGGTGATTAAAGACAGACTTCAAGTCCAGGTCCAGATCAACGTCCTTCTCCGGTCCCGTATTTAACAGCTAACTGCACATCTTTCCGTCCGGGCTTTTTATCCTGTTATTGCCTTTTTCTTTTAACCTATTCAGGTTTAGCATGAGTGAGGCGGTGCGTTCTCATCACACCGCCCGTAGGCCTACGCACAAGGTCAAACGCGCTTACGTTTCACCGCCCGAATCGCCGCCAGCGAAACATGAAGAACGCCAAAGGAGATAAATCTCAAGCTGACGTCCTCACGCGGAGAGCTGCAGGCGAGGGCCGCGTCTCGCGTCTCAACAACCATGTTTTTTCACATGCAAACCGCTGCTCCCCCCCCGTCTGTCATCCGGCACTGTGACACACACACACACAGCGGGGAAACCTTCCATCCAACAGAGACTAATGACACTTGAAGTAAGGCTGTTATAATTCACACTCCGCCAGCAGCAGCAGCAGCAGCTGTACCGGGTGATGTGACTGAAATTATTACCACAGCATCGATATGTGTCTTGCGTGCAGCAATGGCCAAAAAAGGGTCGAGGAAGCACACGGCGGTTTTGCATCAACCGAGACCAAAGTCGTCATGTTTTGATCGAAAAAAAAAGGCATTTCAGGTCAACTTACAGCTGAGGATCTGGGCTTTTCGCATCGGTTTATACAAACTAGGCAAGTTGAATAAATAGATAATGTTTATAATATATATACAACTGTAAGTTGGAGCCCCAAAAAAAAATAGAAAACAGTTCATGACCAGATTCTTTGTTGCCGCGCTGCAGAGAGTTCTCCTGGGTGTTTACATTAAACGTCACATAAACTCCCCCAATACTCAACAGCAAACGGCAGAAAGCAGAAGGTCTGCTTTCATTTTCGTCCCCATCGGTTTATATGAGAATATTTGGGCCTTAACCGAAGGTTCCGTCTCTGTTCTCTGTGTCAGAGAAACCTTCTGTCTGACGGCCGGCAACGTGCACACACTTCAGGGTGAGAACGAGAGACAAGAGACGAGCTAAAATCAGCAGCGGCTCCGTGTACCAACTGGACACCGAGTGCAAACTACCCTGTAAAAGGCCGCCGGGGTGGAGGGAGTGTGTGTGTGTGTGGGGGGGGGGGGGGGGTAGGGGGGGGCTGCTTCATCGGCGGGACGCTCATAAAGCGAGCGGGGCTGCACGGCCAACGCCTGCTGACTCAAACGGCGAGCAGTCACAAAAGCAGACCGATGGCAGAAATAGCTCAAAGCCACCGATCTGCCCGTCGACTGCAATGCGCGCGCACACGCACACACACACACACACACACAAACCTGAAATCATCAAGCAGCGGAGAACGAAGTTGCAGTTCTTAGTTGTTGTTTTTTTCCCGCCGTCGCAGCATTTGCGGCGGGAGCTTCGGTTACAGGCGGACCCGGCGGTCGGTCAAACTGCCCAGAGCCCGGAGGGATCGCGTTGCGCTCGCCTCGCGCTTCCTGGCGCCGGAAATATAGACGAGCTCATCACACCTGAGGGCCGCCGGTCAGAGAGCGCGACGCCAGGGACGAAACGCAGAGACGGCCACGGGAACTCCCTCTCTCAGACACACACACACATACACACACAGGCAGAGAAGACATCCTGGTAACCATGGAAACCCTCCACCTCCTCACACGGTGACATCACAGGTGTTGAATCATGACCCGGACAAGGGGGCCGAAGCACGTCGCCTGACCCCGCCGTTCATCAACTCAAGGTGAAGAGGCCGCAGGTGGACGCAGGCCTGGGGGGCGGATGACGATGATCGAGGGGACGAGGGGGAGGACGGGGGGACGGGGGGGACTAAGAATAGATCCTCGTGCCTCGGTGAGAGAGACAGAGAGGACGGGGAGAGGAGTGCGTTTCAGTTTCTTTGGATAGCTACCGGAAACCGTGAGCCATATGTGGGAACCGGCTCATGAACACACACACACACACAATTCTCTCTGTGATGAGCAAGTGAGGGGGGGTGGGGGGCAGATGGATGAAGACAAAAAGATAAATGAAGTAGCCATGGGGAGGGGGGGGGGGGGGGCGGGGCTCGTCACATCCACTCACAGGATTGCCGGTACGCGATCATAACTTCTAACCTTGATGTAAGCCGCCGGTGACAGGACGCTCCGCTCTGTAAACGCCGGCACACACCAACCTACATTAACACCACGGCTGCTGCACGCACACGCACACGCACACGCACACACACACACACACACACACCGACTGGATGCAGCAGTCTGGTGGTGATCACGGGAAATCCACAGCAGTCAACGGCCATATGGCACATTTAAACGTAGGAGTTACCTCGTCCCAATGGTGATGTTGTGTGTGTGTGTGAGAGATGGTGTGTGTGTGTGTGTGTGTCTGTCTGAGGAAGCAGGCAGGCATTTGAAGCAGACTCGGGGCTGAGTTTTAGTTAATGAGTCTGCACATCAAATCTAATTCTGGCTGCGTGACTCTCCTACCATCATCACCACCATCATCATCATCGTCATCGTCATCACGCCGCCTCATCGGAATAATGAGCAACACACCTTTAGTACTTTGGAAAGAGAAGAAAGAAAAAACGAGCGTGGTGGTCACCAGGAGGCGATGCCATGGGAGCTGCGAGGAGCCCTCTCAACAGCTGTGTCCAGCTGCGCTGCATGGAGACACTGGGGCGCTTTGTTCCAGGGGGGTACGGGGGGGGGGGGGGGGGGAGATACATGCATACATACAGACATACAGTTTAATTTCCACCCGTAAAAAGGGGGAGGGAGGGGGGGGGGCATATAGCGGTGGCACAGCAGACCAGGATGTGTGGAAAATTTCAAATGCGCCCGAGCCATCGCTGTCCGAGCGAGAGACCGGTCACACGCACGCGCGCACAAACACACACACGAAAGAAACGTACGCGTATCGGTTTTAATGCCCCCCCGTTGTGATCGCTCGTGCTTTGACTGCGGTTAAAGGGAGCGACCACCCAACAAACGGGGAGAAGACAAACAAACACACCGAGAGATGCGAAGCCCCGTGCGCGCGCAGGGAGGAAAGGCGGCGGGTAATCACGGTGCATTCAGGGAACAACAACAAAAGACAGGAGCGAGAAGAGAGACGGAGAAAAAGGAGCCACGAGTGGGACCCGGGGGGATGAAGGGGGGGTCCGCGGCACCTCTCCGGGAGATCGGTGAACTAAAAGTCGTTCCCGCGCTCGTACTTACTCAGACGAACCGGCTCGCCTCGGTCCACCGGGGAGGAGGGTGGATCGCCGGGGGGGGGGGGGGGGTCCGTCTTCCGGCTGCTGGGGCGGGCGGGATCTGCGCGGCGCGGGAGCTCAGAGCCTCGAGGACCGCACGCAAACTGCGGCTTGCGTCATTTCACCAGGATGCCACTGTTGCGCGCAGCAATGCAGCCATCTTGCCGAGGAGTGCCCCCCCCCACCACACACACACACACACACACGTCCAACCCCCCCCCCCCTAGCTGCTGTCTCACTTTGGCCCCCCGTAACGAGACAGACCCACCACGAGCTCCTGGTGTTTACCTTGTGGGCGATCCGAAGGGAAGCACGTGAGCAGGAATCGGCACAGTATCGTTTAATTTCTTTGTTTCCGTCACCACGTTCAATCACTTCATTCTCGCTGGTGTGAAGTACAAATGTCCAACTGAAAGGTGGTTATTGGCGTTTTAATCAACTCGGTGCGAAGTAGCTCCACCTCGTCCAGCTGTGCGGATTGTATTGCTGTGAATAATTAATCCACTGATATGATAGAACACATTATCTTAAAGGAGGTAGGCGGCTGATACTTTTGGACCATGCGATTTTGTTTAACCTTATTAAATGAGCTGAGATGAGCACTTCCTCCAGACAGAGACACCTTGTTGCATAGTGGATATTTCTCAATCGTGCTGATTGGATGTGGCAGTCAGCCGACTGTCAGTTAAATAATCAAACATTCAAATATTCCACTAGCTTGCAAAAGTCTAAACATTTTGAGTTCCCCCATAATACATCAGAGCAGCTTTCACATCATTTCAGACGCTTGAATATCCTAAAGCTCGCTGTTAAAATAGCGTGAACTCAAATAATCAAGCCAGTCTTTCCAATTTCCCCTCTTCATTTTTATTTAATTTCATCACGTTAATTCATTGGTTTATTCTGGATCCCTCCGAATCAGACAGATGTCAGCGCGCCCCCCTGTGGCGGCTCGTGGGTGTGTCATCTCTCCCAGCTCGCCGCTGAGGGTGTGTCTGCTCGGTGTGATCCAGAGGTGGTTGTTGTTATTGTTGTTATTGTTGTTGTTTGTGGGGAGAAACGGCTGCGACGCAGCACCATAATCGTTGCAGTCGCCACACCCGGACCAATTACAACATTTACACTGACAGGTGATTTCATCTGTCCTCCAGAGACACATCGAGTCTGGTGTCGAGCCTCTGCAGTCATTAAGCATTAAAAAATAATAATAATAATAAAACCCTGCAGCTTATTCAATGCCCACACACACAATGAAGGCCTGACACCACAAAGACGGTTAATGTATCGTCACACACAATCAGCACATTTAAAAATAAAATGAATTGGTCGATGGATTAATTATTAGTTGTTGGACCGGCATTCATTTGAGTCAGAGACACGTGGAGCAACGTGGGGTGGAAAGTGAGGCGCCGTTAGGGACAGCGTCTCGCTTAATGCTCGACATCGACGGCGAGTGTCGTTCATTAAGGTTCGTTGCACAATAGAAACCGCATGGAAAGTGACGCAAGAACCCTGGTCTCTCATTCCTGAACTAGCGGGCCGAAAAGAAAAAAAAAGGACTCCCATGTGACCCAGAGACACAGGATGTGGGCTGCCTTGGCACATGACACCATCAACAGAGAGCATGAGAACAGACAGTCACGTGAGACATCTCCGTCAGCTCCCTTTGAGCCCAACTGGATCAACGCTGGGGGGGGGGGGGGGGGAGCTCTGGAGACAGGGCCCCCCCCTCTCTCTCGGGGGGGATAAAACGCGACCCTGCGCCTCGGCGGCTGTCAGAGCTCGTCCTTCTCCATCTGCTGGAACGCCTCCAAGTCTTCCCGCCAATCCGCCAGCAGCTCGTCCACCTGCTGGCTGCCTGAGTCCGTGTCGCCCTCGGGCTCCTCCCTGTCCTCCGAGTCTCTCTCCTCTATGGGCGGAGCCAAGTCCGCGCCGTCGGTGGCGTACTCTTCCAGGGATGTGGCATCCTCCGCGGCACCGGCGGCCTCTTCCTCTTCCTCCTCCTCCTCTTCCTCTTCCCCCAGCGGTCGGGCTTCCTCCGCGGGACTCGTGTCTTGCTCAACGTCCTGCTGCGATTGGCTGAGCTGGTCTCGCTCCGACGTGCTCGATTGCGATTGGCCGATGGGTTCGAAAGAGGTGGGGGTCGTTGCCTCGGTTAAGCAGCCCGCCTCCGCCTCTGGTTCGTCCCCACCTGAAAAGAAAGACGGAGGGTGAGACAGACGCACACAAACCTCTCGTCCTCCTCCTCAGCCGGTGATCCATACAACATGCGCCCCCCCCCCCCCGGTAGTCCATTCTCAGTCAAAAATAGAACCGTTTTCCCTGCGAGGCTGTCGACTACAGCAGCGCGATGCGGACGGTGAGTCATGTTTCCCACAGAATGAAGCCTTTCACACAGAGCCGCACAACCAAGCAGAGGCAACTGTGAAAAGAAAACCTGGCAAGAAGCTGAACTGTGACTTTAGCAAAGATCTGGTACAAAAAAAGGGAAGGAGGAGGAGAAGTGTGAATCTGTTTATAGAAATGCATCCGTTTTCTTTAAGTGCAGATTGTACGTGTGTTAAGGAACGAATCTGTGATTTGTTTATTATGCGGTCGGGGTCAGCTGAGCAAACACAACTTGTGACAACTCTTCCCGGAATCAATGTAAACCCTCCATTGCCGCCCCCCCCCTGGCAATTTTGCCCCACGCCGCGTGTAACTATCGGCTTGCTCCAGTGACTTGCTCCAAATAAATACATAAAAAGCTGCCACGTCTTAAGCTCTAAGGAGGGGAAAATCAGAAATGACAGCACTGTGACTGCACGAAGCTGTCCTATCAAACACAACCAGAATCCTGTGGTTAGAGGGCAGAGCGACAGGAAGGGATGGAGGGGTGAAAGCATGACTGTAAAAAAGGAGCCAGGAGAGAGACTCAGGCGAGGGGGAAGGATGCAGACGGCAGAAGGAAAAAAGGATACTCACAGCCCTCAATCACGCTGCCAGGAAGAGGTTTACCTTTGAATATGGTGGCTGCTCATCCAGAGCGGAGAGGGTTATGGAAAAGAAGAAACCGAGAAGGAGAGGAGAGGAGAAGCACCGTTACAGTCCGCCACGGGGAACGCAGAGAGATTTGGCAAATGAGGAGGAGAATGAGGATGCAACCATGACAAGTGTGTAAAAGCCAACTTTAACCCATAAAAGCCGACACATAACCAGGCTCAGCCGGCGGAGAGCGATAAGCGCAGCGGGCAATCCCGGGGGTCGGGGTCAAGTCCAAACGTGCAGGGAGACACACCTCTGTCCCGGGCTTTGTCGCTCAGCAGCACCTCCACCTCCCTGTACTCCTTCAGCGCCTCCAACAGGATGTTGCCCTCCTTGTGGAAGAGGAAGAGGAGGGGCATGGGGATGTCGTCCGTGCTGCGGCCGTCTCCCGCCATCTGGAAGAGGGGAGCCGTGTCGCTGCTGCTGCCCTCGTTGTCGTCTGCAAGGAGACGGCGAGAGGGGGGGGGGGGAGAAAATGAGCCGGCGGCCGACTTTGGTGGGAAATTAAAAAGGAAAAGAAAAGTTTCGGACATTTTGTGGATTCAAACTATTAGTTAGTTTCTATGTTAGACTCAGGTGGCTGTTGTTAAGCTCACTTCATTCCTGCTGTATTAATAAGTTATTATCGTGTAACGCGCGGGTCCATCTGCCTTCCAGATAATCCGTTTATAGAGCGCTAATCTGGTCACCGATCGGCCTGTCCTCCGTCTCGCACTCACCGATGACGATGCCTCCGATGGCGCCGGCCTTCTGGATGTGCCGGGCCTTCTCGGCGAACATGCACTGCCCCCTCTGAAGCAGGGCGATGTGGCCCCGGACGTACTCGGCGTTGGTGATCTCGCTGCAGCCGCTGTAGGGTTCGGCCACGGTGGCAAAGCCTCGAACCTGCAACACACACACACACGCACACGTGCATTTGCAGAGAGGGACGGAAAAACATTCTGATATTTTGCAGGTTTCCTGCAGCAGGCTTGTCTACGCATCTTTTCTAATGTTTGAATCAGGAAAATATTCCAGGAGAGGAAGTACTCTCTCAAAAATACCAGAGAAAAGCGAGAGGCAGAAGAAGAATTGCGTTCCAATTTGAAACCCGGCAGCTTGGACGAAGCTACAGAAGAAACTCACCCCTGTGGAACTTTTGGACAGGTCCAGGCCAAACTGAGCCGGGCCGGCGGTCAGAACGACCCTGCCAAAGAACGGGTGGGAGACGATCTGAATGGCTCGGGGGGGCAGCTGCTCTTTCTGCTGCTGGCTGGACAGCTCCATCATCTCCTGCATGAAGCGCACGCCGTCCTCCGCCGCCACCGCACTTACCGCCTGCGGGCGAGGAGGAGGGGTTTAAAAAAAGAAGAAGAAGAAAAGAAACCTTCCCTCATCATATCCAGCGTTATCGTTGTTTGTGTACTGAAAGCTAACAGAGCTGCATCCGCCCCGTCTCCAGTAGTTCGGTTTGCAAGAACACGCGTGTGCTTATCCGTGTTGTTCAACAGCCCACCTGTGTCGCGTGCTGGACCAGCTGCACGCGGCCGTCTTTTCAGGTGGATGAGACTGACTCCCATTCTCCTCAGCAGCTCCAGATGTTCCGGGTTGTTTGCCATGAAGTCCTGAGCCCTCAGTGGAGGATGCCCCATGCCGGGCTCCCTGCGAGAGAGGGAGGAGAGAGGGAGGGGGAGGCGGGTCAAAGACATGAAAGAGGCACAGCGATTGGGGGAAATAGATTTGCTGCACGGCACCGTGACTTGGTCACAACCCCGTTCGTGCACGTACCGGTAAGGAGGGGGCCGGGGGCAGCTCTTGTCCACAGCGCTGCGGATCGGGTCTCTCAGCTTACGGGGGAAGGCGGGGTCAGGAAACAGGAGGCGGGTGTTAGGGCAGGTCCAATCGAAGTTTGAGTCGTCCAGCTCCTCCTTGGACTGGAGTATCGGGAAGCACATCAGAGGTTATTTAGGGACTGGAGGGTCTACACGTGTTCATTCATCCATCTACAGATGTGAATCCTAAAGGTTTTCATTACCGTTGTGTTGGAGGGGATGGATGAAGAGTGAGGGGCTGTGGAGAGGGACAGCGGCAGCAGGTGTGCCTCGGTTGTGAAGATGTAGTCCTCCACGTCAAACGTTAGATCCTCTGCATCAGCAAACAGCAGGAACAGGTACTTGAACATCTCGGCGAGGAAGAACGAGTCCATCCTTCCAGGAGAGAGTGGGTGTCACCTCATGGCGTGTTTATCAGATAGTCATGAAGGGCTGTCAGCTTGTTGTGGATAATGCATGTGGTACGTTTTCCAAAAGGGTTTCTTCTCCGCTCAAATATATTTTTGTACCTTTCTTCTTTAGCATATCTTGATACTGATTGGTCACAATAAATACTTGATACGTCCATTGTATCCTCACCTGTCCTCGTGGCTCCCCGTGCGCACGTCCTTCATGGCGGCGAAGCCGCAGGGAACACGGGCAAAGCGGTTGAGGTTGTCCAGGATGGTGCGACCGGCCTCCAGGTAATACGGGTCACCTGTAGCCTGGGAGGGACAGAGGACAGCAGTGTGATCATGACAGACGACAAAGTGAGACTCTGCTGCAATGAACCAGAACTTCAAAAGGCGGCATAAAGGAGCCCGCTAATAAAACTGCAAAAGATGGAGCAGTAAACACTTGCAGTAAATCTGCAGTGCGTCTGTGGAAAGAGAGCCTCTGCATTATGTCAGGTGTCCTTGATATAGTACCTTGTAAAGGAAATAGGTGCTCTCTGCAAACTCAGGCCTCAGGGGATGTTGGGCCCAGTGTACCCTGAAATCAGTGGTGAAGGCCTAGGGGAGACAAGTGGGAGGGGGGAGAGGGAGAAGGACGAAGGGGTCAGCGTACCATCCAGCGCTTTGTAATTAGAACAGGCAGACGGAGCTAAACTGTAAGCGAGCACGTCCCTTTCACAACAGTTGCGGCTTATGACACAAGTCATGCGGAATTACTCGTATGAGGCCCAGAATTCTAGTTTGCTCATTTAAACGGAGCAGTGAAAGCCCTGCGAGGCTACTTAAAGTGACACATTACCTCCGGGAGGAAGTTGTGCTTCTTCGTAACTTGGTACAGCATCTCATGAGTCTCGATGGCGGGACGGATGTCTCCCTTCAACACCTGCGGGGACACACAGTACGGACAGCGAGTGCAGCGTTACCGTAGCGGCACGAGGCGCGACTTTTTTTTCAGTCAAACCGATTGCAATCCGACCTGCAGTCCAGGGAAGAAGGCCAGCAGAGAGTCCATCCAGGTGCGAGCGGGAAGCAGAGGTTTGTGGATGTGGACGTCCAGCAGCAGCGGCGGCTGGCTTATGTACTTCATTATAGATGCATAGTGCTGAACAGGACATACAGAGTGAAGGGTGGATTATATGTGTGATATAAACAAATAGAATTGCAACAAAAATACGTTGGAAGTTGGAAAACCAAACATAAAACATAAAAGTATAAGGTATAATAATGATGTATGTTGGCGGTGCCATAAGGAGATGCTATTATGCAGACGGAGAGGCCTCAAATTACAGTGTGTGTGCGTGTGTGTGTGTGTGTGTGCGCGCGTGTCCTCACAATATTGAACCGCTGCAGAAACAGGTCATCTCCCAGGAGGATGTAAGCCTTTAGCAGGTACTCGTAGTACGAGTCAATTCCCGCTCCCACTCCGCTGTCTGGAGGGGGACACAATCAATCAACACACTTGTATGAGGCAAGAAGAGTGCGACGATGCTGCGGCTTTACCCGCCAACCCTCTGTGACCCCACGTCCTCTCCCGCCCCGACCCACAAACGCTTCATTTCCACTCTCTCGTGTCCTTGTCTCCTCATCTGCTGCAGCCTCCTTCCCTCTTTCTCTGCTTCCACTTCATCCACCCTCAGGCATGTCATCCTCTTCCCCGCCCTCCCCCCTATCTCACCCCTGCGAACCCACTCTCCAGAGTGGATGTTGATGGTGGTTCCCACCAGATTGCTGTGTCTCTGTCTTTTCTCCCACAGAAAGTCCAGAGCTCTCCGGGCATGGGCCTGTGAAGAAGAGTGTAGTATTGATTTAAAAAAAAAAAAGGTTTAAAATCAATCTGCAGGAGCTGTCGGCTGCAGGAGCGATTCCAGTGATGGACTGTGTGCGTGGTCAGCAGTTTACTGCTGCCAGGAAGTCAACCAGTGCACAGGGTAAAATATCAGGCTCCCATAACTTCATGTTCCGTTTTATTCTCTTTACATAGAAGACAACATTCGGTTGGGTCTATTTTCGTGGGATGCACATTGATCAACAAGATACAGGTCAGACACGGCATTCCACATCAAACAGGAGGGCGTCTGCAACCCGATCTAAAAAGAAACTAACCATAACCACAAGGTGTAACGAGGATAAACACCGGCGCGGCGTGGCTGTTTGGTGCTGAAGCGCGTCTGTTCATTTAGCTCACGGCTTACTGACTATTTACACACGGTGTGTACGTGTATGCGAAGAAGGTGGATGTTGTCCTCCGATACCTCAAACACAGGATCTCCAGTGAAGCGACTTAAGGCGGCAAACTCCAGGATCATGGTTCCCGCACACGCAGTGCAGGTGTCTGTTTCTGTGCCCGTTCTCGTCTCAGGACCCCTGACGCCAAACTTCAGGTTAACCTGTCACGTGGAAAAAACAACAACAATGAGAAAACGTTGAAAAATTGGTTTGCAGTTGGTTTGCAAGAGAATGTGCACGAAAATTGGTCAGACACGACAATATGCGTGATCAAAAGCGCCAAAATCAAAGTATGTGGTCACAGGTTACAAACGTCAATCTGACATGTCGCAGCACTGAAAACGTGTGACTGACAATAACTCAATTTCTCTGTAGCTCAGCATTTTATTTTATAGGACTGCTTTGCCAATGACAAGACAAAACAAGCGTGTGTTAGACGTCTCTGTTGTGCATCCCCACCCGACAAAGGCCGCGGTGCGCGTGGGTTTGTTTCCGTTATCGATGAGCAGAATTTGGGTATTTGCGTCTCACCCTGGGATACGGAAGGCCACTACTGGTGTTGAAGGCTGGCAGCAGTCGGAGGCCCAGGTCTTTGGCCATATGCAGGAGCTCGTCCTGGTACCACTGCATGTGCTGACCGCCGTCTCTCAGCATCACAGCCATGGAATGCCCCCCCAACAGACCTCTGAAAACACACACACACACACGCGTTAGGAACCAAGCACAGTGATTTCTTAGCACTTGCTTGTTCGTGGACAGCTGCTCCGTTTGCAGCCTGTCAGAGGGCGCACTTGACGTGTCATTTCTTAACCGTTCATGTGTGTCGATCGTCTAATCTGATCTCACCCGAGGACACGTATGTTGGTTTCGAAGACCGACACCACGATGTCGTTGTCCAGCCTCACATCCGTCAGCACTCTTCTCACGGCAACGTCAAACTCTGTTGTCTTGTTCAACAGCTGGAAATGAGAGGTAATAGATGACTGTAGAGATCCGGTTTGACTAGCGGTGGATTCATAGCTCAAAAGTGGACTGAGAGACTGAAGACTTTCTTCAGATGACCAGTTCATTTTTCATTTAGAAAATATTGACATTTCACTCTAAATTCAGTTAAGAAGTAAAGATAATGATCCACCTTGTAGACTACGATGTCATGAAAACCTTTGCAATGTGCTGTCATATTCATCTATATTCAATTATATTAAATCATAAAAAAGTATTATTATTGGAAAACTCATAATACTCAACCGACTTAGAGGACCAGAAAAAGAAAAAGCTGAATACTGATAGAACAATTCTGATCATTACCAACGATAACACCACCAGTGTTTATAATAGAATAGTAATGATACTAAAAACAGCCTCAACATAATAACACAAATGAATTCTGTAAGACGACCACACCAATACCCACCACCAGAGTATCCAGTGTGTCTATGAGGGTCAAAGAGAACCTATAAGACAGAGAGACATTTGTTTATATCTCATGTAAACATTATTCAACACAAGGGTAATTCAGCAAAGTGTTCAGTTTCTCTGCAGCCTCCTCGTTTTGCATTTCTTCAACCAGGTGTGGTAATGTGTGTGTGTGTGTGTGTGTGTGTGTGTGTGTGTTTGTGTGTTATTGCTGCTCTGTTAATTCTCAAGGGACAAAAGTCTCTACTCACTTCCCCAGAGCGTCGTCTACGTCTCCTCGGCTGGGTTCAAGCCCACGGACTCTTCCTCTGCACGTTAGTGGCATCAGCTCATCTGCTGGGTACGCATGATCCTGGCAAACACACACGCACACACACACACATCAAACACCACGCTTTGGCCCGCTCTTCTTTTATTTTGCTTTCTTAACGGGGAGGACACGCTAATTAAACCTGCCATCAGAAAATGTACATCCATCCGTCATGCAAAGCTGCAGCAAAACAATAAATACAAGTATGGAACAGAGAGAACTCACCATATAATTCTGATATGCATGGTCAAACATCTCAACCACTTGGTTCCTTCATTAAGGGGGAATGACAGGCAAAAGTCAGCCTCGTGAACATGTTTTAGGTGGATTCTTCCTCGGAGGAAGCGGTGTGTTTCGTGCCCACTCACCTCAACTTGCTCTTCTCCTCCCGTGACATGGCCTGTCCGAGGCCGCACAGACCTCCGAGCAGCATCAGCGAGAACAGCACACCCGGCATTGTGGTTGTGGGCACGATCGCACTGATGCACAGGAAACGAGACGAGTCAGTCCCGGAGCAAACACCCGGTGGTGACCACTGCCCTGACCAAACAGCTCCAAATAACAAAAACACCAAAGGAAGACAAGCCGACGCCACTCCATCAATGTTGTACCTCAGAGATCAGGTTAAAGCACGTTGTGTACCACTTATTCATTAACACAAAGCATCACGTAATCGTGCCGGTTTGCTGATGAAACTGAGCCACTTACACACTTCTTTTCTCAGCAAACACCAACGACACGACTCCGAGTCAATGACCGACTAAGTTCAATGTGCAGACATTGCAAAGGCAAACTGTGATGCCATAGTTTCTGGTAATGTTGTTATTTAAAGTGGAGAGTTATCAACGTGTAACTGATAGAGAGGGAACAGACGTTACTTTGCAGTGCGCAGGTGGTGAGTCACTCACACCTGTTTATCCAAAAGGTGACCCGGACACACACACACACACACACACACGCACGCACGCAGGTGTGACACGTTGACATCCACATGGATAACGTAACGTGTGAACTCTGGCGTCATGTCAAAACTGCAAAAACAAATCGGATGAATCCCGCGTTTCAATGATGCAAATTACAATTTAAGTATTTATTAGATGTAGATTTCAAGCAAGAGCGATCGGAAAGAAATCTAACCCTTTTTCGGGTATCACGACACATTATCAGAGTAAAGCGCACACTGTAAACAGCAGCAGGAAAGGCCGATTTATAAATACGGGTCTTAATTTCTGTTTAAAATCCTAATCCACAAATCGTTTACTTACTCCACACAATCCGAAGCCAATTAAACAACGAATAAATCCAACAGCTCCCGGAAGTTCCTGTTCATACTGCCTCCCGTGATCAACGTGTCAACCTGTAAAACCTTTTAGGAAATAAGTTAGGTATTATCTCCTCATGACATGTCTCTGTCGTCAGTCAGCCGAACACTGGGTCAGGCTTTATTAAACCAGTTAGCCGGCCGGACTAAGTAGCTGGACGCGCCGATCGGACGGATTAATAACACAAGACAATCGACTAAATCCGTGTCCATTGTTGAGCAGCAGGACAGACCGGCCGATCTACTCTGTACTTCGTGTTATAAAGTGGTCCATTTTGCCGTAAACTGCTGTTTCGCCAAGCTAGCGAGCCTTATAAAACCGGAAGTCGTTGCGAGGAAAACGTCAACAACATCCGCTTCCTGGTACAAGGATCGCGTTCATGCCCTGAGTTGAGCTTGTCAGGCAAACTTTTCCCGAAAGTTGCAAGAGGAAAGTCGCCCCTCGTTCGCGGTGATTTATATACATAACTCCTAAAACGTAAACATTAAGCACAAAGACACGTCATCCCAAGCTCAGCCTGCATTTTTAATAAATGAAACAAGTGCCACTTGCTACCTGAAAGTCTCTACTCAGGAAAACAAAGTATTTTAATGTTTTGAATGCTGTGCCTTTCACTTCGCATTTAAGGTCTGGAAAAAAAATAACTAATACTAACGTGCCAAAGCTTAATATATTCGCAAGTGGAGGAACGACTACCAACCCTAAAATAAGGATTCTAAGGGAAACTGTAGTGTGTCTGAGTTGCATTTGCTTCAAACCCATTTAACTCTATCCCATTTAACGTATTTTCGTGCTTTTTCTTCCTTTAACTACGTGTCCCATCAGGCATTGCGGTGGCACGTGATCTCTACACGTGACAGGTACCAACCACGGGGCGCTTTTAAGAGGCTGTCAACAGTTACGGAACCTCCAGTAACTACAATTAACCCCCAAATGAAATAGACTTCCACAACGTGCAGAAGGAAAACACGTAAGTTATCGCGACATGTTTTTTTTGCTTACCGTTTATCCGTATTTGTCAGTATTTCAGCCTTTTATTTTTGTAACGTTAGTTATTCCATTTGCTCATTTCTTTTGTACCTCATCTTCTCCTAACCCGTGACCCGTCTGTTGTTTTGGTCATTCAGCTAAAATCAGTCATGGATCCTTCCGCTGAAAAGAAGCTGACCGGCTTAATTGCAGCCACGTTCACTCCATTCACCGCCCAAGGGTAAGAAGCCATAATAAACCCGTTCACCATGTGTGTTTATGTCTGAAAACCTGTTGGAGGTTTAAAGTGACTAAGGAGGATTGGATTGAATTGCGAACTGATCCTGTAGATGTGGTTTACTTTTGCATGTTTCGTATTTGTTTTGCAAAATGTGTAGACCTACATTTTCCTCATAACAGTGAAGTCAACCTAGAGGAGATTGGACCTTATATTGACTACTTGACAGAGAAGCAAGGTGTTAATGGCATATTTGGTAAGTTTCAAAGGTGGAGTCTTCGTTCTGAAATCTGTCCTTTCTCAGCCTTGTTACCTTGTTGGTTTGCAGACATGTCGGTGTGTCTGTCCTCTGGTCACCATGTTAACCTCTCTGCGTGGTCACAAAGGAGCAGTGTCTGATCGTTACATTGTCTGCTACACTTATCAGTTGGTGATTAGTTTGGGATTACATCTGCTCCGCTAAGAAAGTACCTGAAGCTTTTACGTTTTCAATTGCTTTTTCAGAAGTTCGCCAGAGTTTACGTTTTTTCACTTGTTTTGACGTCAAAAGGCAATTCTGCCATCTGTAACTATAATTTATCCACCAATTATTTCAATGATAGTGATGATAGTCATTTTTAAATACCAGCGAAAACGTTGCTTCATAGTGTGTGTGATTCACATACGAAAAAACGTTTTTCATAGCTAAAGTTCAGAGGTGCAGACGAAACCTACATGGGACCTTTTTGAACTTTTGATTATGTAAATGTGTTGCCCCCCCCAGCTAACTAAACAGAAGAATTGATCTGTTCACCAATAAGCACCAGATATCAAACCTGCCCTTCGCTCTCCTTTCATCAAAGACAATCAGCGCTTCCTGTGCGTCAATCGGGCCCCTGATTACGGGTCCGTTTCACATTTTTCCTCAAAGCCGATGAATCATCGTGGTTCCCGTTGTTCGTGCTGATCCGTGTGCCTCCTCATCTCGCCTTCATCGTCTGCATCATCACTCGCTTCGTTGTTTTGTCCTGGCACTCTTGAACACACACACACACACACACACACACAGCTTGTTCTCTTTAATTTCCTTCAAAATGTGTATTTTCTGAAGTGGAGAACTTAATCTAAATGAGACATGTCTGCACTTGCTCTCAGTGAACGGGACCACGGGAGAGAGCATGTCTCTCAGTGTTGCAGAGCGGAAGCTCCTCGCTGAGGAGTGGTGTCAAAAAGCCAAGGGGAAGTAAGTCATCCTGGTGGGGGGGGTTGTCTGAGTCCAACGCCACAGGGAATCAACAGATTGCTAAATTTCTTGCGTCCGTGTCTCGACAGATTAGATCAGGTGATCGTTCACGTCGGCTGCCTGAGTCTTAAAGAAGCCAAAGAGCTGGTGAGTCAATGCAGTACTGACACAGACACGCAAAGTCCTGCACTATTGCAAGTATTTCAACACCTAATTTCACTTCGTATTTGCTCCTCGAGCCATCGAGTGCCAGAATCGTGAAGAAAACACCGCTGAAGCTTCACGTTTCAATCCGCTCGTCTATTTCTTTTTGGCATTTTCCAACAATAGGTTAATAAAGCCTCGGCTAACGAAACCTACAGTGATCGTAGACCGCATCCACAGGCTCCCAATATAATATCTCCACTACAGCAGTGGCTTCAGATTCCCATAGCTGTGGTTGCGCGTCCTCACGGCGCTGATGTTCCCTCCAGGCGGCGCATGCAGCTCAAGTCGGCGCTGACGCCATCGCGGCCATGGCCCCGTTCTTCTTCAAGCCCAGAACTGCAGGTTATAAATGGATTTATCTTCAAGTGCAGCTTCACAGACACTGAAAAACGCGCCGGGTGCAACTTTTTTTCACGTTTCGGTCACATTTTCTCTCGCTGTGGTTCCGATTCAGGCGCGCTGAGGTCGTTCCTCCAGGAAGTGGCTTCAGCCGCCCCAACGCTGCCTTTCTTTTATTACCACATTCCAGCCGTCACCGGTGTCACTGGTGAGTGTCACCGATAACAGATATTTTCGCTGCTGCATTTAGAAAACGGAGCGACTGTGATTCTTTTTTTTTTTTTTTTTTTTTCAGTGCCAGCGAGAGATTTGTTGGAAGGCATCCAGGAGCTCATCCCCTCCTTCAGAGGTGTGAAGTTCAGCGGGACCGACCTGATGGACTTTGGCCAGTGCATCAGCAGCAGTCCACCTCACTGGTCCTTCCTGTACGGCGTGGACGAGGTCAGCTCTTCCTCCACCTCCTCCACCATCCACAGCGTCTTATCTCAGCCGGCTTAAAACAAAGTTTCTTCTTTCTTCTTCTTCTCCCGTAGCAACTGCTTGCAGGTCTGGTCATGGGGGCGGACGGAGCGGTCGGCAGGTCGGTGTTGGATTCCCGCGTAGCGCTTCATCTCTCCCCGTACTCTCTGCTTCACGGTTATTCACCGCGTGTTTCGTTTATCTGTCTGCAGCACTTACAACTATGCGGGTTGTCATTTCAACCAGCTCATGTCCGCGCTCAAGGACGGCCACGTCGACCAAGCCAGGAAGATCCAGGTGCCGTCCATCCCAATCTCTCTCTGATATTTTTTTTTACATTTATGTAGTTTGCTGACATCTTTTATTTATTTAATTTCCATGCGTAGTTCAAGATGCAACAGGTCCTCAGTTATGCCATGAAACTTGGTAAGCTACGTTTTTTTCACACATTACCTTTTGTTGTGTCACTCACTTTTTTTTATTTTATTTTTAAACCGCCTTATTGTGATTGACAGGCTTCGACGTGGGCGTGAACAAGCAGCTGATGAATGAGCTGTCGGGCTTGAACCTCGGGGCCCCCCGGCTCCCTGTGACGCCGTGTCCTCCAGATGCCGCCGGGCTCATCGTGAAGAAATACCACCAGATTTTTACCGATTGTTGAAGTGTTTCAAACTGGATTGTTAAAATCCCAGAATAACTGGACTCGCCACCTTTACACCTTTAATCAAACCCTGCTGTGTGTCTCTCCTTGATGGTATTGATATTATAACGTGATGAATTTTATCCAAACCTCTAATTGATATATGGATTTTTTATTTTTTTTTATGTAAAAAGAACTAACCCAGTGAAATGTTACAATGATGTCTTAGGTCAGTAGAATGTTTCCCTCCAGGGAAAGTTTAGCTTTATTTTTATACTTTTAAAAAGCACAGTTATAAAAAAACAACAACTGCTGTTTGAATCCGAGACAGACGGCACGTCGATGTGACCGTTGTTTCACAAAAGAATAAACACTCACAGAAAAGGGAATACAAGATTCCAGTTGTTGGACGGGAGCATTAAGCGCAGATTCAGCCTGTTCTCAGTTAAGAATTCGTATCTTATGCTAGTAAATGGATACTTTTTGAAAGGGACACATTCTGTGTAATGAATTACTTGTTCTTGGTATTATAAGTATCAATCACTACTTTCCTACCAATGAATGCGTTGATCCATGTGTTGTTCCTCCTTCTGTTTATTGTTTAAATCAGTTTATTAAACAGTTTATTAAATCTGTTGTGTATTTGTGTTTTTGCAGTTGACGTTTGGTTGCTTAAGATGTTGGTCCTTTAAGAACTAATGTTCTGTTGGCACTTTTTCAGATGAGTTTACAGATCAGATGAAATTTAGCTGGTTCTTGACAAACCTCATCAGTGGAATGATTCTCCTGAAACCTGAATGTCACTGTTGTTTCAAATGGACCTACAATTCCACGTTTCTGTGCACAACAAAGCACTGAATACACAGAGTTCAGAAAGCTATGTGAGAAAGATGCATCGCTCAAACCAGCCTGCCCTTTGTGAGACAGACGTTTCTGAACTCTGCAGCTCAATGTGAGACTCAAATCCCAAACTACTTTTGCTTTTTCCTGCCATGTTTTGTCACAAGTTGCCTCTTTAATAAGACATCTGGCTTCAAATCTAGTGCAGCGAGTAGTCTGTGGGTGCTTTGGAGAAAACCACCGCCAGGCTGAATATTCCTGTGTGAACTTCTGTGTGTGTGTGTGTGTGTGTCCTAGTCAGTAGTTACCCTGTGCTATTGGAGGTGGTTAAGATGAGCACTATTAGACATTAATGCAGTACTCACTCAATACTCACACAGGCATGTAAAGCAAAGCCATCATTCTTATGAAGCTCCGCTATGACGACACACACACTTGGCATGGTTCAGTTTCCTTTGTTGGGACTCGCTGCGCAGGTACGGGACTGACGCCATGTCTTCTCACCCGTCTTCTCTCCTATCTGACAAAAAGGAACTAGTTTTCTCTCTCGTCTCAGTCCTCTCAGTCAATGCCGTCGCTCGCCTCGGTTCGATGTCAGACAGGCAGCAGACGTGCTGTGTGGCGGATGGGCCGGTGGGGCCGGCGGGGTCACGCGGGGAGGTCACTCGGTGGGGGCCTGCAGACCGTCACAGCGGCTCCCTGTGGACGCAGCACCTGTCTCGCCCACGGACGATAGGACAGAGAGGCTGTGGAAGGGCTGGTGACGGATTAGGAATGCTGTGCAAGTTGCTGTGGTTTGTGCTTTAGAGCTCAGAGGTTCTCTGTGCGGAGCTCCTCGCTCCATCTGACACTTCAGCACAACAGCAAACCAGCTGATTTAACACGAGATGGCATATTACAGCCATTTGAATGTAGTAAATTCCTTACCATGAATAAATGGGAAAAGCTTTTCTCCCTGAGGCTTTTCCCCCCAAAAGTGACCAATACTGCCCTCCACTGTATGTACTTTGTACTCACAACTAGATGAATTGACTCATTTTGAGTATTGAATGCCTCATGCGCAAGGAACAAATGCAGGATTCGATGAGTAAGAGTGATCTCATTCTGTGCGGTAAGCAGAATTGAAATGGAAAGGTGACACTGACACAATGATTCAAGTCAAGCAGTGTCTCCTGGTTTGTGGGGATGGCATCATTTATCAGAAAAAACACATTCAAGAGATTTTGTTATCTTACTTACTTAGTAAGATAACACTGTGGCCTTCTTGGAAAAGGGGGATTTAATTTACTTTTATCTTGGTACTTTCTCGATGTCACACCGCACGTTCTATATGCACATATACATATTATAACATTGCTAGAAATAATTAACCCCCGAATCATCATCACTTATCAAACTTATTGCATTTAAAAACATAAGCATATTAATTAAACAAATCGGTCTAACCAGCGATATGTTTTTTAATTATTAATTGGTTAAAATCGTAATACAACCGTTAAAATTAATTCTGTCGTCAGTAGGAATAATTACAGTGCGTTTATTAGCTTTCCTCCTTCAGTCGCACCTCAATGTCTTCTTCAATGGATGGAGACATGGACCTCAAACCACGTATTTATTCATTCAATGTTTAAAATGACAAATAAGTAATGGGGCGAATACACAATACAGTAATACAGCACGACATTAAACACATTAAATAAAGTACGAACTGTCACTGTAAACACAAACAGACGCGCTGGACGGAACGACTCTAAGCGCGGCGAGAGGTCGGAAACATTTAGCGGTCGCACGCAAAGCTCCCCGGCGTTTCCGGCCAGCTCAGCGCGTCAGCCCTCTGCGGTGTTGTCAGTTTAACAGCCCGTCAGACGCTTTCGTTCCGCCGCAACGTCCAACCGGGCCGAGAGAGAGAGAGAGAGAGAGACAGAGACAGAGGAGACATGGTGCTGCTGACGATGATCGCTCGGCTGGCCGACGGCCTTCCGTTAGCCGCCTCAATGCAGGAGGACGAACAGGTGAAAACAGCACCTTTTGTGTGTTTGTGTGTCTTTGCGTGTACACGCGCGTGCCAGCCCGTTTGCTGTTGTCACTGCGGCCCGTGAACGCCTCTTCGACGGGTAACAAATGCCGGACTGACACGTTAGCTGACGCCGGGCCCGTCGCCGTGTTTCTGTTCCTGCCGTCGCGTTAGTCCAGATGTTGCTCGTAGAGCTTCACCCTCGGGTTGTGTGAGGCTTTAAACGCGGCGCGGTCGGAGGCCCTCGGACGTGTGGATGTGGATGTTTGTGTCGCAAAACGAGGAGGGTTCGACTAATCGTGCTCTCTTTCAGTTCTGATCAAAATTAAGTGGGCAACATCTCTTTAAAAGCACAGTTGAATATCTTTTTTCCAGTAGTACATTCCTAAATTGCGGGTCAATAAATATATATTTTAGATTTTATCTGATCACTTAAACTCGCATAAGAAACTGGAAACTGTTGAAATCCTATTTTTGACAACACGTAGCAACGGTGTTGCCATTTACTTCTACTGTCCACCAGATGGCGCTGGTGTGTTTATCGACTGTACAATCATCTGCTCGGTAAACGTCCTGCTTGTTGTTTTTGAAACACCAGATTTAAGCAAATTCTTAGTTTTATTATTTATTTATTCATTTATTTTTAAAGAATACCTGTTTTAGTATCAGATTGTCCTGGTTCCGATGCAACGTCCCCTTGTTTGATTGCATCCTGCCATGAACCCTTTCGGCAACCACCAAAAAAAAATCCCAAACATAAACTCAACATGTGAGAAATGTTCTAATGTTTGGCATTGTGACATGTCAAGCTGTTGCATTCTGTTTGAGCATGACTTACCGGGCGTCTAACGTCTTTCCCTTCGCTCTCTCGTTTGCTCACCCGAAGGGAAGTGAAAAGGTTTGTTTTTGTCTCTCCGCTCTGTGCTTCCACGTCATACGTGTGTCTGTGATGCTGTGAACAACGTGTCATTTGCTTGAGTCAACCACGCGCAGGAAATTGATACCGTCCAAATTCTGACCACAAAAAAAAAAGAAAATTGCCTCTTCAGTCGCAGTTGAAGCATGAAACTGTCTCTCAGTAGTGTTTTCTGCCAACTATTTATTTCCAGCACACTTTCAACTTTACTTTTGCAAATAATGTGAAATCTGGACTGTTGGGCGGTTGCTTTTTTTTTTTTGTCTGTCTTGTGAAACTTTTTTGTCATTTATGTCTCTTCTGCTGCTACATTTGCTTGTGCAACATAAAATTCCTTATTTCCTGAAATTCACACGTAATTCCCTGTGTGCGATGCGAGCGAGCCGCGTGGTCACCGATCTGCTTCGTGTTCTCCGTCTGCTCAGTTGGGTCGCGACCTTCAGCAGTATCAGAGTCAAGCTAAGCAGCTCTTCAGGAAACTCAACGATCAGAGTCCCACGCGCTGCACGCTGGAGGCCGGCTCCATGTCCTTCCAGTGAGTACCAAGAATAATTCAGAAAAAGACCATTTGTTTCTAAGTAAGTATTTCTGCAATGGTTTCCTGACTGTGTTTGTGTTCTCCTTGCAGCTATGCCATAGAGAAGGGAGTGTGCTATCTGGTGCTGTGTGAAGCCAGCTTCGCCAAGAAGCTGGCTTTTGCTTACCTCGAAGACCTGCAGGCAGAGTTCCATGAGCAGCACGGCAAGAAGGTCCCCACGGTGTCCCGGCCTTACTCCTTCATTGAATTTGGTGAGCCAGCCAGGAGACGCTGAACTCTTGAAAAGTTAATAATAATCGGGATAATTATTTTGTAATGTAGCATTAAATTGGCACTTCACCCCGATTTGGCCTGGATAAATTAAGGAGACTGATTTTGTGTTTGTAGTGACACTGCAGACTGATCTCGCTCCCCTTTGCCTAGATTCTGCATTTCATAAGTTTTTTTGTGTCGCTGATCGACTGGCGTGAGATAAATGTCGATCTCAATGCGAGTCCGCGCTGAATGAATCCTCGTTCTTGTCCCCCCCAGACACCTACATCCAAAAAACCAAGAAGTCGTACATTGACAGCCGAGCGAGGAGGAACCTGGGCAGCATCAACACGGAGCTGCAGGACGTCCAGAGGATCATGGTGGCCAACATCGAGGAGGTGCTGCAGAGAGGAGAGGCTCTCTCCGGTGAGTCCTTCCCTCGCTGAGCCATTGAAAGTGACGGCTCCTCCTCGCGTCCACGCCCGGGATCCTCCTCTGATTTTCCTTTTCCGTCCTCGCCTCCCCGTTTTGTCTTCTCTGCAGCGCTGGACTCCAAGGCCAGCAACCTGTCCAGCCTCTCCAAGAAGTACCAGAGGGACGCCAAGTATCTGAACACCCGCTCCACCTACGCCAAGCTGGCCGCCGGCGGCGTGTTCTTCATCATGCTCATTGTCTACGTGCGCTTCTGGTGGCTCTGAGAGCGGAGAGGAACGAGGTATCGAGGTAGAGGATGAGTCCGCACACACTAGAAGCCGGACACCTGCTCTTAATAAGACTTTGCAGACACACCACCGCCCGTCTGCTTCTCACCTGTCCCGCGGACGTGTGAGCGGATTACGAATGATTACATAATGTCGGTAGCGGTTGTTGGACGATGGGATGGTAGTTGGAGCCGGAGGCGAGTGGAGGGTGGTGACCGTGTCGGTCGGTCGGTGGGTCGATTTGCTCTGTTTTTGTAGGTGATTGGTTTTTAAGTGTGGAGGGGAAAATGAAGAGGAAAACAGGTTTCCAAAGCTGTACTGTAACAGGACTGATTTAGTCATGCCGATGTCTAATAACATCGAAGGAAATTGAAAAAATGAACTGACATGATTCTCTGCATCTGCATTTGTTAATATTATAATCACAGTAGCGATGACTTGACAGGCCTCAGCATACAACATGTACAACACTTACAAAGGGTTAGAAAAGCTGGGGTATTTATAAGGTTTGGCAAAAAAAAAGTAATTTAAGTAGACTATCTTTTTAAAAATATAGAATTCAAGCATTGCATTCCCCTGTGTATAATTTTGCAGCTTGTCTTCAGCTATTTTGGGAGAATGATGTTGTTTTTATTATTGCTGAATGGAGGCTAGTCTGTTTTTTGGGGGGGAGGCGGGTCGGCTCATTTAAAGATGCTAAATTCAAAATTCAGTTCATAAATGTTGCACCAAACCACGGCGTCCAGAGCAGACCATTAACGGCCACGCCCTCTTTGTGTGATGTAATGTAACAAACCACACAGCCCGTCCCCCCCGTTAGCTCCACCCACACAGTGGTTGTTGTTGTTGTGTCAGCACTGGTGGCTGCTTGCCGTCCGCTCCACTGTCGCCACGTTGGGGCAGATTCCTCAATCACAGATGCTCTCTGAATTTTACATTTAGCCGCTTTTTTAAATCGTATGTTTCATCAGTTAAAATCAAACAGTAAAATAACAGCTGGAGTTTGTCTTCTCCGCAGGTGGTTAAGGTGGGCTTCATCATACGAAGAGAACAAAACACCCTTTTCACAGCAGCTGCTTTGAGATAAAAACACAGGTGTAATTGACTGAATTTATTATGCTCCTGTTCTTTTTATAGCCAGCTCGCACAATAACAGGACCATGATTATTGTTATTAATTACCCGTGTTCATCCTGCTGTGTCATCTCAACCAGCTAACAGGATAAATGACAAGAAAGATAACCGGAGGTCTGTGTGCACAATTAGTACTGATTCAACCGTCTCCTCCGCTCTAGCCTTCATCATAACTACGGGCAACGTGCCATATAAAGTTCATATACGTTTAGCCTATTAATGACTATGTCTTAATTGTAAAATAGAGATTATTCGTTGTTTCTTCAACCCCCGCCTACACCTCCAACAACCCGGTACAGTCGCTGACCTCAGCAGAGTGCATCCATCCTCCTTTTAGCGTCTCTCGCGCCGCGACCGTGTGGGCCAACACCCTCCATACAAACCAACTAATGTCTAGTCGGGTCCTTCTTTTCATTTTGTGTACAGCGTCCGTGTGTAGACTCAATTAAAAGGTGAATTCAGGCTGAGAGACGTGGGGGGGGGGGAGCTCCTTCTCCTGTTCTGTCCATTGAATTCTTTTCCATATTACGGTCCATTTCTGTTATCAGTACCGTGTATATCCATGAATAAAATCATTTGCACAAATCACGCTTCCTTTCTGTCGGGGGACCTTCAACAGATGTGTTTTAATCTGAAAATGGATTGAGGTGTTCGCATTTCAAAGTTTGGTTTAGCCATCCATCCTGAATACACTCGGGTGCAAATGGACACTAGTTTATATTATTCTACCGATCCTGATGCTGAAAGGCATTTCGGAGCTTTTCCTTTGTCTGACTAACACACACTATGCAAAACACTTTCAGTAAGAACGCTTTTAGAAAAGCATAATCGACCACGACTTCTGAGAAGAGCGCCCAGTGAGTCAGCAGCACCGCCAGGTGTTTCCCGCACACATTTAGGCTTCACCCTCATGGTGTTTGCCACCAGGCGCACAGTCTGACGACGCCACTCTTGGCCAGCAGGTAGAGCGCTTTGCTCACTATTGCACTGATGCAGTTGAGGAAGGGGGGGAAAAAAATGCTCTAAATCATTCCGACTTGCAACTTCTGCTGCTGACTGTGGCTTTCTGCCCGCTGAGCTCCAAATCATCGGCTTTAAACGGACGGAAAAATACAGGCTGCAGCCTCTGTGATGAGGGAATGGAAGGGAAATAAAAAAGCTGCACATGTATAGCTGACCACAGTAGATGCAACAAACACCAGCAGGCTGGCTCGTCAACCTGAGGTTGAACAGGAAATGTCAGGGGAGAAATGAGAAGCGGCAGAGGGTTGCGTGCCAGAAGCAAACCGCAGGGCACAGGCTGACCTTTTCACCTCTTGAGGGAAGTAAGTATTTGTAAACTTGACTTGTGACTCTTATCTTCCTTTATAATCTCCTTCCACGAGAACTTCTTTTTTTTCTCTCAGACCTTTCTATTACCTCACTGTTGAAGTTGAAGTTCACCACTTATTTGCACAATTAATTCTTCTCTACTTTTTAATCGGTGGATTTCTTCTTTTTGAGATGCATATCTGGAACATCGATGCATATTTGATCACAAACAAATTTGCATCGATGTTCCAGATATGCATCTGAACCCGACGAGTTGACAGCGTCAAACGCCACGAAAGTTTCAAGCAGAATAATGAAGGAAACGCTGGATTTGTTATTTCCTGTGCCACACATTCTGTTCACGTTTAGAGAAGCTTCTTCAAATGGGCAAGATTTTGACTTTTGTGTACAACGACATAAAAAGAAGGCCGAGTACCAGAGCAAACTGTGTGTGTCACAGTGATTAAAGAGAGGACAGCATACCTCTCTCTCGCCCCAGCCCCTCTCTCCCCTTCCTCTGCAGGTTACCATGGCAGCGGCCAGTGTGTGACAGTCATGTGAAAACGAAGCAGATTGGATTAAAATACTTTGTGTGATCGAGGGTCAGGAATACGGCGCATGTACTAAACTCACACAGCCCGATTCAAGCGCACGCACGACACGCCAAGTCACAAAACCCGGACAGGTAGAAAGGCTGCGGTGCCTTCCTAACGTTTGTGCGTTTTAAAAGCTGCTGTGTGGTGCAAAACTCTCATTACCCGGCCTTGATTAGGTTTCCTGTGGACGCCGCCGCCGCAACGCCGTCCACGTATGCGCTCCACTTCTCCTGGGCCTTGTGTAATCTTAAAGAAACAGGACCTCAGAACAACGCGAGCTCGGCCTTGACCTCCAGCCGCTTCGTCTCAGCGGGACTGGAAAAATCCAGCCGGCAAATTCACACAAATCGAGAGAGTCTCAGTCGTGTTTCCCGCAACAAACGACCCCGATTGAGCGTCTGATCTCATTAAGAGGAGGGTCGACGTGAGGGGTCTGTCGCACTCGGACAACTTCATCTACTCCCTCCTGACGGTGGCGAGACCTTGATCTCTTGACAGGATTTGACAAAAAAAAAGAAAAAGAGACACCCTCAGATTATTGAATTAGCATGCAAAAATCCCATTGGTTAAAAACAGACCTAGTCTGGGTCAGCAAGGCATCGGCACTGTAAAGGCTTCTTTGACCCAGTTTTGACCTTGTTTCTTCAAACAGGTTCTACACGAGGAGCACAAGTTTTAACTTAAAACTGTCAACTACAAATGAATTAATCAGAGCACAAAACATGAAAGGATACACATGGTATTAACAACCAGCAACTAATGCGGACATATAGACGTCTTTGAAGATTCTAACAGTTTAGTTAAATAAAGTTGGCAAATCTGTGGGACTTTGGTTGCTTTCATTGAATTAGTTGTTGAAACATTTCGAGTGTCAAATGTCACACTCGTGGAAATAGTCAGAGGAATTTCACGACTTTTTATTCAAAGGTACATGTGGTCCACAAAAAAGGAAGTTGTGTCCATCGATCACCTGTAATAACCATGATAAGAAATGTGTGTTCCATCGCATATCAAACCAGCTTCCCACCTCATTCCAGCTGCTTCCCTGTCTCCTTCCTTTCATCCTCTTCCCTCAAACTCCCGCCTGGTCCAATCACAGCGCAGGGAAGCTGCGGAGACGGCAGCTGTACGGCCGAGGAGAGAGAGTCATAAAACGCAGAAGGCCGAAAGAGGAAGTCGGGGGAACCTGGTGAGTTATTGCCCCCCAAACGCACACACTGGGTCCTGGGAACAGGGAACTTCTCACAGGGGGGGTCGGTGTGGCGTGTTTTGCACAGGCCTGGACCTGCTCTGCACGCCGTGTGTTCTTTATCACCTCATCGCAGGCGGAAGATGAGCCCCGCACACCATACCGTCATAACATTACAGCAGTCTATCTAAAAAAAGAACACACTTAACTCAGTAATAAAACAGATGTAATAAAAGAAACTTTTTTTTTCCCACCACACATACCCCCATACCTCACATTGAGTGCTAGGACCTTAGGGTGTATAACCTCACCCAGCATTTCCCATCCATCTCCACCAATTTCTCCCTATAGATAACATGTTGGTTTATTAATAGTGTCATATCTGATACACAAGCATGCACACGCACACAGTGCGGAGCTTCGCCTGTGAGAAAGTGAGGAATTCCATCCATGCCTGTTTCTTTGCAGCTTGTGAATTTATGATGCAATTAACCCTGGAAGATACAGCGAGCACACTCACTCTCTATTTCAGCGTCTGAGTCAAACACGCAAACATGCAGCGAAAAATGGCCTTCAGACGTATTGAGCATAAAGAAAATGCTGGAAATGTGTCACAGTTTGTCTACATTGTGTATTGATTTTATGCATTTTCTTTTCCCAGGTCATTTTGAATTGTTATACATTTGGAAAATCACAGTTATCTGTCCTTTTTCCACATTTTTAAACCAAATTATTTGAGCATTTGAGCACTTAAATCAACACAAAAAAACGACAATGAAAAACTGTCAATTCATGACAGTAAGTGACCGTTAAAATGAAAATCAGTTTAATTCGGTTTCTATGACAGACAAATACTGTAAATATATATGTATCAGCCCACAAACATATTTATAACATTGTACTGATTTACAGAAATGGACCGTAATATGGAAAACATTCAATACTGTGATTTTTACGTGTATTTCTTCAAGAAAATACACCGTGTTTGAATTCTGTTCATCTTTCACCAGGACCTCTCCTCTCCCGGCTGTTCTCATCCCGTCAGTGCGGCAGACATCAGGGACTGTATAGCAGATGAGTTTGACCTACTGCCCCCCTCGGGCCTCAGGGAGGAGGGCATGGCTCCAAATGTGCGTGTCAGTATTTTTGTGTGTTTATGTTTTGGCGCATTGCACAAGTGTGCATACATGTGTGCTTAAATCTGGGTCTCCTAATGTATTTACGTTGAGACGACCTTGGGTGGGCGTTGGTGGGACTGAATTTGCCCCCACTGGGACTTTTCCCAAAACCAAATATCAGCAGTGGATTACATGCAGAGGTCAAGTCCTGTACTAAACCCCCTTCAGTTAATCAACAGCTCCCAGTTTGGGGGACTGTTTTTTTTTTTTTGATAGATGTGGTTATTTTCACATGTGGAGACTCAAAATCATTATTTTATATTTTACTTGGGTGAAGGCTGTTCAGTGCCCTGTCAAATTTGTTGCCACGTAGGTCAGTGTTTAGGTTGTGAAACCATGATTTACACAGTTGCGGTCATCATGCCAATAATGAGATGGAGCTGAATGGAGCTGCAGGAGTCACCGATCTGTAGCAACAACTCCAAATCTCATTCCTACCAGACAATAGTTGAAACATGTTAGTCAGTGAGTAGTGTTATAAATCCCTTGTTTTCACGCCTGTGCCACTGTATTCACCCCTGAAGCACATTTCTAGATCGAACTGTTTGCGCTTTTCAAATTAGAATCTTGCATGCATGAGTGCATCGTGTGTGTTTGCATGTTTGCGCGTGTGTATTTTTGTGTATTCAAAATCCGTTTTCTAATCGCAAACCATCTCGTTGGCTTGAGTTTCTAGAGAGGCGACGTGCTCCTCTGCACAAAGTCTGCAAGGAACACGCTAACAACGCTCTACTTTATCCTGAATTTGTTTGTGACTGAGGGAGCTGGGAAGCGTGGCGGTGTTGTGAGTGTGCATGCGTGTAGAGTAGAAACCATGCACAACGCAGATGACACGGCCAGGACCGTTATTTTCCCACAGCACAATATAAATAGCTTGCTAGTGTGGGGTGACGGTGGGCAGGCAGGGGCGCACGAGGGAGGATCCCGTCCACACACAACCACACATTCCCGTTCCACCTGGCCCTGGCAGGGCCCTGTAGGTCAATTACAGGCTGTGCTCACACACACGCACACACACACATCCCTCCTCCTCCTCACACCTTTTCTCCATCACCTGTTTCCTCACCTCTGTGCCAACTCCCCGGCCCTCAGGCGGAAGGTCTCTGCCCACATCACGCTTGGTCACATCGGGCCCTCGCGCTCGCTGACTCTCCACCTTTGACCACGGTGGAACGCCGTGACGCACACATTAACACCAACACACACACGCCTCATCTTGGTTTCTCGCATGAACTTACTAGCAAAATCCCTGCTTTCCTCAAGGAAGGTGCCATCTGCAGCGAGCTACTTTAGTGTAACGTTTGCTATGTTCCCAGAAGCTGCAGCGCACCAACTCACGATGTCCTCTGCAACGTGCTGCTAATTCATCAGCCCGACAATGATTTCTCGGCTTAGTTGAATGTGTGGTGAATCATAACGATTCCGCGCAGTGATTACACTTTGAAATCACACGTTTTATGTGTGACTATTCTGCAGCAAATTACAAAAAAATTAGGCCGGTAAAAAAAAAAAAGGGGGAATGTTTACTTCCCACCAAGTAAATGATTACACTGATTCAGCGCCAATGTGTGCTCTTTATAAAGTGTGTGATACTATCTACCCCGGTGTTGACACTTGACTCATATAACTTCAAGTTCACACAGGAAAAATGATTTACTGTGATTAAATATTTGGCAACCCTTAAATCAGCTCTGCATCTCTGCGTAAGTTACACACCATGTGGCTTTTCATCTTGATTACGTGGCTCCAGAGGCCAAACCTGCACTGTTGATGGTCGAGTCAAGAAAATCCGAAATTGACGCGATATCCTCTTTGAATCCTACTTGTCGTGGCCGCAGAGCGAATCCCCGCCTTCTCCTCCCATTGCACAAATCTATATGCTGCTCTTTTAACAGCACTTAGGGAGAAAGGAGGCAATAATCAAGCCTAAAAATACCCCCTTCAGCTTCCTGTCCCATATCTGCTTACCCAGTAAAGACGGCATTAGACAGCCGAGGCTTCCGTCTGCTGAGCGCCCGGGGTCAAATAAAAACTTCACACCCGAGGCCTGACGTTCGTGAATGTCCGTCTCAGCAAAGCCAGGGCAGAATGCCTGCTGGTCAGCACCCGTGTTAACTCAACCTGATCTCAGTGCATACGCAGTTGCTCAAAAGGTTCCCCAAATGCCACAATGCAAAAAAAAAGCCTTTACGGACTGTGCATGAAAAGCATCGGGACAATGAAACACAACTTGCCTGGGTTTTGTGCGTCTGTTTGTGCTGGCGAATGGGCTGTCACTTCTGAGAAAAGTGAATTGGCCGCTGCCGCTACTAATTATAGAAAGGCATCGTATATACACCCCACGCTGCCATCGCACAACGTAAAGGCCCGGTGAGTACTCCTTGAATTACAGGCACTGATTCGGTTTCCCATGGCTATCAAGTTGGGGGAAGATGGCGTGTTTTATGGTTAAGGAGAGCGCACAAGCGCACACACCCATGCCCTCTCTAGCGTAATCACTCATTACTGTCTGCCCTTTGCATCCACGCTGTGAACGCTATGTTCTGCAGCATGAATCTACACGCTGACAGCTGGAGACGCCCGGACCGATGAGCTGCGAATCAGTGTGAAGAGCGCCGACGTTGATGAAAGCAGCCCTCCGAACCGGCGAGGTCAGAGTTTTATCACTTCTCCGTGAAAGCAAAACCTGCAACACCCCCCCAAAAAAAAGAAATGCTCACAGCGGATGTAAAATGTGCTGTGGCAAAGCTGATGTTCTTATAGTGATTCCATTTGATTCCTGACAGTATTTGCTGCTAACGGATGTTTAATGTGGTATATTTTTGTTGAAACAAGAGATTGAATTTGAGGCTGTTGATGTATTTATTACAAAGGTGGTTCAAAGGGAGTTGAAGCGAGCCTGAGCCTTCCCAACACTGTTTATTTTTTTCCCTCCCTGAGACTGCGTCAGGCCTCCAATGGAAGGAGGAACTAATCAGCGTTTTCTGCTCACAAGGCAGATCCACACCCTTCCTCGCCCCGTCTTCCCCAAAGGCCCACATCTGGAATGACATCATTAAGAAAACAGTACCGCGGACCAAAAGCAATCCTCCGATATCATTTATATAACATTATCTGAGGGCTTACATGACCAACGGCCTTACCGTAAAACAGCAGAAGTATCAAAGGGTTTTATTCAGAATTTAACGTGACACGACTTTTGTGGCATTGGATTTAAATGCAGAAAACAGCATCCGACCAAATGCCTGAGCAGCGTTTGTCGTGGTGCCAGCAATTGACACCCAACAACGCATGGAGAGCAAGAGCTTGACATTGGCCACAGCAACAAAAGCTTTGTGAGTCTCGACCCCTGAGGAGATCAATTTGCTCCCCTCCGGTCGCAGGCCTTTCAGCAGGGTTGAATAGGGGACAAAGGGTCGGTCGCAGCGGCATGGGGCTCCGCAATGTTTCTGTAACGGGGTGTAAAGACAAACAAATCACTGGGATGAGACGTGGCCTTGTTGTTGCGGCGAGCCGGTGATTTACACCTGGATCACTCAGGCTGATAAGGGATAATTACTTTGGGACTAACAGTTTAGAAAGCCAGTGTGTGTGTGTGTGTGTGTGTGTGTCCGTCCGTGCATGAGCGAGGGAGTTTGAAGGGCAGTGTTGAGTTTCACTCGTGTTTTAGATTTGTGGGCTCGAGTCGACCTTGCTGTGCTCAAAAATAAGGAACAATGATGTTTAGAAAACGCTGCTTATGGTGAGAAACAAGGACAATGTTTTACTATGAAGGCTGCCGCCTAATCTGTATGATAACTGTGGCTGCAACTTTATTGAATAATCAGATTTTCTATTTTCTCGGCTTATCGAGAAAATGTCAAACAATTTCCAAGGTTATGGCTATTCCAAGGAAATTAAAAAACAAAAATCCCAAATCAGCTAATTTTCAGATTTGACATGCTCACGAAAAAACTATTTTTGTGGTGAATCAAATTCTTAAATTATTTTTTATTTTGTAATGTTTTTATTTTTAATGTATTTTTATTTATATGAATTATTGCCATATTGCCTGTTTCTATTTGATGGAACTCTTCTTCTAATTCCTTACGATATTTTATGAAGTATTGAAGCTAAATAGGCCAACAACAACATGTAACTTTTGGAGCAGAGCCACAGCAGAACTTGAACTGTCTGCACCAGAGAAAGTGGTGAGTAACTTGAGCAGCCTGCAGCTAAACTGCATCAACACCGGCGATCATTTAATTGATGGCATGAGTAAAAGAAACTAAATCACGTTTTGATGAATCCAAAAGCACACGATCAGATTGAAATGATTCGAAGGTCACAGGAAACCATTGTTTAAGAGAAAAAGTTGCACAAATGAACCCTTTGACACAGACGGACATTTACACTTTAAATGACAAAGAAAATGAAAGAGTGGGACTTCAAATACATTTTGGGGAAAAACGTGCAGTTCATGGAAGGAGGCAAGAAAAAGAAAAAAGAAAACCATAGAACGGGTTAATTTTGAGTCATACCAGGCTCAGAGAAGTCGAAAAATTAGAAGAAGAAAAAATTCCTCCGCCGCGGCGACACCGAGAAATGATCCTTCAACTTTTGTTATTTTTTTCCCCCCACGTTTCGCCCGTCGTAACGTGGCGGTTCACACCGAGTGATCCAAACGTGCCGCATCGGCGTCAAACGCTCTCGTTTAGATAGAGGCGTGTACGCTTTCACCATCTTTTCTTTTCGGCCCGTCTCTAGACCCCCTCTGACTCCGGCGGAAGGATACGTGTTTTCGTTTCTTGGCTCGCGGTGACTGGTGCGCGCAGAGAGGTGGAGGACTCTTCTCCGGTAACCGTGCGCGACTCCCACAAGCCCCGATTGTTTTATTTTAAGCGTTCTCTCAACGCGGCGGCTCGCGGGATACGTGTTTTATAAAAACCGAAATGTGGTGATTTCTTTGAGCGCCGCTAGTAGTTTTCTCTTTTATTTCTTTTTTTTTACTGCGCGAGAGCCGTTTTCCGAGAGACTTTCTGAGAACCAAAACCGTCCCCGGGAGACAACTCCACTTCGTTCTGGCGACCTTATGTGGATTTTACAGAAGACATGGAGCAGATCCCCGGTTTCTCCTCGGGCAAATCACTAGTCTTCGTCTTCTGCCTCGTTCACCTCTCTTCGGGTAAGTAACGTTAGTTTAAATAAACCTGCGCTGTTGTTTTCTGGTGATTCGCTCGCTGTTGGCTCGCGCATCTGCGGGACACAGCATCTCTCCACGCGCACGGCGGGTGAGTCACTAGTATCAGAACAAATGTGACTTTTTGTGGGCAAAAAAGAGTAAAAAACAGACTTAAGCCTGAAATTAATCGGCTTAATTTAGGCATTTACAGTATTTACAACTGCGTTTTCTGTCGCGCGCGCATCGCCTCTGCTGCTCGGGGTAAGTTAGCTTAAAGTTAACACACGCTAGCTAACTTTACGTTTGCTTTGGCGTTACTTTGACGTCACACCCTTTCTATACGTGTTTTTGCTCTCGTATCACCATGACGTGACCGACGACCACACTGCACATCACCACACGTCCCGTTTCGAAAGGTCGGTGTCTGGTTCAATGCCGTGAGTTTCCGCTGCCGAGTCACACCGCTGCCCAGATGTTCAGCAGAGAAATAGTTCAAAATGGATCCATAACCATGTTTAAAATTAAGAGGGCCGACCGTGATGGAGAGGACGTGTGTGTGTTTTATGAATTGGGAAATAATTGTGATATTTAAAGAAAAAGTAGGATAAAGAAATTGTCCTAATCAGTCCTTCATAGCAGCAACAGCAATGTCAATATGCGTTTAAACACAGCATATATATATATATGCGGGAGTTTCTAGTGAAGTATTTAATGGAGCACTAATTGGTTTCTTTTGATAGGAAGCCAGTAGGAGGTCATAGAGTACTCAGGCTGGTGGACTAGGAAAGACTCGGATGAGTCAAAGGTTCTTTTGAAATGACATTGCAGAGACCAAACCAGCTCACGTTAAAAAAGCACAGTGACTCCCGGTGTGTACGTTTTTGTCTGCATGAATCATAGTGGAAGCTTAGCTTTAAATTGTTCTAAACACGTGCTTCTGAATACACAGGTGCATGAACATTGTACAATGTTTCTGATTAAGATAAGATAAAACATTATTCCTAATTTCCTGGGGATTAGTACTTTAGTGAATGCAATGTTGAAAACTTAATTTTGAGTACCTCACTAATTCGATCTCTGCCATGACTTTCATTCCCATGGATTTCTGGGTTTCCTCTGAGAAATGTGCCGAAAGGCCTGTAGCCTTTTAAGCCTTTATGTAATGGTGCCACAGCAGGGAAACTGTGTTCATCTCCCATCTTGCTCTCCTTTTGCCTTTTTAGCTCAGAGTAGATACATGCAGCCCTGCTATTCTTTCTCACGTTTTTTTTCATGGGCTATAGGTGACTTGTGAACGGTGATGTTACACAAAAGGAGAAAAGACAATGAAAAAGTGCTGCAGGCAATGCAAGGAGAGGCAGTGGAATGTTGTTGGTGTTTGACATTCCTCCCTCCCTCTCTGCTTAGCCTCTCTCCCTCTCTCCAACATACACACACACCAACGCATACAGACACACACAGACTTTATGCACTATGATTTTATTTTCCTTTTCCTCTTTGCTATATTTATTCATCCTTTGTTCAACTAATGTTTGCTTTGTGGTTGCCGCAGCGACGCCAGCACACAATACTTTTGCCAGAAATTTAGGTCCTCGCGGCTTTTGCGTTTAAGTTGCACCTCTTAGTTTCTGTCACTAGGTGTCCGCTGCACGCACAGGACCTTTCATTTGGGAATGTCACAAATACTTTGCATTTTCAAAATTCATCCTTTCATCCTTTTATAATAGTTTCATTATATACTTCTTTCAATGCAGTGATTCTATAAAGGTGATGAGGTATATCCAGAAATAGTTTTTTAGTTTTGCAGGTATCCTTTGTGGACTCCTTGCTCCTTCGCAGTAGACTTTGTTGGTACAGCCTTCAGCATCTTGGAGGATACGGCGTCGAACAGAGCGTGAGCAGTAACGCCCTTTTGCGCGCTCGTAGCCCGAGCGCCGTCTGACAGGGCCCGCACCATCTGTGGAGGCCCGCGCCACAGTGCCCCGCGTGACTATAAACAAAGCTTAAAGCTGAACATCCAAATAGTTGGAACACTGCGCCGTATGAGCCGCTGTGATCACAGCTTGGGATGTGTGCAAGGCGCAAATGGTTTATTTTGACAGGATGGCACGGAATAAGGTGTTGTTTACCATAATGACATAAGGGTGGTTTGAGGTTTACCCAAAATGCAAGAAAGCATCTGTGACCTGCATTCTCCAGCTTTTTAGTTTACAATTATTTGTTCATAGAATTGATGAAATGTTGCAAACAAAACTGTGCAAAAATGTCACTGTCTTTGTAAATGTGTATAAAATACTGTCAGGAGTTAGCAGTCTTTTTCTAACTGTTGGGACAAATGCAGCTGCACTTCCTTTTAGGGTTTTTGAGAATAAAAGCGCGCCAGTTGTTTGCCGATTGGAAGCTTTTAATGTGAAGCGGCATGTTTGCATTATCATATCCTGCCAATCAGAGCTCCAGTATGTCACATAACTGTGGACCCTAAACACAATCTGCAAACAGCTGAACATAAAAATAAGTATATTTCTCCTTTTCAACTGACACACGTCAAGCCAGGACATCAAAAGAGCAGTTTGACTTCACTCCTGTGGCTTTGATTATGTGATCCTGCATTATTCTTCTATATGCCACAGGGCGTACAAACAAATGAACTGTGAAAAATCTAAAAGACATCGAATGTGACCCGGTGTAACCACCAAAAAGCCATAACTCAACCTCTGGCTTGTATTGTCCAAAGGAGATCACAGTGTCTCTGTCTTTTCGCTCAATGTCACTAAACTCTGACTGAAAAAGGTGATTTGTGGCACATTCATAAACTACCAGTGACGTTTGCATTTAGCATTACGGTTCCGTGGTTTGCTTTGCTAATTGAGACACGTTGCTAAAGTCTTCTTCCTCAAAAAAAACACATGCTTTACTTGCTATTCGATCATAATTTCAGGCCTGCAAAAGCCCCTCGGTGGTGATGCGGGAACTGTGTGCCGCACAGTGTTGTAGGTGATTGTGTTTCTGGATATTGATGCAGCGTAGGTGCCATCATTGCGGCAAACGGCATAGCGTTGCCCCTACGGCGTGGGCAAGCGGATCGTCGCACATATTTGCCCAGTGCAAACAGCAGACAGCTGACACGAGTGTGCATATCTATTTGCGCGTGTGTGGGTGCATGTGCCGCTCTGTGAATATGAACCGTCAAAGGGCAGCAATTGTGTCGCCCATGGTTTCCTTGCGTCTGACCCAAGCTGGGGGGGGACTGGTGTGAAATGTGATTTATCTGCAACGTGCTTCGCCCTCTGCTTCGGCATGTTGTGTGAAGACAAAGATATTTATTGAGTCGCCCACACTACTGCGTTATTTACTGACCACCAGCTCATCCCACTGCCTTGTGGCGGTTGTATTAATGCGTTGTTTTTTTTCTTTTTTGTCATCTTATCTCACATCGGCTGGCTGTGACCTCAGCTCAGATCGTTCAGCCATAGTGCCCGTGCTCGTGTTTCAGGTTATATTCAGTTCGGTCTTCTACGCCCTTTTTGATTGGTAGTTTAGTCCAACAGTCGGGCCTCCGCTCGTGTGTCGCTCCTGCACATGTTGGTTGTGGTGGGAGTGAGTGCTAACGTGTCTGACTGGATGAGTCAGTGCTTGGACGTGTGCGTCACTGACACACGAGCTCCAGATGCACATGGGTCACTATGTCCGTGCAGCGTGTATTGGTTTGGAATTGACCTAAACTTGAAGACTTACAAATACGGTCTTGAAGTTGAAGTGCATGTCAGACGAGGTGGTCACAGTCAATGGCCTGCGTTACCATTTTGGTTGGCTGTGCTGACAAAGCAGCAGGGCCTGCTCCACCAGTTCCCTCTCCTTTTGACTTTGATCCACCTGCACTGAATAAATACCAGTCCAAGTGTGAGTGAAGTTAGGTGCATGCCCTGCATGAACCACCTGCCCTGTTTCTATAGGAGGTGGTGTTTGTGGCTGTGAAGGTCGAGGGGATTACAGAGCCGTCGTGTCTGCACTGTTGAACAGGTTGGCAAATTAACAGGGAATTACTGGGACCTGCATTCCTTGGTCAACGCACCCCCGTAATCCCGGAGACAGGCGGAGCAATGAGCCAAGCAAGGCACATCGGCAAGGAAATGAGAATACTTTGTATCGGGGCACAGCATTGGTTTGGTCCAATGTAAGAGTCGGTTGTAATTCATGGTCCATAGAGAGTCCATAGAGAAGGTGGGACATGACGCCACGTGGCTCGACATTAAAGATTTTCCAGACAAAAAAACGTTGGTTTTGGTTAAGCTACAGATCATTTTCCCTTACAGTTTGTCATTAATACACCTGTTTTCTATGAATGTCTGCTCTCCTTGAGCCTGGAAAGACTCATTTACATTTTGCCTGAGTCAGAAGAACACCAGAGGTACACCATGTATCTCTATATGAGAAAATAATTCTCATATCGAGGTAGAGCTTTTCTCCGTTGACATTTTACCACCATGGATAATGCCGGTTCAATTCTGATACCTAAATGAATAACAAACATTTTTACACACAACCTAAAAGCATGAAAGGAAGTTAGTCCTTGTACTATGTGTGTGTTTCATTAGTCAAGCAGGGGAAAGTCCCTGCATTGGTCTGGTCTGGTCTGCTCTCCCCATTTCTGTCTGTCTGACACACACACACACACACACACACACACACACACACACGCAGACATCGAAAGAGACACACACGCAGACATTGACACACACGCATACTGAGCCAGCATGCCAGCACATTCAGATGAGACTCTCCCAACTTCTCCCAGTAATTACGACAGCGAGGCGACCGTCTCGTCTCATTTGGGAGGTTAGGGGAATAATTACTGGGGCAGTGAGGGTATTTGCCCTCCGTCGCACTTCCACTTTCAGCATCTGGGACTACCGCCAGCTTTTGATTAGCTTGCATGTGGTTCACTCTTGAATTTCTGTTTTTTCTTAAAAGGAGAATTGCCGGTTCGACGTGAGCTGGGGCCGACGGTGTTCGCCCACTAGCTAACGTTACGCACACCAGAGCCAGCGCTTTCTGCCAGAAAGCCTTCATTTCAACCCGATTATATTTATGAACTTGAGTAGGCCTGTCTGTTGCCTAATCCACAGGCGATTTTTAACAGAAAGGACTCTCTCTCATTCTGGAGTTATTCAACAGGGGAGTTCGCTACTCTTGAAGTATAGAAAACATCCGATGCCTCGGCCCGGCGGCGAGTTATTATTCACCGTCTCTGACAGAAGCTTTACCCAGATTGCACTGGGTTACGAACAAACAAAGGATCGGAAATTGAACCGTGTTTAATCGCATTTTTTAAATGTTTTGATTTGCCTCCAATAATAATAATCCAATAGATCAACATGAGACCATCTTTGTAACCACAAGCCTTTTGCTGTGAACTCCGACAGTGTTCTGACTTCTTCTAACCTGACGCTGATCCGGGGCGGCTAAAGCCTTAAAACCCCTGTTCGGTTCGTCTGCTGTGTGTGTGGGCCGGCAAAGCTGCCCTCAGGGGTAAGAAGTCTTCATTTGAGCATCATCTCCCTCCTTCCACGCTGAGCTAAGGGTATTTTATTGCAAGTTGCCACGGCGACTGCTGGGCTCGCTGGATGTAGAGGCTTGTACGGCAATTCCAGGAAATGGGGTCACTTCCTCACTCAGCGCGAACGACTTCCTGCCCTCCGCTGTGTGGATGCGTGCCAGGGCTCAGGAACTCCCATTCGTGTGTAGCCTTTGTCTGTAGGGTCGTAATTACTTCCCCGTCTCAATCCTCAGCTATTAGCTCTCCCTCCATCACTCCCCTCCTACCGCGGCCTTCTTTTTTTCTCCCCCCCTTCTCCTCGTGACGCAGCTCGACCCCTCTTGGGACGCGCCGCGGTGTCGGTGACAAAGCGCCGGCGAGCGCTGAGGGAGGAACCTGCGTAATGCCAGCCGGGCACGACAACCGGACTCTCTCGACATTTTTTTTTTCTATCTCGACACCGTGTTTTCATTTTTTAAAAGATTCTCACATTCAAGTACAAAAACATAAAATAAAACAAATAAATCCAAGTAGTTGTGGTGGCTGCTGTTCTTTGCTTTTATACAAGCTGCAGCCCTTTCGACAGCTCAATAAATGTTTCTAGTAATAGCTAGATGAAAAGGAAACAATAATTGTGAGTCTTTTAAATAATTATGAAACAAAACCAGCAAGATGCTACATTCAGCATGGCAGCGTGGTCACAATGATAATGTTAGCATGTTGATATTTAGGAGAACAGAAAAGTGTTTATAGTATAGCTGCGAGTTTCGTGGTCGACCACAAATGTCCGTCTCAATATTCACGCCACGCATTAGCTGACTGAATGTTTAGATAAACGTTTCAATAAACTCTGTGAAGAGAGTGTCAGATGACGTTCAAGTGAAGTACAAGTTTATATTTTTATGGAAGAAAACCAAATTTGTCATTATTAGTTTAAGTGATGCACTAGAAGCTGCCCAGAGGTGTTTTAAATAGATCATCATTCCTTTCTAATATCTCATGTCTTAGATCTGTATCTGTATGTATTGTGTACGTACATATATTTAATATGGCTTTGTTCCTTTTTGAAGAAGTCTCCTCTGATCTTCGTTCTGTGGCCTTCGGGGCTGCAGTCTGCTGATGCGATGATAGACATCGGGCTGACTTACAGCGACCGCCCCCCCACCCCCGCCTGGAATCCAAACGGGGACTTTGTGGTTAAACACCTTCTGTTATATTTAGCTTTGGGCCTCTTTGGCTTTGTTCATGTTTTTTTTTTGAGAAAGGCTCATAAAAACAGCTTAATGGAAACATACGTGTTGCACCCACCCCCACCTTTGGAACCCGAGGCGCCCCCATCTCACCATGCACCAACATCTCACTTATAGAAAACTACTCTGCATGAGAGTTTTGTGCCCATTTAGCACACTGCGATGTTGTTTGTACTGTAAAATGTGTAAAAGAGAATTATGATTAACATGAATTTGAATCTGGATCTGCTGCGACTTGGATGACCTCTCACATGTTTCCGCGCAGCCCCACATAGAAACGCCTTTTTCCATTGCGACATCTGCATACCGAATCTCCCACCAGAGCTTCTCATCTTTGTCAACATTTTAGTTAGTTTTTTTTTTTTTAGTAAGAATAAGTTTAGTTTTAGTACAGTTTGGGCCTGAGAATAACCTTTTTTTTTTTCTTTTTTTTTTCAAAGCGCAAGAATGATGTTAATATCATAACGTTGAGTTCACTGAGGAAAGTTTGAGAAAAGCACCTCCACATCTGTGTTTAAAACTCTCATTTTTCATGCACAATGGCATCTTTACAGATACAGGAAACACGCACGTCTCTCCTCCCAGTCCCACCAGACTGCAGACATTGTAAATCTCTTGCTTTTGTGTTGCTTTTTGTACTCCACTTAAGCGGCACGACGCGGTGGTGGGAGGTATAAATAAAAAGAAAAATGTGCATTTGATCAGGAACGGTCCAAATCATGGCTCTCATCGTTGTCAGCAGCCCGCGTGCTGTGTTCCTCCGCTCACACCATCTGCCTGTAGTTTCACTGTGGACTTTGTCGATTTGGGCCTTATCACGGCTCCCATTCCTGGGAAATCTCCTGTTGATAGTGAAGTGTGGGAACAGCCAGGTGGAGAGGATGCAATGCTGTTGGTATGAGCGTGTATCGCAGCACGCCGCTTTGGAAATGTCAAGGTGTGGGAATCGTTCTGCTTTGTTTAACTTTTACAGAGAGACGCATTACCGGGGTACTCGTGTGTGTGTGTGTGTGTGTGTGTGTGTGTGTGTGTGTTCCAAAATTGCGCAATGGCAGGCGGGCCGTCCCAAATCTGGTAAGATCATTGTGTCTGGCATGACAGCGTCCGTGGGAAGCTCGTCAAACCAGTCGGGGAATCAGAGTCTCTGTTTCCGGTCTGGGCTGTCATGCATTTATGCATGCTCTTCTCCACACGTCCTCCTTCCCCCTCGATCTATTCAATTTTTGAATATCATTTAGACGTAAACGTGATCAAAACCAAAAGCGAAAGTTCCACTCCGTCACGAGTCAAACCGCACGTTAGTGGATTTCTGTCTGTCTGCGTTTTGATGTTGTGTATGCACCATCTACTCATGCTTTTAATACACTGGGTGACTGTGTGGTTCTGCTCGTAGAGGCACAAGCCTGTGTGCGTGCTCGTTGGAATTATGAATTTCACAGTGGTTTACGTATGGAATCCCCGTGTCTAATGGACTATGCCTGTCAGCCCGGGTCCAAGGCGATCTACTCCGCCCTCGCTCTCTCACTGGACCGCTTCACAGTCACGGAAAAAACACACCACAAAATCATTTAAAGTGAGGTTTACAATAGTTTGTGTCTCCACGTATGCTCCTCCGCTCGAGTGACAACGTGATTAATAGAGGCGCACAAAGTAACACCATTGCTCGGTACACTTCCTGTAATGCAATGACTGTTTGTTGGCTTTTCTTTGAAATCAGCTGACCTAACCGCAGTTTTGCTCACAGAGTCCCGTTCAGCCGGGTGAGGATTCATGGACATGTGAGGCTAAAACAATAAAACAAAAATTGTTAATACAGCAACATTCTCACAGTAATTTATGGTGTTTCTAATTAAAGACCCTCACTTGACAAACAGCAGCTTCCTTCATTGAGAACTGAGAACATCACACTCGATGTCGGGCCGGCATGCTGTGCCCGAAGACTACTTGGCCATGTGCACACAATGGCTGATGTGTCTGCCTGCAAGTGTCTCATTGGCGGGGAGACAGTTGTGGTTTGTTGTCGTCGCGGAGTTTGATTTGCGCCTGGCTCATCCGGCCGTCCTGTAACCGCAGGCCGATTTCAGGTAGCATCTAAAAACACGTGTCTGCAATGGTCAGAATTACCACCGCATTCAAATATTGCCAATATGACAAGTGTTGAGCTTATCAAGCACCCCGCTAATCGCCCGATCTCTTTACTTTTCCCCCGTCTCTTGCAGCTCTACAATGTATGGACGATAAGGCGCCTTGTGTCAACAACGCGACATGCCTGACCTTCAACAATGGCACAGAGTACTGCAGGTAAGGTCGTCTGGCACCGAACACACTCGCACTGTCACCGACACTCGAACAAAATGGGGAGGGGGGGGGGGGGGGGGGGGCCCTGGATGTGAAACGCCAGAATAGAAATACAACTTTTTTTTTTTTAGATCAACCCGAGCCTGTCCACAGGACCATGAGGTTTGGCTCAGGCACGGAAGGGAGAATAAAAGGCTGCTCTGTCTGACAAAGTACACCAGTACTGGGAACAATACCAATACACACATTTCCACCTCCAAGATGCTATTTAGGACATTTCAGGGGGTTTTGTTACATGCTCTCTTGTTGCTCTAGAATGAATAGCTGGAGGTGTTGCCAACATTTGACTGCCTGCTGATTTGTTTTTCCTGTGGGATGCCGAGACGATGACGAGACACCTCTGTTACGTGAGAAAGTAGCCTTCTCTGTCCGATAGATGAGGGGGGAAAAAAATCTGAAACGTGGTCATTTGATTCAAAACGACACTTAGGCTACCCGTCGGTACACCAGCGTGGCCCCTTTTTCTTCTTGGAGCACGGCATGTTGTTGCGGTAACTTGAAACAACCTGCAAGTAAGTGTCTTCTGCTACCGGCGGTGCAATCGGGTCATTAAGGGGGAACGTGCTGTGGTGAGAAGGAGAGCGGGGGCCTGTGTGATCTCTGACGGCTTAGCCCACTTTGTAATTAAGACTCTGCTGTCTTCTTAATTACGTTGCCACTCCCGAGCCAAAGTCCCACTGAGAACGTGGTTCATGGAGCTGCTCACGTTTCATCAAATGCGATGTGAATCGGGCTGTGCGTCCGTTCCCACCGCTTTAGGAATTTCAACGCTCTTGACACAAAAGGGAAGCAGAACGCAACATTCCTTAATCGGTGTTTGACATTCCGCGTCTAATTGAAGGTCAGGTGGCTGCAGGTGCAAACCGGCTCATCGCCTCTGTGCGGCCTGTGCGTTAGGCGGCAACAATTAAGAAAAAGAAAAAAAAATCAAGGCCTAATTGCAGATTCTTCAGACTGTTACTGCGATTTGTGGTTCTGATTTTCAACCGGCGCATATGAGCGGTGGCCGCGAGCTGGTCAGTGGAGCGCGGTGGTCCGGTGCACAAACATGCACGCCGGCCCGGCTGTGTCAACAAAAAAACGAAGCTTGTGTTTTAGAACACACACACACACACACACACACACACGGAGGAAGAGAGAGTGAATTTGTTCTCTGCTCAAGTACACATCACTACACTTTCTTTACATAGAAAACTATTTCAAATTGTAAATGAATGAGATCACATTTGATTCTTTTTTTTTAATTTTTGAAGAAGCTGTGCTACTGTGGTATTTACTCGCCCTCTCGGTCAGCCTCACTGTCTCCATGACCTCCTGAAGTCCTAATTTATTTTTATATGAATGCAATCATGATATTGCTGATGATAAACGGCAGGGTGGCCTTTTGCCCTGAAGACACACAGAGAAGAGTCTCTCTGCTCAGTCAGCTGACAGAGCGCAGGCCTGCTGTTAGACTGATTAACTGGCCAGTCCATTTTTTGTTCACAAGTAAACATGAACTACACACACACACACATGCTCACACCAATGGCCTTGCCCTTGTCTGGTCTGCTTGTCCCTCTGTGCTGCTGATGAAAAGACTCATTGTGTTCAAATTAAATTATGTGTTTATTGGTGGCCTCCTCATATTAAAGGCGGCCGGCTGTAAGTCAACAGTTACTTTGGCCCTTTGGCTCGGTCCCGCCCGATGATGGCTCACACCGGGGGTCACGATATAATTAAACCATTGATGAGTTTCCGCCGCGGACCACTGGGGTACAGTTACATTTATTTTTTAATGTATTTTACAGATTTCCTAGTGAACGATTCAACCTGTGAGTTTTTTAACGCTGAGAGCGGAAAGTAAGAGCGCCATCGTGCCGTTGACCTTGAAATGGAGCAAAACAAAGGAAAAAGAATGTTGCTTCATTAATGCAGCTGTTATTTGTTGATGTGCGTCATGTAACCGGGTGCACAGTGGAAAGACGGGGCCCCGGTTTTTGATTTGCAGCATAACCTGCTTCAGTGCAACTGTGGAAAACGTACAAATGCACTTTTTATATGTGTCGGTTTTACATCTCTTTATTTCCTTTTTTAAGAAACTGTTTGCATTCAAAACTGATGGGAAAAGACACCACGGCGGGGAGCCTCCCCCTCGAGACGCTGACGGTGGCATTGACGTTGCGTGTTTTGCAAATGGCGCTCTGTCTCATTTTGTGAGAGTCAGCGCATGGGAGAGGTCCACCGGCTGTCTGGCAGGACAGGGTGCGGGGAAGCCGTCTAACCGGTGGCACCGCAAGCCGCCGGGCTCGGGTGTGAGATGAAGGCGTGTGTGGTGAGCGTGTCTCTGTGTGTGTGTGGATTCGTGGGTGTCACCAGCCTGATCGGTGAGCCCATTGTGACCTTGCGTCATTGCTGAAGGGATACGTAACGGCCGTCTGACGAGGTATGAGCGAAGGGCACAGAGACGATGGATCCGTTGGTCGGAGGAGAGCGAGACAATGAGCCCGAAAAGTGGGCGAGGTCGGCAGGGAACTGCAGCTACGGGAACCGTAGATGGCAACAACGTCTGAAGTCAAGGTTCTTTGACGGAGTGTACCAACGGGTGTCACGCAGCCACGTAGGAAGTCGTCACATTTTTAAATAGAATACGACTAGAGAAAGCTTCTGTTGAAAACAGGGTTAGGAGCGCAGCGCGACATGTGGAGCCTTGTTCACGGACTTAATACCTTACGTTTGAAAACCCTGTTTTTCCTCCAGAACAAGATCTCTTTGTCCGCTGTTCATGGTGCAAACTGATTAACTCTCCCTCCCTCTCTGTGGCCCCTTGCTTTTTTTTTATTTCGCACTCTCTTTCTTCCCCGCCGTGCCAGTCCTGCCTTGACGTTTATTAAAAAAGAAAGGATTTATTTTTCTTTCTGCGTTGGGTCGACCTGCTGCTCTGACCTGCTTTGATCTGACAGGTAGAATTTGCCCGCGGGGCAGACGCAGGAAGAGAAAGGGACAGAAGAAAACAGGATGTCTCTTTTTCAGGTAACTCGAGGAGGAATACCTCGGAGCACAACTCCTTACTAATGATGAGAGAGCGTCCTGAGCGATGTGGGGGTGGCGGTACTGAGGGAAGGGGGGCGGCGGCCCAAAGAAAGGAGTGTAATTTTCCTCTCGCTACGCCTCCTTCATCAAACTGTCACTCATCCATCCATGCTTCTGTCCCTCCCCCGACCATCTCGACCCCCCCCACAGCCCTATTACCCTGTTGCGTTTATTATTGCCGTACCTGCTTCATCTCTCGTTCGTGCCTTTGTGTGTTTGTAGAACTTTGTCGTGGATCTTTTTTTTCCTCTGGCTGTTTTTTGCCTCGTCACCTCTCGGAAAGCTTCGGGGCGGGACGTGTGTTTTGGTCAAAAAGTTGAGGTCGCTGCGCTCTGCACCTCCACAGCAGACACAACCCCCACGCACGCACACACATACCCCCGCTCACTCAGGTTTGAAGTGGGTAAGGCACATGATCCCGACTAAAGTCAACAAAAGCTTGAGTGGGACACCGGAACCCACGGCAGTGATTTACCCTCCAAGTCCTGCTCACACAGCGCTGTAGATTTGCTGTAGGCGCCACGGCGATAAAGAGTTTTCTTTGTGTATAGCTTGTTCCGTATGACCTGTCTGTGTGTCTTAGAGGCACCTTGAGGGACATACGGTAAGAACACATGATTGCACAGAAAACTCTGCAATTGGGTTTTTTTTCTCATTGGAGCCTTGTGGCTTTGCAGAGCGCTGATGTTACCCATCAGATGACAATGACAGTATTCTAAACATATTGCTTATTTTCAGATGGCTAAAATGGATTTTACTGCAGCTCCTGTCCACGACAGGACATTACTTTGCTCAAGTGCCGGTACTATTTCCTGTTAGTGCGCCCCCATCTTTTGCAGGTCCAAGCGCCTCAAAGATGCCGTCTATCGGGTTCAGTATTGGGATGGTGGTAGTAGTTCTCTTGAGTGTATGTTTGAGGGACGAAACGAGGGCACGTGGCGACGGTTCCATCCATCCATCCATTGTCAAACCGCTTATCCTGCACACAGGGTCGCGGGGGGGCTGGAGTCCATCCCAGCCAACTTCGGGCGATAGACAGGGTACATCCTGGATTGGTCGCCAGCCAATCGCAGGACTACACAGAGACACACAACCATTCACACTCACATTCACACATCTACGGGCAATTTAAAGTCCCCAATTAACCTGATCCCCAGAGCATGTCTTTGGACTGTGGGAGGAAGCCGGAGAACCCGGAGAGAACCCACGCAGACACGGGGAGAACATGCAGACTCCACACAGAAAGGCCACTGGGCGGAAAGGTGGCGACGGTTGCTACCCCCAAAACAAACAAAGTGCACCGTAACACCCACAAACAGGCGTAGGAGCACCGGGAGAGTCTCCCAGAGAGAGGAAGCCTTACAGACCAGCGGGGAATGTAGAGACCAGACAATAAACCCGCACACAGTGAGGTGACAAGTGGCTGTCCGTCACACAGGACAGAGACACTGAGGAGTCGAAAGCCCCTTGGTTTAATCATAAGTCCCACGGCCCGTGTGCACTATATAGAGAAGTTTTAGCACATCAGAACCAGTCAAGTAGAACAACTATCATCGCTTATTTTTATTTCTTTTTAATTCACTTTTGTTTTTTTTTCCATGAAACACATTACATTTGGGTAAAAACCTTGCTATTCAGTTTATTAAAAGTGACCTAAAGTAGTGTAGGGAGCCATTTTTTATACATTTTAAATACACATCACAGGCCATCAGACCTATATTTGGAGATTCCACATGAAACAACTGCAGAAGCCGGATAATGACAGAACGACGTAGAGCGGCGCGCCGAGGGAGAAGGTTCCTGTGCTGTGCACCGCATCCACTCCGATGAGTCCTTCTGAACACAGGCGGCGACTTGACCGCATGTCCCTTGTTTGGACTCCACCCTGCTCTGCTTTTATTCTGTGTATTCGCTTTCAGTTCTCACTGCTTCCCTTTCCCTGTGAACATTTCACTCTCTCATTACTTCTCCTGGCTTTTGCTCCCATTCTTAACTTTGTTTTCCCCTCTTCTCTCTCTCCCTCCCTCTCTTTCTTTCTCCGCAACTTCTGACATTGCTTTCTTGCCACCCCTGCCAGCTCTAATGTTATTTCTACTTTGCTCTCCTGGATGAACTCCAGAAATAAAAACTGTGCTACCAAGTGGGGAGCGTGCCAAAAGTGCAAACCACTAAAACGGCATGACTGCTAACGATTGTGAGTAGTGGATTCATAGTTTCCATCCCCCTTAATATAACCCATCATCGGGCCTCTACATCCACATTTAAGTGTTTTTCGGATCTGTAATGGGACAAATCATGTCTGAATGTCGAGGGGCTCTTCCGTCATGCGGCTGATGCCCTTTCTTGGGAGAACTTTTAGCATTTCTGTCAGTAATTTAGAGCGGCAAGGACGAGCCTGCTGATCCACAGGGATCCCTTTCTCCTCTCTTACTCTAGTATTCCAATGCGTACGGCACCAGGGCCTCTGAAAGTGCACTGAAGCTCTCCTCTTTCCAGCAGCAGCGAATAAATGGTGTCGAAGCATTCTTCGCTGATAAGGTCACATGCTGGTGCACCTCCCCCTTCTGAGATATATTGCACCACACGCAAACCGGTCTCGGGAGCTCCCGGGCGAGGCTCCCCCGCTCACCTCTGAGGTCAACATAGTGCTTTTCCGTCTGTGTCACTTCTGGGTCTGATATGACTGCACGCTCATCTGATTCCTCCAGGTGATGAACGCGTATGAAGAGTCGCAGTGCGTTGCTGCGATAAGGACACTGGTTTTAAGTGTGTAACCCGGCCCGAGACTTCAGTCTCAAATCTTAAATCCTGTGACCTGGATTAAGAAATGCGCCAGACTTCTGGCACCGCCAGAGCGGCCGGGTCTGAATGCTTAATACTCACAAGCTTTTTTTTTTTTCTTCTTTTCTTCTTAAAATAATCCACCAGGCAGCTCGCAGCTAAGATTTCAACCACGTAGCCGTGCATTGAATCACCAAAAAAGAAGCCAGCGGTAACATCTTCTGCACTTCACTTCACTTTCGATGTTGGTTTACGCACAACACGGGACTACAGTGCACTGAATAGACCACCTGGACACTGAACATGCTCCGATCAAGCCAGGGAATGATCCAGGAATTGAAATCTGAGCCGGTTTATGCTCTCCCACAACTCTCACACTGTTTCTCTGGGATGGCCGCCGGGGGAGAGCATGATGAAGTTATTAAGCGTTGCTGAGACTAGAATTGTGGCAGGATGAGGAGGAGGAGGAGGAGGGGGAGGAGGTGGTGGTGTTGTAGTTTAGGAGATGAAGGTGGAGAGGTAGGGAAAGGGATTTAGCACAAACGAATGGGGGAATTGCAGGTTGGAGATGAGGGGGGATTGACATTAGAAATAAAAGACCCCACGTCTTTCATTTCAAACATGAGACACGAGTGAGTGAGATTCAACCCCCCCCCCCCTCTTTCTGCTCATGGAAACCCCCACTGCCGGCCAGCCAGGACAGGCAGAGGTCAGCATGAGTTAGAGGAGGAGGAGGAGGCGGGAGAGAGGACGAAGGAGAGAAGGGGTGCAGAGAGAGAGAGAGAATGAGGGAGGGAGGGGTGTGCGTGAGATTGGGGGGACTGGGGGGGGGGGCTAATGTGGACCAGCTGTAGAAACCTGACACCTCCAGAGCGGGTTAGAGGTGGAGGAGTGAGAAAGGGAGGGAAAGAAGGGTTGCAGGAAATTGCACGGACAAGGAGAAGGATGGAAGGGGGGGTTGGCAGGAGAGAAAAAAAAAAAAAGTCCCGATGGCACAAAACAAAGAATCCCATAGATGACTTTGGCTGCAGAAAGACCCTCTCTGCTCCCATTTTCACCCAAGCAGAGCGGAGCATTCATCCGTGTGGGCAGATTCTTAACCCTTGTCGTGCAGAGCGTACGGAAACGCGCCCCGAGGAGTCACACTCCATCCCGCGTGGCATTTCGGCGCGCCGGCGCGTCAGGTTTTATCCTCCGCAGTGAAACGCCGCTCCCTCACTCTGATGTGGATCCTGCACAGCCTTCGTCTGGGGGGGGGGGGCCTCGGGCCTCTAGCGATCCCGCCTGGAGGCTCACAATGAGCGCTCTACCCGGGAGAGAAACCTGAAGGACGGGGCGCCGCCGCCACGTTTCTGTCAACGCTGGTTGGATGGCGATTTAATTTAATAGAGATTGCTGTGCATCTGCCCTGTCAGCGCTTTGGAATCCATCCCCCCAAAAATCCCAAAGCTGTAAAAAAAAGTCTTGTGTTGTGGTGTAGAGTCTCATGATTATCTTTCTCGCTCACATTTCTAATATGCAGACTTCTTTCTCCCTCCCTCTCTCTGTCTCTCTCCCTGAAGTGGGAGACTTGACTTTGGAAATACCTCCTCATGTTCCCCCTTTTCTTTTTTAAGTCCGTAAAAACCTGTGAAACGATCGCAGAGAAACGTAAACCTGGTTTTAACCTGGACACGGTGTTCTCCATCTGACGGCCCGCTAATGTGATGTATGTCCCGGGTCAGAGGGCCGTGTCATTCCTCCTTGAAGAAGGCTACAGGGGGGCGGAGAAGTTGTCCCGCAGAAGAAAGTGCTCCTAATTCCCACAACGGTCACCTTGTTGTGATATCATGACCAAGCTGTGTTTGTGTTCGCAGTAGGGAGGGACCGCTTTGTGTTTGTGGATTTGTGTGTGTGTGTGTGTGTGTGTGTGTTTGTGTAGGCATGTGTGTAGGGGGTTGCACTGCAGAAGCGCTGATACCGAGCACGGAGACAGGAAAGGGCGTCCGTGTCTAATCTGACGGTGTTGAGGTGGAGAGGCGTGCAGTCTTCTCTTTCAAGCTCCTATACGTCATTAATCTGCCCTTATGTTTATCTGTTTACCGTGGAGTAAATGCAAATAGCTGATTTTTACAGAGTATGTTCGTCTAGACAAACTATACATTTCAAAGAGATATTCTATTTGAACAAGAACTAAACTAACCTTGAAAATAATGAAGGGTTTTCTGTCATAGTTCAAACTAGTATAAAAAGAAAACACATTGTTCAATATAATGGCATATAATCTTTTTTTTTTCTTGAATGCATCTGATATACTGGAGCCTCGTGTGTGTCGGAGTAGTTTGTAGTATTTAAGGCAGACGTCGGGTGACTCGCATGACCTACCACGCAGAGAGACGTCTCTCAGATGCGATGTGATGAGACTCTCTCATGCCTGGCATGATTCACCACTTCCCCACTTTCCCATGCGCTCATCACCTAATATATTCAAGCTGCTTTGGGGTGGAGCGGCCGATAATGAATAAAAGTTAATAAGCGTGAGACGGGATTTCATATAATTCCCACCCCCTACGTTTCTTCTCTTGTTTTAAATTGGTCACAACGCTGATATCGGATAACTCGCCCTATGTTTACGTCCAAGAGAAGCCCACATATCCCGTTGGATTGGTTATGAAAGAAGGTATTAATTCCTCTGTGCCCATGTGTGTGTGTGTGTTAGTTACTCCGGGGTGTATCCCTACTATTATGTTACCTGACCCCCCCCCTGGGAGGCCCCTTTGGAGGCCTGCGTAAGAGGCAGCAGGTCGCTCCGGGGGCCCACAGTCCCCAGACGGCGTGTCGGCGTGTGTCGCACTGTGCGACAAGCGCTCCAGATGAAAATAGCCGACACAGGAAATTACCCGGTAACAAAATAACAACCCAAACCAAATGGTGTCGCACACACACAGAGGAGAAGTGGTGTGTTGAAGCGGGAGGGACCGAAAACAAGGAGGGAATAGAAAGTGACTAAAGGAGCTGTGTTCTGACACCTCCCCGTGCACATTGTGTAATATTGTAATATCCTCCCCGCTGCTTGACATGTGGCCGAATCGCTTTGACGAAAAAGGAGAAATCGAAAGAAAAAGGGTGGTGATGAATAAGCAGAGGAAAAAACAGACTTTGTTTGTGGTCATAAAACGATGCAGTGCTGCTTTTCTTTACGTCGAAGACCTCAAGATTCTTTAGTTTTACTGTGGAAACATTTCTTGAGAAATTGCGACATTATTTTTCTGTTGTTGTGAATATTGTTCATCTTCTACATTGCCCAATGACTCGCTGGTGTTTTCCAATTGTTGCGTATAGTTTGCTGCCAGGCAGTCAACAACTTTCAGATAACTCCACCTCACATCCTTCCACTTTTTGACTTCTTCTTTTCCGTCACCGGCCCCGCGTTAACCCTTTCACCAGGCTCAGCTTCCCCCTTTCATCTCCGAGGGTTTATGGGGCAACAGCTCAAGAGTTCAGAGTATCTCATATCAGCAATCACAGGGTTACCAGTTAACATCTTAACGGCATGTCAAAAAGTCCCTCAGCAAGACACAATGCGCCAACTTCTTCTTTCATGGCCACATTAATCTTCAATGTGTCAATGTATCTTTGCATGAATGCGGTCCTTAAACCATCTAGTATTCATTGAGACATGCGCCACCACACATTTTGCCTGTACTCGCCTGTACCTACACATACGCCAGTATTTTACCGCTGTATCTTTATTTGTGTCTTTGATCTGTGCGTGCTGCACGACCTGAGTACCGAGGCTACGCTCGGCTGTCAATGCCGCTGTCTGATGTGGTGCGGTGTGTGTGCACCTGACAGAAACTCATTCTTTTGTTTTGACTTTATACCTCACTGTCCTACACACGCACACAAACACAACACATAGAGATGTCTGTTTTGTTTAATTCATCTTTCAACTGCATTGTCTGTATCGAGGGGGGATTAGGTTTAAACCTTTGCGGTCGCCATCATTGATTTCGTTGTGTGTGTGTGTGTGTCTAGGTGTGCGCCGGGCTTTCTGGGGGAATACTGCCACCACAAGGACCCTTGTCACCCCGGCTTCTGCCTGAACGGTGGGGACTGCTCGGTGTCCATGTCCGCCGGCGTACCCGTGCCGGGGAGCGCCGCCTGCACCTGCCCCCTCGGCTACACCGGACAGCACTGCCAAACTCCCCAGAACTCCACCTGTTACCCCAACAATCCCTGCGCCAACAAGGGCGTCTGCGCCCTGCTGTCCCTCGACAAATACAAGTGCAAGTGTCCCAGAGGATGGACAGGTAAAGATTCAGTTTAATCACCTCTTAGTTTGACATTAGGACAGTGATGCCTGACCTCTTCTTCTTTTGAACATCCTGAAAATGAACACCTGTTGAACACATGCTAATTGTAAAGACTGCTATACTCAATATCCTCGTAAAAGTTACAGCAAAGGTACAAGTTAGGCCTTGAAGCAAGGAACAAGTCACTTCTTGGTGTGATCCAGATGTGGGGAGCTAGCAGCTTCCAGCAACACAGGACACGTTTAACTAACAACTGCAACATTCATGCTCGTACATTTAATTTAATTTCTAAAAGGCAACAATTTTAACATATTGAGTATATTCCTACCACTAGGGAAAGAAACAATAAATATATGCAAACATATCATAAATCATTCCAAACGCAGCTAAGAGGAATCGATTCCTCTCCCCTTGCATACTCTCCTTCCCCATACAAAACCTAATGATGTTGGCAGAAATGGCCGATGAGTTCATGATGTCACCTGGCGTGGGATATCAAATGCAAAATTGTCCGGTTCTTTGCATATTGCTGTCCTCTGTCATCCGAGACGTTCTTTTCCAGAGGTGGGGGACACACGTTGACACTCGGCACGCAGGATAGCTAGAGCGCTAACGCTCGGTCCTTCTCCGTCCTCTTTATTCCCAGGGCCGCAGTGTGAGCACGAGGACAGCTGTCTTTCCAGCCCCTGTGCAAACGGCGGAAAGTGCAGCTCTCCGTCCGCTGGCAGCTACACGTGCTCCTGTCCTCCGGGCTACGAAGGTCCTCGCTGCCTCAACGACACGAACGAATGCGCCGCCTCGCCCTCAATATGCCAGAATGAAGGCCGCTGCGTCAACACCCCCGGCTCCTACAAGTGAGAATCTTGTTTATAAAGAAGGGAGAAAAAAAAGTGATGTATGTAAGATCTGAAATATTTTTGCCCGAATTACAATAAATGTACACTGCCGTATCTACAGGTGCACCTGTGACCCGGGGTTCACTGGCAGACACTGTGAAAGCTCGTACATCCCTTGCTCCCCCTCACCGTGCCTGAATGGAGGCACCTGCCACCAGAACACTGAAACCAGCTACTCCTGCCACTGCCTTCCAGGTAGAGGGATTCAGATTATGAAATAGCGTTTTGTTATTCTTTTTGGAAAACTTGTTTTGTTAAACTTTTTAGAAAGTTAAACCACCGCACACTAACAGAGAAATAGAAAATGTTGTTGCCCATCGAGGGAGAGGGAGTTAAAAGAATGAAATTGAATTATGGGGGAGAAAGTGCCACTGTGACTAGTATCTATCACCCACAAATGTAGCTTTGAGTTACTGCATTGTTACATTAAGTTGTTTGAGGTGCAAACAGTGTGATCCTGTCGTGTTGCTGTCTGTCAGTAGACACAACAAACACACACACACAACTGATGTTCATGCGCTACCAGGACGCGTCACGATACCAACGTACAATCGAGAATATCACATTCCAATCCAGGTGTTTGAGTGCATGTCTCCACCGCTCGTTTGTGCCAGGTTTCAACGGGACTAACTGCGAGAACAACATCGACGACTGCCCCGGTCACCAGTGTGCCAACGGAGGAACCTGTATGGACGGGGTCAACACCTACAACTGCCAGTGCCCACCAGAGTGGACTGGTAAGGGATTTGTGTGTTCGATGGACATCACTACAGCTGTTTTCTCTGCTTTTAAGTCTTAGTTTTTCCGGTGGAGCAGTGAGGTGGAGTAAAACGTCGCTGCTGAGAACAGTTCAAATAACCTGGATCCTTTTATGTTGTCCGTTTTGACGTCATACGTCCTACCAGTCTGTTCGTTTTCTTCACGCTGTAGAGCCTCTTACTCCACACCGGGCGTGTCTGTGCTAACACGCTTGTGTGGCAGAACGCAGGCTTTCCATTTACAAAGCAGACGTGCATTCATCGGCTTCCTTGGGCCTGTCTGAGTTTACGTAGCACTAATCCAACCGGAGAAAGCAAAGCCTATGTGAGCGGGGTGTTTAAGAATGAATGAATAGTATTCTCATACCGTCTATTTGTTAGGTCTGCAAAAAAAAGAGCTTTCTAAATAAGGCAGTGAGCATTTAAAATGTCAGGGAGAAACATTGGGTGCGTTATGTAGTACTATAAAACACGACGTGTTCACATTCCCCGATCTTCACGTCCGCCCCCCCGCCTGCCTCTCTGCAGGTCAGCACTGCACCGAGGATGTGGACGAGTGCCGCCTGCAGCCTAACACCTGCCAGAACGGAGGCACCTGCAGCAACCTGTTCGGCAGCTACGTGTGTGTTTGCGTCAACGGCTGGAGCGGACTCCACTGCTCCGAGAACATCGACGACTGCGCCACGGCCGCGTGCAGCCCGGGCTCCACCTGCATCGACCGCGTCGCGTCTTTCGTCTGCCTCTGCCCCTACGGAAAGACAGGTAGGCCAGTAAAACGTCTGTACCCGACTGAGAAAGAAAAATATGAGGTCGTCGACCTTATATGATGTTGGGGATTAACAAGTTGTCTAGTTCGCTCATTCCTTGTCAACACAATGTTCTTTTTCAGGCTTGCTCTGCCACAGAGATGACGCCTGCATCAGTAACCCCTGCAGGGAGGGTTCTCAGTGCGACACCAACCCCATCAGTGGCATGTTCAACTGTAACTGTGCACCTGGATATGTCGGCAGCACCTGCAACATCGACAGAGACGAGTGCAGCATTGGTGAGAGAGAAAGAGAGAGACTTCCAGCACACTTAACGTGAATCTCAGCCGGCCTGTTCCGCTTTCAAGCGCGCCTCTTTTTTCCCTCTCGACCGCCAGGTACCAACCCGTGCGAGCACGGCGGTCAGTGTGTGAACACGGACGGCTCCTTCACGTGTAACTGCGTGCGGGGTTACGCCGGGCCGCGCTGCGAGCAAGACGTCAACGAGTGCGCTTCCAACCCGTGCCAGAACGAAGGCACGTGTCTGGATCGCATCGGGGACTACACTTGCATCTGCATGCCAGGTACGGTTCTCGAGAAACTGTGTTTTATCAGACATTCCAGTCCACATATGCTTTGAAGAGGGGAGGGATAGGCTTGTTCTGGATTCCTGTTATGTATAGATTCAAATAAAACCATACTCCACTATTCATCTGAATTGTTTTAACCAAGGGGCTGTGTGTGTTTTTTTTTTTATTTTCTCAATCCGAAAGGTCCTGAGTGATAAACAGTTTGCCATAATGTGTAAAGTGCAGGGAGTTCATGAAGAAATTATTATGAAATGTTCAAATATGCAATCTTATTATGGTGTGGCCTGTTTTCTGGGCCACATGAAATGTTATTTTATTCCTAGCCCCATGCCGTGCCGGCTCAGATCTGTTACCATTTTTTTGAGGATACCCTGCTAACACATAGTGAGCAAAAACATTTGATCCTCGGTGGAGTTGATAACTATCTGTCTGTTGAGGAGGTGCGACGCTACAAGGTTGAAATGCAACTGCAAAAGGAATGGTATTAAACCCCTAGTCTGTTGGGAAATCCTCACAACTTGTTTCACGTCGTACTTGCAGGATTTGAGGGGACTCACTGTGAGGTTGAGATAAATGAGTGCATCAGCTCGCCCTGTCTGAACCAGGGAAAATGTCTGGACCAGGTCAGCCGCTTTGTCTGCGAATGCCCAGCCGGTGAGTAGAGCTGTGGCTATGTTCATATATTATATCTCTATATATATATATATATGAAATTAATTGGCTTGTGAAGTCTGTCTTGTTTTGAAACCATCTTTTAATGTGTGCGTTTGTTATTGTGTTCATTGTCTCTTTATGCTTTCAGGGTTCAGTGGTGAAATGTGCCAGATAGACATAGATGAGTGTTCCAGCACCCCCTGCTTAAATGGTGCCAAGTGTATCGACCGACCCAACGGATATGATTGTGAATGTGCTGAAGGTAAAAGGCAATAACCACACGTTAGATCCTGAATTCTAATGTGTAGAGCCTGCTATGGAATGGAAGACTGCATCACTTTAACACTCATATCCTTTCTAACCCCGAGCAAAATCGTAAATAGTCACTTAATCCATGATGCAATAGAGAAAATCTCCCTCCGCAGGCTTCACTGGTCTACTTTGTGGGGACAACATCAACGACTGTGTACCGGAGCCTTGCCACCATGGCTCGTGTAAAGACGGCATCGCCACCTTCTCCTGTGAGTGCGATCCTGGATACACAGGCTCCATCTGCAACATCCAGGTCCAGGAGTGCCACAGCAACCCGTGTCAGAACCGAGCACACTGCGTCGACCTGGTCAATGGCTACCAGTGTAACTGCCCAACAGGAACCAGAGGTGGGTACTCGGTGTGCTACAAAAACCCGTTTGCCTGTGCAGGGAGTCGGGTTCATTCTGATTTATTCTTCCAGACCATATGGTAAATGGTGCATCTGTAAGTGTTACATCTGTGATTGGGTGTTTGGAGGCAGCGTTAATCTCTCACCCAACGAGCCAGTACACTACTTCAAATCCACCCCTTTGTGACTAAAGTAACAATTAGAGAAAACATTGTACGAGTTCTAGATCATCCAGCCCGGATCACACTAATGTGCCTCTGAGAGCTTGAGTCGAATGTGAAGGCCCCCATCCCCCACGCCGAGAGCTTCCTGTGTAACTTTTGATAGATCAACTGGGCAGCCCCTGTGTGTGTGTGTGTGTGTACGTTGCTCTGTGGGTTAATCTGCTTAGTTCAGTACGTCGTACCACTCCGAGACCCGGTACTGAAGTCTGCACTGTCCTCACTTAACTAAATATGCCTCAGTTCTCCCTGTCAGGTCTTGTTTTCTGGTTTCATGCCCTCACTTCCCCTCTGTTAATGTGCCTTTTGTGTTTCTAGTTTTCTCCTTTTTCTCTTTTGTTTAGTTTATTCCTCCTTCTCCTCTCTCTCATTCTCTCCCTCTCTCTTCTACGGTCATTCTTGATAGATTCATAACTATCTGTCACACTGGAGTTGTATCGAGCCTTCGCTCTATTAAAGCTAATTTCTTACGTCTTGCTGTACTTCTCCTGGTGTCTCACTCCCCCTGCTGGCAAATGAGTTAACTGTCACATTTTGTCACAGCTGCTTGATCCTCGTAACTCTTCACTGACAGTGTCCTAAAGGGAAGAGTCGGGTGTTTTTCTGTGTGTTAAGTTTAAATCTGAGCAAACTCAGTCAAATAAAACGGTGAGGCACATAACCTGACTATTGTTTCCCTTTTATGAATTCATATTTTTCCCCTCAGGGGTGAACTGTGAGATCAATGAGGATGATTGTGACAGCAACCCCTGTGAGTACGGAGAGTGCCAAGATGGTATTGACGAATACAAATGTGTGTGCGCCCCAGGATATACAGGTATGTTTAGCCAAGATACCCCTATTACGGTCATTATGATAAAAGTATACAATTCATTCTCTGCAAGCCGATATTTGGATGTTGTTACCGAAACCCACTCGACAATCTAAAAAGAATTCCCTCTGAATCGCTTTCTAATAGGACTTAAATGCAACGTGGACATCAACGAGTGTAGCTCCAACCCGTGTATGAGCGGGGGAACCTGCATCGACAAGGTCAACGGGTTCCACTGCCTGTGCCCGCCCAGCACCCACGGGCCTCTGTGCCTCTCGGGGACCGACCACTGTGCCCCTCAGCCTTGTGTGCACGGAGAATGCATCGAGCAGCAACACGGGTACGTTCACCTCCTTCCCTGAATGTTGTGTTCTGAAATCCGGCGTTCGTTATGCACCGATCGATGGGACGCGGGCAATATTTGGTTGTTTGATAGCTTTTCTATACAAAGACTACCAGAACAGACCAATACTTGCCCCAAAACCAGCGGCTGCTATTATTACAATGTGGCTCATTTTAAATTCGCGCTGGCTTTGTGTCAAGGTATCGTTGTGAGTGTGAGGCCGGCTGGGTGGGACAACATTGTGAGCAGGAAAAGGACGAGTGCCGGCCCAATCCGTGCCAGAATGGTGGCGCCTGTGTGGACCGTCACAACGGCTACACCTGTCAGTGTCAACCTGGATTCCGAGGTAAGGATGTTCGTTGCTATATTTTAGCACTGCATTTTTTAAGACTCTGCAATCAATCGAGTAAATGGCACTGCATTTTAAAATGAATATATGAATCCCCCCCCCTCCTCCCGCACTAGGTGTGAGCTGTGAGAAGAACATAGATGAATGTGCATCCGGGCCGTGTCTGAACCACGGCCTTTGTTTAGATGGAGTCAGCAGTTATTCCTGCCAATGTAGTCCGCCATTCACAGGTTAGTGACATCACACCTCCACCGTGTTACATATGTTTTTTTAGCGTGTCTTTGTGGCAGCCAACTGAGAATCTGCTTTTATTATTCCTTAAAATGTGTGCTATGTCACATCAGGGAAACACTGTGAGGTGGAACAGGTTCCCTGTGCTTCTCATCCATGTGAGAGGGGAGGAGTGTGTCGTCCGTCTCCAGACTACACCTCATACACCTGCCGGTGTCCCGCTGGATGGCAAGGTGTGTGTTTGTGTGTGTGTGTGTGTGTGTGTGTGTGTGTGTGTGTGAGATCCTATCTAATACTATGAATTACTTCTTTGTTGATGCTGTGCTAATATGTTGTCATTTCTTTTACAATTGTGCAGGTCCACGCTGCAGTGAAGATGTGGATGAATGCAAGAAGAACCCTTGCAGAAATGGCGGCCGCTGCGTGAACAATCAGGGCAGCTACACGTGCAGGTGTCAACCTGGATACAGCGGACACAACTGTCAGACGGACATCGACGACTGCTCGCCAAGTGAGTCTGACTCTCCCCTCACAAGTGCCTTTACGCACTCGGTGGAAGCCTCGCCTCCGCCCGTATGGACCGCGCCGACTTTAACAGTCTTCACCGTATCATTGGAGCCTCGAGACCTCCCTTGCCTTCGTGGGGAGAAGCGTAGACAGCGTAGACAGCGTAGACTAGCTGAGATAGTTGAGCCGTACATACAGCAGGTGTAACACAGATGTTGCAGCCAGACTGCTGGTGGTTTGTTGTTTAATAACGTGGATGATTCGTTCTTTCAGTAAATCAAGTCCTCTCTCTCTCTCTCTCTCCCTCCTCCCCCTGCACAGGCCCGTGTCAGAATGGAGGCTCTTGCGTGGACGATGTCGGGAGTTTCTCTTGTGACTGCCGCCAGGGTTTCGAAGGGGAGCGCTGTGAGATGGAGGTGGACGAGTGCGCCAGCCAGCCCTGCAGGAACGGAGCCGTCTGCCGGGACTACGTCAACAGCTTTGTGTGCGAGTGTCGTCCGGGCTTTGACGGAATCTTGTGCGAACGCGACATTCTTGAATGTACCGAGAGGTGAGCCGCAGTTCCTGTATCTCACTAACATCTATGACATTAGTAGGTTTCTTTATGATTTTAACATTTAGCTTGTCCTTTTCTGAAAGTAAACTTTGCACTCTCGGCGGGTCTGTACTCACCACCTTGTTTCCCTCCTTCCTTCCAGCTCCTGTCTGAATAATGGAACTTGCATTGACGAAGTCAACGCCTTCTCGTGCCGTTGCCGTCCTGGTTTCTACGGGACATTCTGTGAGTACGAGCAGAATGAGTGCGACTCTCAGCCCTGTAAGAACGGAGGCACCTGCACCGATGGCCTGGGAAGCTACCGTTGCACCTGCTCTATGGGATACAATGGCCAGAACTGCCAGGTACACTGTTTGTATTTATATATATATATATATATAATATATTAATCTTATAAATCTGTAATTCAACATGTATAACAAAGCTCACCAACCCAACCAGTTTTAGACAGATGGCTATTTGAATAATATAGTATGTAATCTTCCCTGAACCTTTAAGTTAGATAACTTAAGTTAGATAATATCCATTTATAAGCTACATCTTTGTCTTTCAATGTTCACTGGATTCCGATCACAAGCGATCACAGAAAAACAGAGAAACAATTATACTTGTATGCATTTAACATGCAAGTTTTATAATTTCTCTTTTAATCTCAACAAAGATAGGTCAAACAATATCAAATTCCCGTCACATTTTTTAACAAATCTGCATGTCCGCCACAAAGTTTCTGTTCTGCCTCGTCAATATAATTTGGAATGTCAGAAAAGAAAGTTGGTCATGATGTAACTTAAGAAGACAGTGTGGTACCTTCGGTCTGTGTAGCATCTACATCCCCCCATGACTCTTTTTTTTTTTGCAGAACTTCGTGAACCTTTGCAGCCAGGTGCGCTGTCTCAATGGCGGCTCCTGCTCTCAGACATCGACCTCCTGGACCTGCCACTGTCAAATGGGATGGACGGGACTCTACTGTGACGTCCCCAACATGTCCTGCCAGGACTACGCCGCCAGGAATGGTGAGGCCATCGCCAGAAAAAAGAATTGCATCTTAGCTCAGGAAGCTCAGGAAACAAGTCATTTAAATGTTGTGGACATTCGTCAGGCAAAGATTATTTTGTTTCCTGCCTATAACTTAATATTTGTTGCCTCCTTGTGCCTCCTTTACCAAATTACTGTAGGTCGGGAAGTTGAAAATGTGTGTGAGAACGCCGGGCGCTGCATCAACGTGGGCCATTCCCACCGCTGTCAGTGTCAGCCGGGATACACGGGCAGCTACTGTAAAGAGATGGTGGACGAGTGCCAGTCCAACCCCTGTCGCAACGGAGCTACATGCAAGGACTATCAGGGCACGTACGAGTGCATAGTAAGTAAATCCTCAGCTTTCATGTTTCGAGCTGCATGTCGATACCAAACTAGCGGCACCCAAAGCGCACAACGAGCTCACCCCGCGTCTCTCGTTGTAGTGCAAGCCCGGCTACCAGGGGGTGAACTGTGAGTACGATGTGGACGAGTGCCACTCCCGGCCTTGCCTCCACGGAGGGACCTGCATCAACCTCATCAACCGCTTCACCTGCGCCTGCCCGCCCGGAGCGCACGGTAAGTCGGCGTGTCACACGTGTGCACGCGCCCAAACGGCGAGCAGAGTGTTTGCGGTGTTTGACGCGCGTCTGTCCACCGCTCCGCAGGGCTGCAGTGTGAAGTGAACGAGGACGAGTGCGCCGCAAAGGCGGGCTCCTTCGAACCCCGCTGTCTGAACGGAGGGCAGTGTGTGGACGGCGTGGGCCGCTACTCGTGCTCCTGCCCCCCGGGGTTCGTTGGAGAACACTGCGAGGGGGATCTCAATGAATGCCTGTCGGGACCCTGCCACGCCCCCGGCAGCCTCGACTGCGTGCAGCTGGTCAACGACTACCAGTGCCGCTGTCGCCTTGGATACACGGGTGTGTTCGCGTCAGCCACTCCAACGGCCACATTATGTGGTCGTTTTGTGTGTTAGAAAAAAACTGCTGGGCATTTGCGTATTATTTTGATAATCTTGTATTTGCCTTTTTTAACTGTTATTTCTTTACCAGGTCGTCACTGTGAGTCCATGGTGGATCTGTGTCTGTCCAAGCCGTGCCACAAAGGGGGCGTCTGCTCTATGAACATGAGCTCCGTACATGGCTACACCTGCTCCTGTGTTCCCGTAAGTTTATTCAATGTTCCTAATACTCGGCTGTCATAAGATACAGCTTTTAAGCTTGTTTTCTGAATAACATCTTTTCTATTCATTTTCTCTTTGTGCACTTTCATAATCAGTGTAATGCTCTAGTTTTATGTTGATTGACAGCGCTGTGCCTGTGAATCTTTCAAATAACTATTGAAAGAAAACCAATAATCTGGGCGGAATCTTTCCTTTTGTTCAGTTTTTTTTATTTTGGCGCAAAGTTCAACCAGGTGCTAAAAAAAACAACAAAGAAAACCCCCCAATCAATTCTTTTTCTTTTTTTGGCTTTCGCACATCCCTCCTGACTCAAATATCAAACCGCAAAAGTCAACTTGAGTTAACAATTACATTACATTACATTTATTGACGTAATATTTTATTACTTTTTTTGATGCAACATATTTTAACCATTTGGGCTTTTTTTTTTTGATTATTTATTTATTTATTTATTTTTTGTATAAAAAAGTTAAACAATACAGAAGATGTAATAAAAAGTCAACGTAACATATTTAGTGGGTTACTATCGGCCCGTTTTCTTCTTCTCTTTTAACAGAACATCTCTTCACACTAAATCCTTGTTTTTCTCTCCACTAACTTCTTACCCCCTCTCTTATTCTCACGCTTGCTTCAGAGGGCCACACCATGGCTCAGGTATAGTAGACAAGCAGCAGATTTGTAGTAGAACCTCAACATATATTAGTTCTAGTAGTTTCTTTAAAAATCCCAATAGAAATGTGTCGCTAATACTCACCGTTGGATTGACTTTATTACTATCACGCTTAAACACGTATGTTTATGTCTTATAGGGCTTTACTGGGTTCAACTGTGGCGAAATAGAGGGCTACAGTTGCGCTAAGCTGCGCTGCCAGAACGGCGGCCGCTGCGTGGAGTCAACAGGCCGCCTGTCCTGCCAGTGCCAGCCAGGCTTCAGCGGGCCGCACTGCGAGAATGAACACAGATGTCCGTGGAACTGCCAAAACGGAGGAACCTGCGTCAAAGACCCGTCCAACCCGTACCAGTACAGCTGCCGCTGTGCCGCGCACTTCTCGGGGCCGTACTGTGAGAGCGGTCAACAGATCGTGCCGCGCACCCCGACCTGCCGGTATCCACAGTGTGAGCAGCATTCGAGGGATAAAGTGTGCGACGCCCAGTGTAACAACCACGAGTGCCAGTGGGATGGAGGCGACTGCTCGCTCAACTGGCAGCAGCCCTGGGTTAACTGCACCGCCAGTGTTCCCTGCTGGGATCTCTTTAAGAATGGACTTTGCAATAAGGAGTGCGACAACCCTGGGTGTCTCTTTGACAGCTTCGAGTGCCAGGAGACGCCAGCATCCTGCAAGTATGTGACCATTCTCTTTATTCTGTCATCGCTGTTGCACTTGTGTTCAAAGTCCCAATTATTTTTTGAGCCAAATCAATAGACACGGACCTTCCCCGTACTGTGTACTTTCAGATACGACCGGTACTGTGCGGACCACTTTGGGAACGGCGACTGTGACCCGAGCTGCTACACGGAGGCTTGCGGCTGGGACGGCCTTGACTGCTCCATCGACACTCCGGCCAAAGTGATAGACGGCACGCTGGTCATCGTGGTCCGGCTGCAGCCCAAGGAGCTGCTCGGAGACCTGAGGGGTTTCCTGCGCTCCCTTGGGGCCCTGCTGCACACCAACCTCCAGGTGAAGCTAGATCAAAACAACAAGCCGATGGTGTACCCTTTCTACGGGGAGGAGCATGGACTACACATCCAGAGGAGAAGAAGCAAGCGGGAGCTAGAGAAGGAGGTTATTGGGTGAGAATAGTTATCTTATAACACTCAGGAGCTTGAAACAAACAAACTTTGGGTCATTGACGTAATCTTCACATCTGCGCAGATCCGTGGTCCATCTGGAACTCGATAACCGCGAGTGTTCCCAGAGCTCCGTGGACTGTTTCTCCAACACTGATGAGGCCGCGTCGTTCCTCGCGGCAGCGCACATCAAGGCCGAACTACCGTACCCTCTGGTGTCCGTCAAGAGTAAGTAGGCCTGTCAATCGACAGTCAATGGTCCGTCGTCAAGTAAAAACCTAAATCCAATGACGACAAAACAACCGGTATTAAACTTACCTTTGGATCCTCCAGGTGAGCCGTCAGTTAACCCGCCCCCCCCAAGGGCTCTGATGTACCTGGTCGGATTGGCGGTGGTCATCACACTGCTGATCCTTGTGCTGGGGATGCTGGCAGCCAAGAGGAAGCACAAACACGGAGCCCTGTGGCTGCCCGATGGCTTCTTGGCCAATAAGAACGACAAAAGGAGAGAGCCTGTCGGACAGGACGACTTTGACATGAAGTGAGTAGAAACACGGGCCGAAAGCTTGTGCAAGATATGTGATAACAGCCACCTCCTACCAGAGTGAAACCTAGATGTTATGTGTCAGCGTCAGTGTGACCGTTGTGACGATACTTTATTTTCAAAAGCTACATAAGTTGTGGTTGTTCCATCCTGCATGCTGTGTGCAGGAATGAATATAAGCACAACCAAGCGGAAATGTTACTATCTCTTAGACCTTTTCCTTTTTCTCATACAAGGAATTTCAAGACCCAGGATGGAGCTCTGATTGATGGAGTGCAGAGTCAGAGGTGGCTGAAAGACGAGGTCCCATCCAAAAAGCAGAGAGTAAGTGAATTCAGAGGGTAAAAGCAACGGCTCAAAAAGAAAACCGACGGATTGGAGTGGTTTGGATTCAATTGGATCAACATCGTGGGGAAAGGTTTCGTTGTATATCTTGTTTCAAGTTCTGTTGCTTTTTACAGACCGAAGACAAACCCCTGCTGCCCATCGCCATGGAGGGAAGTGTTGACCGGAGGGAGTGGACCCTCCAGCACCGCAAGGCTGCCGACATCTCACTCACTCCCCCACAGGCCGACCTGGACGCCGACTGTCTGGACGTCAACGTCAAGGGACCCGGTGAGAGAAGAAAAAAAATATACAAAACTTCTAAATCTGACACGCGTACTCGGGAACTTCCTTTTAATATTTCTCTCTCTCAGATGGCTTCACCCCACTGATGTTGGCGTCGCTGCGTAACGGCGGCGGTCCGGACTGCAGCCTGCACGCAGCGGAAGAAGAGGAGGAGAGCGGAGGGGACGAACCGGGGCCCAGCGTCATTTCGGACCTCATCGCTCAGGGTGCTTCTCTGATGGCTCAGACCGACCGCACGGGAGAAACGGCGCTCCACCTGGCCGCCCGCTACGCCAGGGCCGACGCTGCCAAGAGGCTGCTGGACGCCGGCGCCGATCCCAACGGCCACGACAACATGGGCAGAACTCCTCTGCACGCCGCCGTGGCGGCCGACGCCCAGGGAGTCTTCCAGGTGACACGAGTCGAATCCAACTACAAACTTATAAATTTGACATTGACATGAACAAAGCAAACTTCTATAAACGCATAATTGCTGGTGAACTCTGCATCACTTCAATCTTCTATCTCCACCTCCTCAGATTCTGATCCGTAATCGAGCGACAGAACTGGACGCCCGGATGAATGACGGCACCACTCCGCTGGTCCTGGCCGCCCGGCTGGCTGAGGAGGGAATGGTGGAAGAGCTGATCCACTGCCACGCCGACATCAATGCTGTGGACGACCACGGTGAGCCAACCCTCCATATGTTCACACTCCTCCTGTGGAATGTTTTATGTTTGTACTGCAGTCTGAACACGGTCAATGAGGTTCACACTGTGGCTTGTATTGACAATGCAGTGTTAGTATGGGGAATTATGCTGGTATCCTGGTAAGCAGGAAAAGCTTATAAGCCCCGCCAATGCAAATTGTACCTGTTCATGGTAGTAAACCTAAGACGCTGGCTTACTTTCTGCAGCTCTTCATGTTCTGTTTGGATAGTAACATTTAAGACTCAAAGAGCTCTGATTAGCAGGAAAAAAACCCGGTTAGTTCTTCAATGTTTTTTTAACATGGATCTGCTTCTCTGTCTTTTCTCACCGCCGCAACATTTCAGGCAAATCTGCTCTCCACTGGGCAGCAGCAGTCAATAATGTGCAGGCCACACTCGTGCTTTTGAAGAACGGAGCCAACCGCGACATGCAAGACAATAAGGTTGGTTCTCGTTCATGATATCTGATGTTTGTGTGCTATTAAAAGATCGCTCACTCGTTACCTCCAGATACGTCGTCTAGTTGTGTAAGTCCACTGAAACCAACCTGCTGCTTGCTGTGTTTCCTTCAGGAGGAGACCCCTCTGTTTCTTGCCGCCAGAGAAGGCAGCTTTGAGGCAGCTCAGGTGCTCCTTGACCACTACTCCAACCGCGACATCACCGACCACCTGGATCGGCTGCCGCGCGACACCGCTCAAGAACGCATGCATCACGACATTGTGCGCCTGCTGGACCAGTACAACTTAGTCCACAGTCCACACGGCCCGAACCACATGGGTGGAGGAGGAAACTCCTCCGTCATGTGCGGGGCCAACGGAGTGGGCTTCATCGGCATGCGCCCCGGGCCGCAGGGCAAGAAGAGCAGGAGGGGTGGAGGCGGAGCGAAGGTGGGCGGCGCCGGAGGGGGAGCTAAGGAGCTAAAAGACATGAAGGCAAAGAGAAGAAAGAAGCCACCTGGAGGAGAGGGGCCGGTTGTGGGTGCTGGAGGAGCTGGAGGTGGAGGAGGAGGAGCAGCTGGTACGGGAGGGGGGAACGCAAATGGTGCCAAGGCAGCAGCAGGACTCCCAGAGAGCTCTGTCACCATGTCACCGGTTGACTCCCTGGAATCCCCGCACTCGTACACAGGCGACGTGTCCGGCGCCGCCGCTACCACGGCCAACTCCCCCCCCCTCATGAGCAGCCCGACCTCCAGGCCGATGCTGCCGCCCGTCAGCCACATGCTGGGACAGCAGCCGGGCTGGGGGGGCATGACCAAGCACGGCTACGGCGGCCACATGTTCGGCCACGTGTCGCACCAGATGGGGGGCTCTCACCCGGGCATGAGCCAACACCACGTCCAGGGCCCGATGCTGAGCACCATGAACGTCACCATGAGCCGAGAGCAGCTGCCGCCCATCGTCACGTTCCAGATGATGGCCCCCGGGGGGGGGCAGGCCATGCTGAAGCCGCCTCAGCCGGGGCAGGTGCAGGTGACTCAGTCCCAGGGGCAGAGCCAGAATCAGGGTCACGCACAGCAGGGGGCGGGCCACCTCCGATGCCCCCAGGGCATGATGTACCGGATGTCCGAGCAGATGAGCATGGCGCACGGGCTCCCCCACGCCCTGCAGCACCCCCACGCCGTCAGCCACGGGGGCCACGCGGGGATCGAGGCCCAGTCTCGGCCGCTGCCCTCCTATCCACCCATGCAGAGCCCCGTGGATAAGTACCCTACTCCGCCCTCCCAGCACAGCTACACCACCACCGGCTCAGAGGGCACCACCCCGGGCCACTCGGCCCACCCGCCCAGCGAGCACCCGTATCTCACCCCCTCGCCCGAGTCCCCGGACCCTTGGTCGTCCTCTTCGCCGCACTCCAACTCGGACTGGTCGGACGTCACCACCAGCCCCACCCCTCTGGGGAACCCCCACCACGCACTGCCGTCTGCGCACCACACACACATTCCAGAGCAGGCGCAGCAGCAGCCGGCGTCCCAGCAGATGCAGCCGGCCCCTCAGCCGCCTCAGCACGGCAACATGCAGGTTTTTGCGTAGGCCGGCTGCAGGGGAGCATCAACAGACTGACTTTTGGGCTCTTTGATGTTACGTAACAACAAGTGAACTCGTGCAACGCTTTTTTTCTTTCTTTTTTTTGTCTCTCTTCCTATTATGATAATCGATCACTTCCCCTTTTACGTTGTCTCCTCCTCTTTGCACTTACAAAAAATCTACGTAGTTTCTGAAACGTCATCGAAGCCGTTGGCACATCCTGTGACTCCCCCCCAGCCGAGCATCCACTCCTCTCTGCTGGCGAAGTCAAGACGTTGGCACCCAAACACAAACTGTTTTATCGAGGGATCAATGAGGAAGTGGCGCCCAGAAGGCGGCGGGCTGGTGTTGCAGCAGAAGAGCAAAGACGTTGGGACTTACGAGGCGGAGGACGGTCTTCCGTCTGTTTCAGAGGACATGGTCACTTCTTTCTGCCTCCTGCTGCCTACATGTGTAGTTTAAAGGGTCGTCTTAATTTTTTCTTTTTTTATATACATGCATTTTTTCTCAACGTGCTCCAGTGGGAATTTTTATAAAATTACTAAAAAAAAAAAGACAAACGTCAAGTAAATTACCGATTGTATAGAAATGCACACGCATGCATGAATGTTACTCAATGGCCTGACGCCGCTCGGGTGTATTCACTGCAGTGATTACAGATGATCGATGTTAGTGTTTCCCATCAGATGTCCGAACACACAAATGCAGTTTTGAGCTGCGAGGAGCAGAGAGAGACGTCTGCGCGTTGAAGGCGCGTGCTGTTACATAAGAAACAAAACACCGTTTGACTGTATCTTGCCACAGATGTAACCACTATCTGTCATGTGTCGCTGAGGGATTAATTAAGCTTGACAGACTTTATGCAAAAACACATTAGTTTTAGTGTCATGAGATGAAATGTACATAGACTTGCGGCGCTTCCTGCTTGTTGTTACTGAGCTCGTTTGTTTTTTTCATATGAATTATGTTCGCACTTCTTGAATGATTCTGAATGTTTTTACTTTTAAACGGCCTCTACTTCCAAAAATAATTTTAACCGGTTTTGCCTTTTGCTTAACTACAATCAGTGTATCGCTGCACCTTTTCTAATCTTAATGATTCATAAACAAAGTCTGGAGGTGAGTAAGGTTTGATAAAGTATTTTGTTTTTTTGTCTTCCTTCTTAAAGTTGATCATAGCGTTGTGTGACTGCTCTGTAAACCCAGACAATCATTCACTGTTTTGTTTTTGGAACTTCAAAACAGAACATCAGTGCCTCTTTAGATTTTTTTTTTCTGCCAAAAATGTACATCATGTCCAAATCAGTCGTTGCCCTCGTTTTGCCCTAAACAGACGCATGACTATCATCCGATACCAAGAAACATCAGTGTTTGAATTACTACTGCAACGAACCACATGGTTTTCTCTGTCCTAATTATGTAGTTTACCAAAACGAGTGTCCTGTGCCAGTCAGCCTTTCTATTTAGAATTGAGGGTCGGTTCCCTTTCATATGCAAGGTCATGTGTCTATATTCTGTATATATAAGTTTTTTGTATCGTACTTTCCTCTGTTAACCAAATAGCCTATAATATACATGCCATATGAAGTAGTTGTCGCCATGTTTGTAAAAGGTAGATTAACTAATACTGATGGAAAATATAAGATGTCAAAAAAACAAATGATCAACCGAATGTGCTTCCTGAAATAAAGCCCAGATCTTCGTAGACTTCTGCTTTGTCTTTTTGTTTTTTTAACTGTGTACTGTGTATTTTCCCCAAAGTTCAGAAAATATACATAGTTTTAAATTGGAGATGTAATTATGACAAAGATTAAACTAAAACGAATGGAGATATACTTTTTGAAAGTAAAAAAACTTCCTCAGGGTGAAAGATACAGGTTTGACAGATACAGAGTTTGATAGATAGCAGGTTGTATTTTCCAAAAACAAAACCGCCAGAACTGAACTCATGCTGATAGGCCTTCTCAGGGTCTTGGATTCAATATTTGATTTCCTTCTATGAATCTGTATCTTTGTGATATTTGAAATCCATTTGGGTCAGTGGTTCAGCATTTCCCACTCAACATCAACAATGTTTTGTTGAGATAATAACTGATAATAATAATAATAATAAAATGAATGACTACAGTACAGAAACAATGCTCCACACAAAGAACCCTCTTTACCACTTTGCGCCGTTATATATACGTAAACATTTCTGCATTATAAAACTACTTGATCCATGAATTTCTACCGGATATCCACTTAACGGTAAACTCAAAACATAACGTCGTTTATCTGCGGTCATAAATGTCGAGTAGTTTGTAAAGCCGCGGTCAGGTAAACACGAGCGCTGCAGTTCCGCCGTCTGTCCAGCGGGGGGCGCTGTGGCGCACGAGCCGCGTCGCTATAACACGAAGAAGAAACCCCAGTACACGGAAGTCATACAGGATCTTACATGCTGGGTTTTCTGCCGCTTCCGCGGACTTCCCAGATTTAGTTTCCTTATTCCTTCGGCCGTCAGTTGAAACTCAAGCGGGCGTAACGATGAAGCAGTTTTCGCGGAAGCCCCGATAAGAGACGGCGGAGTTCCGAGTGGATATTCTGCCCCCCCGGGTCAATGGACGCCAGCCCGGGACTGCTGTTGTGACAGCTGGGTTGAGCCTCCCTGGTCCGACTGCCCGACGGAGAGAGACGCGGAGACACGGAGACAGCTGCAGGAAGTGGTGATTACAGCCGCTTATTATAGAGACAAATCATCTAAGTAGCTTCAAAAAGAAGCTCCATCGGGCGGGAGAGGAAGAGGTGAGAGCCACTCGTTTAACAATCGGTGTCACTGACTTTTCTACTTCTTACTGTGTTTCTGTATTTAACTCCCTACCTGTATTAATCCCCCCCCCCCCCGTTTCCCAATATTTGAACAGTATCCTTTTTTCTTCATTTCTGTGTCCAGCCTCACACCGACCACGGGTCATGGCCTCTCCCCGGCTGAAGTACCTCTCTCTGGGCGTGCTGGTGTTCCAGACCACGTCGCTGGTGCTCACCATGCGGTACTCCCGCACGCTGCAGGCCGAGGGCCCGCGGTACCTGGCCTCCTCGGCGGTGGTGGTGGCCGAGATGATGAAGATCCTCGCCTGCGTGCTGCTGGTCTTCAAGGAGCACAGTGAGTGCACGTGGTGCACGTCGTCCTAATAGTGATCGTCATCATTTTTGTGTGTTTTTAATCCAACACAGACACATGAGAAATGGTATATGAAAAACAGTTCATGTTAATAGTGAATTAGAGCAATAATAATAATGTTGTTACTTTTTGGATTTTATCGTTTTAAGCAAATAATCCTTTTTAGTTGCTTGGGAAATGTAGTCTGAAAGGAAATTGCTCCTCAACAAGTTTGCTTGAATAAAGTGTAAAATGCAAAAAACCTACTATTTCAATCAGGATTGATCTGTTCAAAGAACGGAGTCCTGGTAAGTTGCCAAAGCCAACATCAGTTACTACATCCGGCGAAACCTTCCTCACTCTGTGGATCAGGTTGTTCCTGGTTCTACTGAAACATGGGGGAAAGATAAAAAATAAATTGGGGGAAATTTTCTTTCTGAGAATTTCAGCCCGTTGGATCACACATTTCCTACTTCCGGATACAAAGCGAATTACCTGTTCCGGCGGTCGAGCTGACTCGCTGTCGTCTCTCCTCAGATTACAGCGTGCGCGCTCTGAACAGCATTCTGCGGCAGGAGATCGCCCACAAGCCGATCGAGACGCTGAAGCTGGCGATCCCCTCTGGGATCTACACCCTGCAGAACAACCTGCTGTACGTCGCCCTGTCCAACCTGGACGCCGCCACCTACCAGGTACGTGTGGCAGGAGACTCCCGGCGTGCAGCGCACACACACACACACACACACACGCACCCCTGACGTGCCGTCTCTTCTTCTGGCTCCATCAGGTGACGTACCAGCTGAAGATCCTGACCACGGCTCTGTTCTCGGTGTCCATGCTGGGCCGCCGGCTGGGCGTCTACCAGTGGCTCTCGTTGCTGGTTCTCATGGCCGGAGTGGCCCTCGTGCAGGTCCGGTAACCGCTGAATCATGAATCCTAAAATGATACGTGAGAGTTTGAGTAGATGGGCTGTGTGTGTTTTGGTGTGAAGAAGCACGGTGCGGTTGGATTCTCCCACGTGGAGCACAGATCGGCCTCCGTGCAAGAGGAACAAGAACCATCAAGTTTAGTGTTAAACAAATATTCAATACAACATTAAACTAATATTTCTTATCAATTTAAAAATACTAACTCTCTCGAACTATTTTGATGAAAATACATACGGTACATTTTTTTAATTAATGGGATACATTATTTTATTTCTAGTACAATCTGCTCAGACGATAGAAAGAACTCTGGGATAACGGATACACATCAACTGTAACTGCTTCATGAAAAGGTGGTTTTATCACAACAAAAAGCAAGAAGTCACTTTGTGGCCCCAAAACTTGTTTTTGACATTTTGTAAACTTTGGACTTTGGAATCTCCCCTCGTGTGGATTTCATAAGGGAGTTCTGAGCTTTATTCTCCTGCTCTCTGCGTCCACGTGCCGTTCATTCTTTTTTTGTTTCCTTTTTTAATAAAAAACCCAAAAAGAATTCCATCCTTTCAGATGTAATTCTAGGACCGGTCCTCTCAGCCTCTCACAGCGTCTGTCACTCGCACACGGAGACGCACCTCTGTCGGTCGGTCGGACGGGCGGAAGCGTTTGCTCCCGGGCTGCGAGCTGACGTGACGGCGCCTTCCGAAGGCCTCGGACAGCAGACGATCACATCGCACGCGGCGTTAACACGGCGAGCCGCTTGTTTGTAGGCGACGCTGTTTGCAAACAAACGAGGGGAAAAGACATCTGCTGGTGAACGATTGGCCCGTTCTCATCGTCACTGCATTTTTTTTTTTTTTTGGAGCTTCACGCTGTCCGTTCTCACTGGCCAGGGTTTGCTTTGGTGGCACACAAACCGGCTTCTTGTTCCGGAACGTTCTTTTTTTTTTGTGGGTTTGTGCGACGGGAAAGTGCAGCGGCTTCAATTCTCATCCGAGATCATCGGCGTCTGTTTTTAACGCCCGTTTTCTTGCGGGATTTCGCAGGCTGCCGAATCTTCACAGCTTTGCAGAGCTGTGACTGTTCTGTTTGGCGTGGAAGCCTTCAAGAATTAATTGTAAACTTGGGATTAGTTAATTAAAAAGGTAATTTTAGTAATAAACTTTATTTAAATGTTATGATGGCAAACGGCTAAACGAGCCACAATCTGTTTTTCTCACTTTCTTTTTTTTATTTTATGCTTTCTCAACATTTGCTTGATTTTATGTTTTTAGAGAGTTGACAATTGTCTCTCTTTCAACCACATGGCGCCGTCCTCCGTGTCACAAGTCTGCGTTTAAGAGACGACCTCTAAGCTTCTTCTTCGCCTGCTGATGAAAACCGGTTTAACGCAGTCGATCTATTGGGACAAAAGCTTCTGAATGAACGTTCCAGCTCCACGGTTTATTTCACCCCGATTGGCCCCCTCGTGTTCGCAGTGGCCCTCCGAGTCCGCAGCGGCCCCCGAGAAGGACGCCCCCCCGCCGGGCTCCCAGCTGGTGGGCGTGGCGGCGGTTCTGGTGGCGTGCTGCTCCAGCGGCTTCGCCGGCGTCTACTTCGAGAAGATCCTGAAGGAGAGCAAGCAGAGCGTCTGGGTCCGCAACATTCAGCTGGGTCCGTACTTGTCTGTTTTTCAGCATTTCCATTTGCGAAATGTGGAGTTTGTGCCATTTTAAATCAACGCGAGAACAATGTGGTGAGACGTCTGGAGAGCAAATTGAAGGAGGCACCAGCGCCGTGTTTCTGAAGCGTTCCTGCAGAGAGCCAGCTGGGCTTCTTCACTCCCACTGGGTTCTGTTTGAGATAAATGTTGCTGTCTGCTCTGTTTTTGCGTGCGAGGCCTGTGGTAAGTCTCCTGCGATTCCCGCCGCGAGCGCAGAGTTTTTCCAGCTGCTTTAAATGTCGGAGCAGAGGATGAAAAATGCTGCGTTTTTGCCGTTTTACGTAGAAAGAAGGCAAAAGGAATTATTCTCATAAGCGAATCGTTTAAGCATTGATTGACACATTAATGGAAAATAAATGGTTGTTGTACTTATTAAATAAGTACAGGTCATGTGAGCAGTCATGGCAAATAATAATGATAATTTCAAGAAAATGCTTAATTAGCTTTCTTGTTTGGAGTTGGCGGATCCGTCACAAACCAGAGAAGGAGCGTTGACGCTTTCTGTTCACTCCGCGTGAAGACCGGAAACGGGGAAACATTGTAACTGATGTTTCATCTTAATGAGCGGGTAACACCTCGATATTATCACGCCAAGATGCTGAACTGAAGTTCCGTTTTTAACGCAGCCGTCGCCGCAGTTCTTCTCCATCAAACTGAATCGTAAAACGTTGAGCTTTTATTTTGGCGAGGCTTCAGGATGGAACGTTTACGCAGGTCTTGTGTTTGTTTCCAGGGCTTTTCGGCCTGGTCTTCGGCCTTTTTGGGATGCTGGCATACGACGGAGAGCGGGTGACTGAATCGGGAATGTTCCAGGGGTACAACGCAGTCACCTGGGCTGTCGTGGCGCTGCAGGTAACGCTCGCCGCGCAGACAGGAAGGCCGTCTCAAAATTCTACGACTGAGCAGCTGAGATCAAAATGAAAGCGGAGTTTAAAAAAGGGTGTGTGGTCTGAACCACGGCCCCGTAAGTGGCATGAATAATAATAAATGAGTGGCCGTGGGTTAAACATGTTTTCCCACCTAACTGGCAAGTACCCAATCAGGCCTCCGAGGTGACGCACTCGTTGTATCCCGAGAGAGACCCCCCTCATGGGCCGCCGGGGTCATGCCTTTGTCCATCTGCGTCCGTGTGTTTGTTGCTTCTCCAGGCGCTGGGTGGTCTGGTCATAGCGGCGGTCATCAAGTATGCAGACAACATCCTCAAGGGCTTCGCCACGTCGCTGTCTATCATCCTGTCCACGCTTATATCCTACTTCCTGCTGCAGGACTTCAACCCCACCGGGTAAAGAGCCGCCCCCGCCCGCCCCCACCCCCTCCTGTCTCCCCGCGGTCGTTTGGTCTTTTGTCTCCCTTTTCTCATATGTCGCCTGCTTGCGTCCACAGCGTGTTCTTCATGGGGGCCATTCTGGTCATCGCGGCCACTTTCCTCTACGGCTACGAAGGCCGGGCGGCCCCCAACCCCAGCAGGGCGTAGGACACTCGGTGGGAGGGGGGGGGGCTGACAGCGGCCGCTGGAGGTCCCGTTGAAGCGGCGAGACGAGATGAAAGGAAGACTGAGAGCAGGAGGAAGAAGAAGAAGAAGGGGAAAGGGTCTTTATCGTATACGAGGGCAGAGAGCGACCCGCTGCGACCGGCCTCACACGCCCAATGCGCCTCAGCGGAGACCCACGAGAAGAGAGAAATGCGGCGATTATTGCCGGCGTAGATCCGGTGAGAGATTTGGCTGCTGGTCTTCGGTCACATCCACTCAGCACCTGGAGACGTTTCTGGAGCCGTAGTGAGATTCTCATCCACCTCTTGAGTTTGCAGCACTTAAGACACTTGACGCTCTTCTTTCGTCCCACTCCGAGATCTGAACACACGTTTTTTTTTTTTCCTACAACTCGCCTCTCGCCACAGTTTGCTCTCAGGGTCACGCAGGTGCACAGGTGCACATAGACCTCACCTGGCGACGCCCACATTCACCAGGAAAATGAGCTGCATCTGCACACGTGTGACCGCGGCCCCCTGAAGCTACTCACAGCAGCACGAGCTACGACCAAGCCGGGGCCTCAGGGGCCCAAAACGGCCTTCTCCCGTCGGCTTACGAAAGAGACGTTTGGGGAAAACCTTTTGACATGAATAAAATTCACCTCATCTGTGGCTGCAGCAGCCAAATGGTTTAGTGTCCTCGCCGCATTCGCCATGACTGGTATCGTTTCCTGAATAACGGCTTCCGTGATACATTTCATCCAGGTATTTTTGAATAACTGCTGCGGTTGCCAGGCAACAAGTAGCCTTTGGGATCTCTGATTTCAGCACGGTGACAGAACCACGCTGTGACCGTTACTGGTGGAGCTGATGCTTTACACTCATCCGGGACTACGAATCAAAGAAAAAAGGAATAATTCTGATTAGAAGATCAATTCTCGGGTCAAACAGGGGTTACTCTTTGAATATATATTTGATTTCTGAAGCCATTGTGATTATGTGGTGACGGTTATTTTGTATAACTTGATATTGTGTTAACCTGGGGCGTAAGTAATCACCACCATTGAAATTATCTTAAATCTGAATGAGTTGTCTTTTTAATTTATTCATTAGTTAATTTGCTTTTCAAAGCCACTGTTTATAAACATCCAGCTCTTTACTCTCATGTAATAACATGTACTGTTGTTGGAATTTACATTGTTTTTCCTTCTTCGGTGTTTTAATTTCTTTTTTTTTCTTGGGAAAACACGGGTATAATAACTTTTATTTTGATTACCAATATCTGAGTGTTACATAAAAATGTTTCCTCAATTGTGTTAAATGTGTGTTAAATTCCTTCTGTATCTATTCTACACTAGAACGGGCCGAATTATATTTTGAGAAGCTCAAAGGTCATGTGGACTTTGCAATAATAATAATAATCATTGTTTTCTACACAACTGCTCAAAAGTTGCTGCCAGATTCCAGATCATTTTTTGCACGATAACACCTCTACCTTGAATAATACATCACTCGGCACGTCGCCTTTGAACTGCGAGCTACACGACATGAATACATTCACACCCTTTGGATATTTTTGGCATTTGTTTTAATTACTTTTAAAAACACTGCATGCGAAAGCCAGACAGTCTGAGAGAACGGGCCGTAACACTTTCCTCCTCTTCACATCATAACGCAGTAAAACCAATTCAAACCGACAACGGCGTCACACTCCTCAGGCACGTCCGTTGCTGTGAAAGACACTTGAGGTCATTGACCTCCTGCTCAAGTACAAACGTATTCTCGACATTTTATTTTGAAATTTGGGCAACCTGTGAAGAAAAAAACATGTAAATACTTTGACTCTCCAGATGTTTCCCTTGATTGTCATCGTGGGCCTCTGTCATGGCCACTATCAGCATGTTGTCCAAATATCTCTGTCTTTTGTGTGTCGCACACCGGCAGAGACGCTCCGAGGTGTGTGTGCGTGTTGTGTGCGTGTGCGTTTGCCAAGGCTGGTTGGGTTTGCACCAGGGGTGAGGAGCAGCAGCGCGGGTGAGACGACGTGGTTACGTCCTCCGTCTCTCTTCATCTCTGTCTTCACCTGGAACGCGCTGAGTGCGCGTTTAGTACACAAACACAACGAATAGACCTGGCTGGGAAACAAACACGCAACCTTTTCAGAGTGGACACATTATTCCGTGAATCTTCATTAAAAACACATTTTATAAAAGATTATAATCCCACACAAATGACAAAAACGTTTTCTTATTTTCTCAATATCTGGCCGTCTATTTCCCACTCAACACAACGGAGGGGAATGGGGGGGGGGGCTCATGTGTTCATAGCTTTGACAAATTTATTTAAAAAAATCGCCTAAACGCTTAATCAAGGTTGACGTATTTGTCTTTTAGTAAAACTATTATAGGTGGTGAGACATTCATGATGCCCAGAGGATTAAAGCACCTTTCCACTGGTTTTGTTGTATAAGCTTTCATTCGTCCATCACTTGGTTTTACAACTAATAAATCCCCCGTCTTCGTTCATTAGCAAATGCTACAGCCTAACGTTGTAAGCCAAGATGATGATCACATCTGCTGAACACCATCATGTAACCCTTGTTGTTTTGTTTGCGACCTTTATTCCTACGTCCCTGCCCCCCCCCCCCCCCCCCTCAAATCAGCTTGGCTTGACACTATTCTCTGTAATAGCTGAACCCTCGTGTGAAATCAGCTTTCTTCCGCCTCAAACCGTGCTCTACAGCGACAAACGTCGACTGGACAGGGACGCGTTTGAGGGGGGGGGGGGTGTCTTCTCGTAGCCGGCAGAGTCCCTTTAAAAGCAGGTAGCAGTGCTTCTTCCCTCCACAGGCCGGATTAGACGGGGCGGTTGTCTGTCTGCTGGGGGCGGCTCTCACCGACACACAGGCATCGCTGGCTTTCAAAAGGCATGAGAGAGAGAGAGAGCGAGAGAGAGAGAGAGAGAGAGAGGCGGATGGACCGGCCGTTTGTGAATAACTAAAATCCCGCCGCAGGGCTTCATTCAAGATTCTTCTCAATACACAAATAGTGTGCATGTCATGAAATCCAAAAGCTGTGCTTTTCTACATCCGAGGATAAACGAATGTTGGCAAGCTTCCCGTTTTTTCTTTTCTTTTTTAAACCAATAAAATATTCCTCCCTGAAACATAATCACAAACGAGGCCCCATTGTGTGTGTGTGTGTGTGTGTGTGTGTGTGTGTGTGTGTGTGTGTATGAGGCAGTCTGGTGTGACAAAGCAGCGGGCTTGGACCCGACCCTGGGTCTCCATTATAGAAAAACACACTCACGTCATCCCTAAAAGCACATCGTCCGGTAACGTTACCGTCGGACGTTACAGTCCTCTTTGTCCGAAATGAACACAACTCGCCGGTGTTGTACGACACATTTACGCAATCACCTTTCCCTTGGGTGCACTCCTTTAGAACGGCACCAGTGGTAGGAGTCATCACTAAGGCTGAAAAACCTTTCTAAAGAGGCTCCGTGGTTTCTTCCTGGGCCTGAGGAGCTACAGCGCAGGTTACGTTCCTGCACCCCTGGCAGATGTTGCGTCGGGCGAGAGTGAAGGCCTGCAAACCCGACGGCTCCACACACACACACACACACACACAACGTCACACACTCTGCATCGTCCAAGGCAGCGGTGGGGAATTAAGGCATTTATCCCCTGGAGATCTCTGATTTGTGCGTATTGTCACAAGTCTCAGACTGCTCGTAGATCTTTCGTCTGTCTTTAGTTGTTTTTTTTTGCTGTCACATCCGTCACGACGACCCACCGCTGACGAAGACGTCAGAAGCGGCCAATCGGACGCTCTACTTGGATGGTATGACAACGAGCGGAGGCCCTCTCCTCGGCCTCCACATCAGAACCTGCGCGTCGTTGGCGTTGGGCCTCCCCATGGCGTTGGGAGGGATGGGCTCCATGCGGCTCAGCACCCGCGGCTGGTCCTGGTGCACCCGGCCCACCAGCCGCGCCCTGGAGCCCAGAGGCAGGGACGGATCCACCGCCACGTCGACCCTCATCCTCCACTTGATGGTGTGGAGGAGGATCTTCTCCCGCGACGTGGTGTTGAGCGCCACCAGCCAGGTGGTGAAGCTCTGGTCTCTCTTGATGTTAGTCAGTAAGGGCGTGTTGGATTCGCTGACCGGCACGGCCCAGGTGACGCTGGGGTAGAAGTTGTCGTTCATGCTGACGACGAAGCGCGACGGCTTGGAGGTGGGGCCGACTATGGTGACGGTCTCTGTGGTGTTTCCGTACCAGGGGTAGCTCACGCCGTCCGAGTCGCTGATGGCCCTCACCAGGCCTTCTCGTAGCTGAGGAAGCTCCCAACTTGACCTGGAAAGGAGAAACACACACATCGCTGATTTCCTGGTCGCATGTTTTTTCCTCTACGTGCGTCCAGCGGCTGTTCAATTGGGACGCACTACTGCGTCACAACAAGGCACCTGGATTCCTTTCGCTCGTGCTGGCTTGAATATGCTGTCATGTCATTTTTAACATATCTGTATTTGGACCTTTCAAATGAGTGTGATTTATAGAAGGCAGAAAGAGAGATATTTTTGGTGTGTAACTGTCTGTTATTCATTTAAAGGGTCTGGTGATATTTGAATTACCATAAAAGAATCCCATCAAAAGACCTGAACCAAACTACTGGAGATCAGCAAAAACAAGATACTAATGGCTACATTTCTTTTTCCTTTTAATGTGCAAGTACATTTTCATACACCGTTTAAAGTTAGGGGCCTATGAACGATAAGAGTATTGTTTCTCAAGTGATAATTGAAAATAATTAATTCTGACATTAAAGAAAATCCATTTCACTAGTGCTGAAACTGTGACTCAGTCAATCAGAAGAAAATCATACAACGATTTAGTTCCTTTTCAATGAATAAAGAAAATTATTTTTAGTGTTGGCCTTCCTTTCACAGCCCAAAACGAGTTGGGCTGCCAGTTTATTTTGACCCGATTTACAATCGTGTTGTGGAGACTCTTTAATTCTCACGTGGATCAGTTATTCTCGTGGGCTGAGAAAAGCTCAGGAGGAAAAACAAAGAAGTAACAAGATCATTTCAGAAAGGCTTTAAAAGTGTTACCCAGACACCAGCTGGCAATGAGCAGTAAACGATATAGTGGTTCAGTCGGTGGATTATCATCATCTCTTTGTTGTGCCAAACCGTCTATGTGTGTTGTGTTTCCATGTTCAGTCCTAAACCCCAATCTCTCACCCCTGAAAACCACCCACTCCCTAAACCCAGCAGGATTAAACACCCCCTCACATATGCCATCCAGATAACGTGTGTGTGTGTCGTGGGGGAGGACATGTCTCCGTGGGCACAATCTGCATGTGAGAGCATCAACTGTTGTTTAGCTCCTCTAATAGCAGCCTTTCTATTTGGGTGCCAGAGTCACAGGAACAGAATCTGTCGGTGGGCGTTTTGAATGAAGGCGGCTGACTGCACAGTTAACCTGCTGGGTGCACAAACGCTCCATCCATGCAAACGCCTCATCGCGCGCAGTGTTGCAAGCAAAGGCGCGTGCACTTTATTTCAGGTATCTGCTAAAAACACGTCACGAGAGCGCGTGCCACACAGGTGGCGTGACGAGGATGTGTGGACTCACATGCCGACGTCTCCGTAGGTGTTGTAGAACTCCATCTGGGTGCACGCCTGGATCCAGCCCACCACCCACGTCTCGTTGCGAGGCAGGGGGGGGACCACGACCCGCGCCGAGGCTTTGAAATAGGGCGTCTTGTAGCGAAGCACTATGGGCGAGTTCTCCTCGATGACGGTCGGGCAGTGGTCTATGGTGGCGGACAGGTCGCACACCACGATGTTCTCCCGCTTGAGGCGCGACTTGTTACAGGCGATGCTCTGGATGCAGCCCATGGCGGTGAAGGTGAAGGTGACGGTCAGGAGCAGCCAAGTGAGCCCGCCGGGCCCGGGGAACCGCACTGCTGACTGGGACTCGACCAGTGTCAACACCACGAGGCCGTGCATCAGATGCGGCTGTAAGGCAGAGAGGTGGGAGCGGTACCGCACCGCGGGCCCGGACGACAGTCACAATAAGGAGGGTTGGAGGGGCGGCAGGGTCCAGGTACCCGGGTTCGAACTCCGCCGCCCTCCTCCCCCCTCCCCCCACCTCCCGGACCGGCCTTTCTGCTGTATACGGGCACGTCACCCGGCCTCCAGGGGTGACGCTCCGTTGCTTATCCCGCGTGCTCTGACCTCTCTGGAGTCTCCAAGAGAAACACCCACGCGAGGATGTTAACAACGCGTCGCGTGGATTTTCGACCCGGGTCCGGTTCTGTCCGTTCCCCTCGAGCCGTGCGCACCGTGCGCCTCCGTGTGCCCCCTCCTCAAGGATCCGGCCCGCTGGAGCCCCTGCCCGTAACCTTTGATCCTCTTCTTCCTTCCCCGAGCTGTCATGTCACACAGCGTCGGGGGCCCGGCGGACACCGGGGCGCCGGCAGGGAGACCCGGTTGTCGGGCGACGAGGCTCGTCTGCTGCTGCTGCTGCTGCTGCCTGTACCTTGAGCGGCGGCGGCGTTACCGTCCGTCATGCGTGTGGACTCGGAGGGAGGGAACCCCGGTGCGACGAGCAAAACGCGCGAGTCCGCGCATCGGTGACGGGGGGATATCAAGCTTCCTCTGGCGGAGTCAAGGCGACGCGGGCGGCTCGTTCCCGATCAGAGGCGGAGGGGAAAACGAGCCACGCACAAACCCGCCGTCAACACGCGTTGTCGACGGACAGAAAAACGATGACATTTTGTTACAATAACGTCAGGCGAACCGCGTCGGGGGGGCCGCGCGCGGAAGCGTGTCCGCCGGGCGGCATCCTCGTGTGGTGGAAGCTGCCCGGCCGAGTGTCGCTGTTCAGCCTGCGCGGTGCTGAAGATGCCGAATGGACCAATGAGCAGCAGAGGGGGACGGAGGGCGTGGGAGTGTCTGCGCGGTGGTCGCCCGGGGACCTGGTTTCTCCATACGGGAGGAACCTAATGACGTGAACGTGTAAAGCAGATGTCAATGGGTGGGTGGGCTGCAAGTATGATTGATTGGGGCTGTGAGGTAGAAGGCAACAGGTGTGTAGTGTCTGCTGCTTCTCTCAGGGAGGAAACACCGCATTGTTGTTAATCCAACGTAACAAAACGGCATATGCAATTAAACATTTAAAAAAGACACGCTGTTTTTCATCGTGTGGAGAAATATTTGCGTGGTTAGGGTGCAGTCAATCAGATTGACCCCTTTCAAAATAAAACCGTCACCTCAGGGTACACTAACCCAGTCCTTACATTGGCATGGATTTGTACATATTGAGTGATTGGAGTAAAGGAGTAAAAATTGAGATTGTGGTGAGATTTCTTTTGATCTTTCTGTTCTGCAAGATCCCTGCATATTTGCAGGTGACGACCCATTTGAGTCCACAGCGCATTTTTACCCATAATGACATAAAATACACACACGCCTTGCATAAACACGCATGTGAACCTCATATGATGTGCATTGGTATTTTGCAGATATGCATATGGTATGTTAATGCATGTATTTACCCCTCAATGATTTCATTCTGATTACACAGATATATTGTAGGTTTTCGAAGCAGGATTAACAGAATATAATTGATCCGTTGTTTTCTTTACCCTGATAATTTCATATCTTTTCACACATTTCATCAGTTTTTATAACCTCTAAATATGCACTTTGATATTTTATGAATGAAATGATAATTAAATCGTCAGCACCTTTTGACCTTCCAACATTTTTTTTAAATAAGTCACTTTAAACATACGACACATTGTCTGTTATTTGATTTGATGGAAGAAATACACCAACTTGTTTTTACACAGAAAAAAAATGAAGCGTCCATGCTTGAGCTCTGAATCTTACACGTATTACAGTATGGCGTGTATGCGTTTTAATGCTACCTTACACTCCAACTATTCTCTAAAAACTGTTTCTGTAATAATTTATAACATGGTTAGTATGCTCAAGCTGCTTTGGCCTATTGGAGGAAACCTGTCCTGATGAGCTTGCATCGCCTTACAGAGGAAGGTTTTATTACAAATAAAGAGCTAAATCTGACAATGGGAGTACAAATCAAATAAACAGGAACAATATATTTTTTAAAACAAGAGAGTTTGACTCTTGTAGATTGTAGCAAAGGAACAGTATATTTTATTTTGACAACAGATGAGGTACCGTGCGCAGCATCGTCACTTCCGGGTTGCAGGTCAGACAGGCTGCTGATTCACACAACGAAGGGAAACCACGTCCCGTATTTATTCTATTTAAACATGTCTCTGTGATAAACAGGGGACATTTAGCGACGGCGTTTTTTGGGAGGTTACCATGGTGAGTATTTGTAAATGTATACTAATGTTAAGTGTCTGAGAGCTTTGAAACTAATACTTCCACATGTGCTAAGCTAATCGATGCTAACGTTAACTTGACCAACGTTAACTCAATGGAGGTGAAGTTGCAGCTTCAGTGACAGAGATGGGATCTGAAAACACGTTTTAACTGGAAATTTATTGGAGTTTCAAGCAGATGAGCCCTGTTTAAGAAGCCTCATTCTATTTCCTCTTTATAAAGACAAATTACAACCAGTCAAATCTACTCTATAACGTTTTTCAAAGGTAATTGGTTTCTAATAAAGTAAATACAAGGTAATGTGTAGTTTAACTATGCTCGTCATACATGTTTGATTTAAGTGAAAAGGACAGTAATGGTAATAATAATTATTATAGCTTGAATGGATTCATATTCTGTTAATCAAGTGGGACCAGTTCATTGTTTACAAGTAGCAATTAGGCACACAGTCTTTGGACTTAAGTCCTAAACAAGTCAAGTCCCAATAATGAGTCCTAAACTATGAGCTCTTCAATAAAGGTAATGTCATTTTAATGAGCAATAACACTTTTAATGTAATTGTATTCTGTCGGATCAGTTAAAACAAAATGGAAGTGGGGAAATGAGTGTCGATTTGCTGGAAATCAACCGTGTCAATGTTAGTGGCCCCGGGAAATATAATTGATACGTGGCAATTTTTTCGTTTTTATTTCTGGGGAGGTGGCAACACGCATCATGTCCAAACGCTCCAGGAGACGTGCATTCCTAAGCTCTTTGTGTCATGTGTTTGGACCCGTTACATCCATCTGCATGTTTTGTGTGAACTGTCCTGGTTTCCTCCCTGCAGGTCCCATCGGACTTTAAAGCCCTGATCCAGAGGTTTTACCACCTTCAGTCTGAGCGGGTGGAGACGTATCAGCTCTTTGATGAGTAAGTTTGTGTCTAGTATGAACCAGCACGCTGTTGATAGGTCTCTGCATATGTCTCCAGGAATCATGCTCCTTGATTTTGGGGCTCATAAACGTACAAAGCATAAATGGTACGCATCGTCTCATCATCTCCGCTTGGGTTTCTTTATGGGTGTCTATTACTGCCTTCCAGAGGACATGAGGCCTACTTGAGGACGGGGCCCCACTATGACTTTGACCACTACAAGCAGCTGGTCCATGAGATAACACAGGCCTTCTGCGGCATCTCCAAGGAAATGCTGGAGATCAAAGAGAAGCTGCACCACCAGTTTGACAGGCCGGCGCTTTCTGAGCACATTGAGAAGCTGCAGAGCAAAGAGAAGCACAAACTAGAACTGGTACGTGAACACAAAGAATTAGTACAAGACATGGATAATGGAAATATTAATACGTGTATCTAGATACCGACTTAATGAAAATAATGTCTCTGCACCAATAAAGAGACATGCAAATCGCTGTGAGGCAATCAACAGATTTATATTTGAATGAATCTATAACTAAGATAAAAAGGTTTATTATAAACAAGTTAACTCCAACTCACTCTTTTAAATAATAGTTGTATTCATTTTTTGTTTAATAAGTTCTATTTTAATTACGGTATTGTTTTATTAAATAACAGTGGTTGCGTAATTTAATGTTTGTTTCAAACATCCTCTTTAACAGCAATAACGATCCGCCTTTAATAAATAGTGATCATAACAATAAATACCATTTCTTCTTGATCTTTGACAATACATACCGCTTTTTGTTTAATGTGTGAAACAGTCCCAGTGTCTGACCACCAGGAGGCAGACTTCTCGTACAAAAACATTTCATGAGCTCCCTCTTGCCCTCGGCACCGGTTTCTCCGGCTGTCACGTTAAGTATGCAGGACTCTTACATACGCTGGCAGCTCAGGTTATACGTGTTTAAAGAACATGGAGGAAAACTGCATGGGGCTTTGTCATTTTTGGGACACTCGTCCCGATTGGACGGACAGTTTGAGAGCGGCGTTAAAGACGGCCCGCCTCGCTGCCTCCCACACGCTCTGACGGTCCACATCTCGTACATCTGGTGCTCAGGGGTCGTGTGAAGTTTGATCAACTCAACTGCCTTTCTGCCAGTAAAGACATAAAACCCCTATTACCTCAGAGTTCACCCCCCCCCCCCCCCCTCCTCGGCAGCCGTACCCCACTGATGAATGGTTTGGATAAATCTTATCTGGCGTGCCTTCTCCACAGACAGCCAGGCTGGAGCTGGCCCGGCGACGCGCCCAGGATCACCCGGGAGGACGAGCGCTGTCAGGAAACATTCAGGAGATCAAGCACGAGTAAGAGCGACTATTACCGCTAACTGCGTTAGCACCCGGCCGCTCGCTCGCCGCCAAACTGTCGTCAGCTGCGGAAGGACTCCCCGTTTCCTTCCGACGCTGAACGGACAACTGTCAAAAGATACTTGCAAAGGCGTGGCAACATAACTAATGTGTTTCTTCTTTTCCAGGATCATCAAGAACAAAGAGGCCCTGAGTGAAGTCTTGCAGGACTTTAAGTACGACTCTGAGGAGTTTGATTGACAGGTGGCTCCCAGGAGGCGGAGAAGACGGATCGGCTCTGCTCTGCTGCAACTTCCATCTTTGACTCGTCAGCTGCACTCATCGATCCCTCCCTGGCTCCGCCCTGCTCGCTGCAGCAGTCCTCCTCCACCCAGGGGACGCGTCACATTCTGGCTGTGTGTGTATCTATTCATGTGTTTCTGTTAATGCATAACTCGGCAGAAAAAAAAGAGAGACATGTAAATACTCTGGAGGTTCCATAATTCCTGGTCGTTCAAGCCCATATCTTTGTTTACTGGATGAGTTTTATTTAACACAAAATAAAATGAAGTTTGACTTTTTAATGCTGTGCAGTAAAATATGGTAACTTAAACCAAAAAACAGAAATACGCAGTTATAAAAATGGTTTACTGGGTATAATCTACATTTCACTGATTGAACAAACACTTGTCACAGTATTTAATATCTGAATATAAATATGAAACATTATGATCTTCTCAAAGACCTGCAGTTTGGGTTTGCGTTGACACGTTGCCGTGTGTCCGTCACTGTAAACGGACGCAGGCGTGTAGCCTGAGGACGGTGCAGCTCACAAGCGAACCGAATGCTAAAGAATGAAGTTGATTCCGCTTCGTAACTTGTGTACGAGTAAGACCGGAGTTGTCGTTGAATACTAGTTTATTTTATTTGGTTACAAGCGTAACTCTTGGACCTTCAATGGAGCCCAAGTACGTGACGCATGTATATTGTGGATATTATGGAAGCGATTTTCAATCAAAGCCGTCCGTTTGTGTTAATTGAGCTTTACCACATGACTAAGAGCTGTGATTGTTGGACTAACAGCTCTTCAGTAATTTCTCAAGTATATTTTTCGCTGAACGTCCTTTTAAATGATCAATTGGACAGAAAGTGACTTGCCTGCTATCGAAGTCATTTGTTTGTAGCAAAATGCCAAATGTTCACTGTTAAATTATTGGTGTTTTGGGCAGTTTGTCAAACAAAACATTTAAAGATGAAACTATGAGATTTATCAGTATGTTGTTTGATGTAGAAAATAATTGTGAATGGCCGCTCTACTAAGTAATATTTCCAGCACTAATAGCAGTAGAAACAAACCATCCCAAAGGTCAAACCAATAATAACAATGTAAACCTCCCAGATTCACATTTCCTTGAAGAAAAACCACAAATTTACAAAAATACATGAAAAGTAGTTATTTTGTTTTGAATATTAGATACCTGCTTTAGTATCACATACCAACAAGTTTAATAATAATAATAATAAAAGAGTATAAAATACATTTTCTTCATAATAAAAGTGCAGTTATTGAGGGCTCAGCATTTGTTTGTGCGCACAGATCCAACGGGCAGATTCAAAGAAAGTGGTAGAAAAAGAACAGCGGGGTTGGCCCACTTCACTCTTCTTTCACTCCGGGCCCTTTTGATTGAATTTGAAGGCTGTGAAACGAAGCTGGCGGTTTTCTCGGCCGGGCCGTTGGACCTCTAACACAGCCGGGGGGGGGGGGGGGGGGCCCTCGGGTCCAGCTACGTGTCACTGCCTCTCGGTGCTGCGCGTGAATTAAACTCCACAGGCGTGCCGAGCGGCGCTGCTATGAATTATCGCCTTGTAGAATCTGAAAAGACAAAAAGCAGATGGTTCGTACTGGGATGATTTCAACGGGAAAAGGCATGTAATTTACAGTCATCACAATAATTGCTCTGTCTGTGCTGCCACTTCTCTCTCCTCCCCTTCTCTTTGTACCATCTCTTCACCGCGTCGGGCTGAGGGGGCCGGGGAGGGTCTCCGTGGGTTCAAGGCCCGTGCGGCAGAAGAATGCGGCTGAAGCGCCTGAACTCCTCGCACACGAAAACACAGAGAAGATGCCGAGGCTCTGCCCGCCGTTTGGCCACAAGAAAACAAAAGAGAACCCGTTGCGGTGGACCGTTAATTTGCATTTAGATGCTTATTTGCCTTTGTTGTGGTTGAGTCCTCCCCTTGGGGTCAAGTCAACATTGTTAAAATATGAAAAAAGGAAAGAAAACAGAGTGCATCTGATACTTTCATGCTCCCACTTCTGGGCCGGCTGAGTAAAAACAGCACATTTCACCTGATCACAAAGTTCAGAGAGAAGTCTGTCCTCTCTGTGATTGTTAAACACGCCGACCACACAGCGAAACAAAAAGGGTCGGAAATTCACCTCAGGACTTTTCTGCAGAGATGGCTGTTTGTGTGCGTGACTGAGTGCGGCTCAGCAGAGGTAATGAAAGGAAGAGAGAGACGGGGAGGGATTCTGCTTACCTACCTGGTTGCGCGTTCTGTGCGTTTTCTGCAGCCACACCCTCCACTGATCGTACAGTTTGATCGACATGCCGCTGCAGCCGGACGCGTGCTTGCGGGCCCAGCCGAAGAACTGCTTGAGTTCCCGCCGCAGGGTGGAGTTCTGCTCGCCGGGCTTCGGGTCGCAGGAGCCGCTCTGCAGCCTCTCTGGCGGGCGGGGGGAGACGGGGGGGGAAGACGGGGGAGAGGATGAGAGGACGGCGTCAAGGTTGAAGTTAGGACACGAGTGCAGGATGGTGTGTGGATTATGCGCCAGCTGCTCAATGTGTCGGCATGAATGACACCTACGTGGTTCTTCTTCTCTGGCACTTTTTTAATAAGTGTGAATTCATGCTGTCGACATTTTCATAGTCTGATTATCAAAAGTACTATAAAAGTCAAACCGATGAATAATTCGCAGTTATTTTGCAAAGTTATTTAGTAGAATACAAAAAATGCTTTCCTAATATTCATCCAGTAAGATAATGCACGCGCATTAGATTACAAACAAATGGAATAAAGAAGCATTAACAGAAGCTCACTGGTTGCTGAGTGAACATTAACGGTAATTAATGTCGCTTAATATCACAAAGTGAGCAGTTAAATACAACTAAGATGCCTTGAACCGCACAGCCTTCTCAGGAGAGGAAAGGCTCCTGGAAGTCGTGGCTCTGCTACGATCGATTCTTCTCGGCCAGCAGCAGAGCCCGATAACGACTTCCTCCCTTTTGGGAGTAAATACCGCATGACCTGGGTAACTCATTATCTGCTGCTCCGGCCCCCGAACCTGCTTCCACTCAACCCCCGTTTTGACTTGATCAATCTTTGAAGCCGACGACCAAAATCTATCCAAACGCCCTCCGGCTCCTTGCAGTTCCTTCTAATCCTTTGCAGGGAGATTTCTATCAAGGTATCTAGACTATTGATGTTCGCTTTCCCCTGAGTCACATGCGGTTTGGATCTGCTTATTCAAGATGCTGAAACAGGGATAAGGACGTTGCTTTTTTTCTGGTTTTAATTGGCAGGGAAGGGTTGATTATTAGAAAGGAAGAAATGGTCAAGATATACGGGCCTCACAGACCTTTGGGAAGCATTTAAAAGCCATTTAAAACACACGAGACGGACTAAGAAAGGAAAGGCTTGACCTATGCGTTTAAACACGTGGAGGATTGTGCATCGATTGTCGGGGGAAGGAACTCACTGTTGCTGGGTGTGGAGGCGGCAGCCGGGTGGCTCCAGTCACTCCAGATGCCAGGCTTCCTGGAGCCGTAGATGCCCACCGGATTGCACCTCACCTGGACAAAATAGACGGTGCCGGGCCGGAGGCCTGCGAGCCGACAGGATGTCTGGTTACCCACATCATCCACCACCTTTTGATCGGAGGGGAAAGGCAGGAGGATGATGTAATAGAAGACAACTTAATTCCAACCATGCATACATTTTCTCAATGTTGCTTTTTCTTCTCGCTACAGAACAGTCGAACTGATTTAATGAATACATTTTGAACGTATAGATATGACATTTTTTATCATTCGATTCCGAATCCTCAGCAAACACCTACAAGGCCGACACAAAATATAAAACAAGCTGTGGACAGAATATATTAAAGACGGAATTTAAGCGTCACTAGGGAACTTCTGGAGGAAATCCAGGGTTAAGAATGTACCAGCAAACAATAAAGCAGCAGTGTTGTCTGCTTTGTAATAAAAGCCACATGCGGGAGTCTAACGATGCGGAGGGAGCTACTTTTATGTTCATCATTTAATGGATCGTCAATGCTAAAATGTTTCCACAGCTGCCACAGAGGTGTCACCGCAGAAGAGAGAGAGTGTGCGCGCCGGCTGCAGGTTTGCATGTGCGTGGATCACCTTCCATTCGGCGCTGTCCTCCAGTCTGTAGCGTATCTGGTATTTGGCCTGAAACAGGATGTCCTTGAGCTCGGGGGGGCTGGCCCACCGGACCGTCAGCTGGTCCTCAAGGTCGCCCACGCGACTCACATGCACGCTGGCAGGAGGATCAGTGGTCACTGCACGCAGGAGGAAAGGTGTAAAACGTTGGCACGCAGCAGATGCGCGGCGGTCAGAGCAAGGATACGGGATACAAAAGGTTTGGATGAACTCCTGAGAGAGATCTTAACCCACCATTCTTTATGCTGAGGATTGTCAGTACACTAGAACCAGTGCTTAAAGAGTGAATTCATCTGGCCTCCCTGAGGAAGCTGAAACACGGACTCAGAGTGGGTCATGTTCAAAGACCCATCCACGTCCCCTGGCAGATTTTCAATGAGAAGCTTAAAATGCACAGTGGCGCAAAGGCGCCGTGGGGGGGGGAAAACCTCTTCTGAAAACCCTCGGGACATTTTCTTTTTCTTCTTTTTGGGCGTCATGTGGAGGTGGGGGACACCCCCCCGTGGAGGGACCCAAATGAAACCCAGGGAAATTAGATTTCCCGTTTGGGGGGGGGGGGGGGGGGGCACAGAGGTGTGTCTCTGCTCTTGATGGTCTCCTTCAGATGATGTGGTTCTGGTGGCTCCTACAAAGCGTGACCTACTGGGGCGGGGACGTGGTCGGGATGATAGCCAGGAAGTCTGGGGCCATGGACGGCTGCTGGAAAACGGTGGATCGCTCACCGCTCGTTGAGAAGGAGTCACTACCCCCCCCCGAGCAGGTATCTCAGGGGACAAACTCTACCACTTAGAGGTTTTTCCTGAGCCGTCCAACTGGTGAGACGCGGACGACGCTGGAGGGATTATAAATCTGCTCCGGCCCGGGAACGGGCTCTGGGTTTTTACCCAGGTAGAGAGACATCGTGATAAGACAGCTGCTCTCGTGAGCAATGGTCTAAATCGTCACCAAAAGCTATGCAGGTTTTGGGGGGGTACCTTCCCTTCGGGGTCAAATGTTGCAGCCACTCATCCGGGCGCCAGTAAATACTGTTTACGAGAGAGCAGTTTGTGTAATGTGGAGAGAAATGCACCAACGTTCCGTTCTCCGGTTTGTGTGAGGTGTGCAAACCGACCGAAACGTGTCATAACAAAAAATGCAAACACAGCGGGTGAATAATTTCCATCTGTGAGCAAAATAAATATAACGATGTTTATATTAACAGATGTTAACAGAATTACACAAGAGTTAATTACTAGACAAACTGTTCCACTTTGGAAGGCAAAGGAAGGCCATTTCGGACGAGAAGAGTACAGCGTGTTCCCTCATTCAAACATTTTTACCGATCGCGATTAAACCGTTGTAAACAAGTCCAGGGCTTTGATGGGACGACAGAGATAAGAGGAACTTATTAAAGAACCTGTAAGTGTTTCCTGTTTGTGACCTCCTGCCTCAGATATCTTTTGATGGATGATGCCATTTTTCAGCTTTATTAGTTATTTTGCATTCAACTCAACAGAGAACGAGAGAGGGAAACAAAGCCAGAACAAATACGCTCCCGGCCTATTGTTGTGCTTATTCCTCCTTTTTTTCGAACCCGCACCTGTTCCTCAGTTAGCAGTGAAGATCAATGGCCGGAGAGGATGCAATAAACACTCCACGCCTGTCGCTCCTACGCCGTAACCTCCATTTCTCGTCAGAAAACCTGCGAGGCCCTTTCGCCCAGAGAGGCGAACTTTTACAACCCCACGGTTTCTTTGAGAGAAGCAGCCTGAACTCATAATGCCTTTACAGAGGCGGGCCGGAGCGAGAGAGAGAGAGGGAGAGCGAACCATAAAAATGAAGTGTGTTGGCCATATGCAGGAGGCCTTGCATACAAACAAATGGAACGGAAGAAAGGAGAAAGAAACCAAAAGGGACCAAAGGAACCGTGAAGGAAACAATGGCCACCCACCTACATCGAGGACGTCCAGGGTGATGATGTCAGAGGTGGCGGAGCCCAGCTGATTGGCCGCCTCCACCCAGATCTCGTACGGGGTGAAGAGGGCCAGGTTGCGGGGGATGTAGCAGGAGTAACGGTGCTTCCCCGTGCTGTAGATTTCACACTCCTTCTCCCTCCCGTACCACCTGGACGGAAAACGGACGCAATGAGCCAAAAATCAGCTCCGACCGTTTTCTGCAGAGGCGCACTGAGCACGAAGGCCGAGGGAGAAGGCGAGTGAGACAATCACGCGGCACGCCGGAGCATTTATTGCTAGTCTACCTGGGTGGTGTCGGACGGGGTGAGCACCTGTAAGCTGCAGCCGGTCGGGGCGCTCACCTCAATTTGTACTTAAGGGTGTATTTGGTTCGGACGTGGGTCTCACCCCGCCCCCCCGGGCTCCACCTGCAGCTCAAGTCCTTCGTGTTGTGGGACCAGCATGTTAAATTGACTGGCTTTTCTGGCGGGACTGGAGGGGAGAAAACAGACAACAAAAGTCAGACGGTGAAATGAAGTCGTTTTAAGTATTTGACGAAATAGTACAGGTAGTGTTAAACTTATTTTATCGTGAAATTTACTAAATACAAAGGCTATGTGTGTCCATGTACGTTACTAAATGTAGGGACAATTTAGAAATCCAACATACCGGTTAAGAACGATCAACAACCCCCCTCCCCCTCCTCCCCCTTGCTCCCTCCTCACCCCCCTGAGGCGTTTCCATGTCCCTCCACTTACTGCCCACGTAGAGACACGAGCCGGCCAGGACGTGTCCGTCCGCCCCGTGGCACACCAGGTTGTCCCCGGACTGCTGCCGGGAGCCGCTGAGGTTGTGGAGCGTGACGCTGAGGGTGTCGGGGCTCACCAGGCTGTAGGTGCTGCTGGACAGGCTCATCCCGTTCAGGGCCCAGTACAAAGTGCTGGCGTGGAGGCCCAGCTCGGGGCTGAGCGTGCACGTGGCCGTCAGGCTGGAGCCGATACGCAGGACCGGGTCCTGAGGGGAGATGACTGCAGCTTCTGGACGGTGGAAACACACGGAGATGTTAAGAGGTCCATCAGGTCCGTATTACCAGAGCTTAAAAGGTGCGGACTTCAAATAGCTTTTTGTGTATTCATTTGAGAAAAAGACAAAACCAGGAAGAGACACAAATTAGGAATTAAAGAGTGGAACCTGCAAATGTGTTGGCGGTTTTGTTTGATAAATCAGAATCAGAACAGGTTGATGGCCACTCATACGTTGCACATGTTGAGACGGTGCAGACATTAAAATAACAAATAGACAACATGTACACAGTGCAAGGAAAAGCGATGAAAAAATGAATAATATTACATTTTACACGTAAGTGTCCAGCTTATTAAATATAGAATAGAGATGATGTGAGAAAATATTCCAATTGGAATGCAGATGATTATTTGAATACCATTGACTTCAATGACCAGTCTAATGAATTATAACAAATTAGAATTAATCAACTCAGTAGTTTAGAGCTAATTTAACAAACCAGGAATGTAAATACAGTTTTAGTTTAGATTTCACACAGCAGACGGTCCATTTCTTTTTTAAACTAGACAAAAATACAGATGTACATTCATTCAGATTTTTTTTCAAGCTACAAGAAATGAAAAGTCACTAAAGTATGAAGATACGCCAAACGTTTGCATTCTCTAAACCTGGATTTGACCCCTTAGGTCCTGTTTTGCTTTTAAAATTCCCAGCCTATAAAGAGAACTTTGTGTTTGTGCGAAGAGTGCGGTCGCACTGCACCACGACACTGCAGCAGCTCAGCACACATTCATGAGCCGGTAATGAGGGCGATTTATGGAGCCTCGATGGGATCAGTCAGCAAGGTCTCCCTGGTTGTCGGTAAAACGCTTTTCCATATAACCCCTCTTATGATTGATGCCCATGAGAAATGTTACCAGTGGACTGCTTCTTTTCGGATATATGAGGGTAGTTTTATTAACCCTGCTCCAGGTGGGCGGCGGACAAGCTTTCCAACACATGTGCCACTGCGCTGATTCCAGCAGCCTCTAATGTGAAGGCTGTACAGAGATAAAAACTCTTCACGCAGAAAGAACGAGCAACGACCTTTGGGCCTATACGGGATATTCAATATTAAACGGTGTGAAATCTAAATTAAAACAATTGCAAACATGCAGGTGTTTTACATGTTTGTTTTTTCAACAGAGGCACTGCTTGCAGATCATTTTCTAATTCTATTTTCTAATTATAACTATTAAAAACTTGGAATGTTATCATCTTTCCTGCGATGAACAGTCCTTTGAATTTCTCTCCTCAGCCACATCCTAACCGTGTGTAATATGTCTGTCCACCATTAGGTTTACAATCACGTCTAATAATCACTCTCATGAGTGGTCACTGTGCCTTCATTTTAGTGGACAATGATGGGATTAAGATTGTACAATTTGTCCACCAAAAAGCACAGGCAGGTTTATTTTAGACTGTAAAATGATCCACTAAGTACCGCTGGTCACAAAACTCTATAACTAAGAAATCCTTAAGAGAAAAGTTGATGGTAAATACGGGTATGAGCTAATATAAAGTTACAAATGTGTGTGTATATATATATATATATATATATGTTCAACATCTACTATACGTCAGGCTGTAATTTTAATACAATTTCTTAATTTAATAGTTTCTTAATTTGACGCTGATATTCCTGGTTTGTTATTTTAACCATTAACGCCTTCATCATTAACATCATTTTCCATCATCAAAATATTTTAAAAAGTAATAAGCAACATCAAACTAAATACATATACGGGGATAATAAGTATTTCGACACTAGCCACCCTTTTATGGTTATTAATGATTAGAGGTGCTTATGTGGAAATGTGCGACTAATCATGCTGATTTTAAGGACGTTGATTTGAAACTGGTTGCATTGGTTCGAAGCCTCCGTGGAGCAGCAGCTCACTAGAAGGTTTAAGTTGGCCCACGTACCCGGTGCGCACGGACAGGCGCGCGGTACTGCGCGGCGGGTACTCACGTCTCGACGCCAGCAGCGCATGTGGAACCAGGAGGAGGAACAGCACCGAGGGGAACATGGTTCCTCCTGCTCCTCCCGAGGCTTCCGGGACGCGCCGAGGTAAAGTCGGAGGAAGGAGGCGAGCGGAGCGCGGTCTCTCCTCGGACCGAATGGCGGCTCTCCGGCTGAAGGCTGCGGACCGAAGTCGCTGGAGGAGATCCGGGACGCGGATCCTTCTAACTCCGCGGGGACTCTGCTGCTGGAACACTCGCGTTTGTGCTCCTCCTCCTCCCTCGTTTTCCAAGCAACTTCAGTCATTAGTGCTGCTCATTGTGTCTCCTCCCTGAGACGCGCGCGCGCACACACACACACACACACACGCACACAGAGGAATTGAGAACAACTTTAAGTTCAACATTAGGTAAATTAAAGGCACTTCTTATTGTGTTTCATTGATAGACAGCTTCAGGTGAGGTTGTGCTCAATAAAATAGAACTTCCGGTATGTGAATATAATAATTAAAACAGCTACTGCTCCCATAACACTAACATATCTAAACACTAATATTTCTTATATATATATATATATAAAATGTTAAATATATTTTCCAAACTAATACATATATAGATATTTAAATATATATACATTGATATTTATATATATATATATATATTTGCTTCTCTCATATATATATATATTTGTTCAACATCCACTATTAAACTATTAGTTTTTTTACTTTTCTGCATTGGAAAAAAATTGGATTCTTGTAACTGAGTATTTCAAAGTGCTGTAGCCTGTTTTTTTCACGTAGCATTTGTTCCATTATAGCACATATTAACAAACCGCAGATGAAATGACATGAAATCAGCTGTTAACACTCTGATGTGTAACCGTCATCCGTTTGTGTTGCAGCAGCATCTTAGACCTTCAACATTGATTATTTATGAACTATCAATACTTCAACAAACGGTCCATCTGTCCAATCTGCACAGCATCTGCCACCCGCAGCTTGGTCTCTTTTTTTTATGAATATCAACCCGACCACATTGTGCACTGCAGTGAAGGCAGCTCTGCAGGTTGTGTGTTTGTGGGGAGGGAGGGGGGCAGCTTGTGCGTGGTGGTGATGATGATGATGCGTGTGACGCCACGAGCAGGAGCGCAGCAGCAGACAGGACCCGGGCTGAAGCAGCAGCAGCAGCAGCGCCGCCACTAAATACTAGAATATTATTATATTAATTTTTGCAGGCTAAATTGTGGTATATGTGCATACAGACCATATAGGTCTCCTGTATTGCTTATATACACATATAAGCCCTATGTACATACAAGATATGTCTTATACAGCTCATGGCAGGATCTGGTCATTATACAGCTCATATCTCACTGTCATACATGATGCCTAGCTCATATTATTATCAAAGCATTAATTAAGAACTAAGTAAAATAAAAATTCTGAAAGAACTTAGTAATTAGTATCACGTGTATATGTGATGTTATGGAATTTAACTATGGCAATTAAGTGAGAGGAGATGGAAAGCTCTGATGGCTACACATTTTCAAATCTTTCTTGTATGAAGATAGTGGTAAAGAAGAAAATGTATAACAAAATGGCTCGTGTTTTTATTTTATTTTGTCAATCAAGCCTTTTTTTTGCAATGTCAAGTCACTTATTCACATTACAGCTCATACACATCCACACATTCACATTAATGCAGTTTCTAAATGAATATGGCTGAAAGGTCATTAGTCTAAATGTAGCAAAAAGTAATCTTCATCATCATCCCATATCTATCTGAGTATTTCACTGTGGTTAATTAATTTGAACACAATGTCAACATTTCCGTACACGGTTTTAACGAACAGACACTTTCATTTCCAAAAAGAAGAGCATGCGAGAAGAGAGGAGATGAGAAAAGAGAGAGAAAGAGAGAGGGAGGCATAGAGAAAGCGGGAGACAGGAGGGAGGGATACAGTTGGAGGGAGGTAGGGACACACAGACAGATAAGGAGACAGAAGCATTCCCGCTATGCCACATATGTTTACATGATACCTGTAGCTGGTAGCTTTGTAGCTAGCTTCTAGCATGTTACTTTCGTTTACGTCTTCGCTTAGTTCTTTCTGGAACGGATGCTTCGTCGTTGACGAGGTACCTTTTGTAACGTACTGGATCCATTATTTTTCTTTATTTGTTGCTTATTTACCACAGACCGTAAAGCATACTGGCAAGCATGTATCCACTCTGCTCCGATCGGCCGCTACAGAGTCGCGTGCGAATGACGTCATCAACCGCGCTGGGCCACTTGTTGATGACGTCATTCCCATGCAGGCGCGAACGCGCCGAAAGATAACGGCTGGGACTAAGTATAAAGTATTAAAAATGGAGACATCAGCGTTCCGCTATGTCCTACTTGAATGGACTGAGGGTGATGATCGTGGGGCGCATAGTATTTTGGCGATGGACTGTGTCCGGAACTTTTCAGTTCAAGATTTTTTTGCCTCGACTGAACAAAACGAGAAGCTGGTGGAATGACGAAAAGGCCGCCAACCCTGGCCGGTTCACCGAGCCAAAATTGTTGACGTGGCAAGTAAGTTATGTTACATTTCTATTATGTATATCACATTAAATTTTGCTCGCACTTAAAGAAGTGTAAAATGGATCTTGTTACCTGACTAGCTTAGTATGCTGGCTGTTAGCTACCTAATTTGCTAATGCTACCTAAGTCTCTTAATTGGGACTAATGCTACGTTTGGTAACGTTAAACATGATTAGACAAACGTTTGCAGTAAACATTTCAATTTTATTGCACCAGAATTTGAAAAACCTCTCCAAATTAAACTGCGTGAGATTGAGGTGGAGAAAGAGGGCACACAAACAAAACGTCCTCACATCCCAAACTCAAAGTACATTGAGCAGCAGGGGAAGACTGAGAAGGCTTCAAAAAAAAAGGTAACTGACTGCACCAATTGGTGCTTTAGTTCAAGTTATCTCCCCTCTCTTGTTTCTTAATGTGTAGGCATGTTTGTAGATTTGTAATTGTGTCATCTTTGATGATTTAATGTGCTTTGACAAGATATATGTGCAAGCTGGTGTAACGCAAGTTAATAAGAGTTGAGCTAAAAGTCAGTCTGTGTCTTTCTGTCGGTTGACAATAAAAAGGGAGGGTCTTCCAAATACAAGCACCAGGAGGGTGAGAAGCAGGAGGAGGGTCATGACAGACTTTCAAAGAACAAGGTACACTACCAGTCGTCCTGTGTGTGCTGTTACATTACAATACATTCATGGTTCCTCTGTTTCTCCCTCTCCCTCCAAAGGTTGCCGTGAAAAAGAAAAATCTTTCTAAATACGAGGAGGAGGAGGAGGAGGAAGTGGATGATGAGGCACGTCATGACACAAAGAACAAGGTACACTACCAGTCTGCATCCAGTGTGTGTTATTACATTGCAATACAGTAAAGATAAGTAAGACTTTTATAATAAAGTGCATTACCAGTAGCTGTTACAAGGTATGACACCAGCACAGTAGGCAACTTTGTCCTCTCTCTTTCTCTCTCCCTCCCAGCGGGCCAGAGAAGAGGAGGAGCATATTGGGGATGAAGACGACAAAGTACCAGCCTCAAAGAAAAAGGTAGCCTAAATGATGACATCCGGTGTGTGGTGTAGACGTCTGTGCCGTAGACGTCTTGCTACCTTCCTCTTACATTTCTTATGACATCCTCCCAGAAAATCAGAATCAACCATTTACAAAAGTTAAAGTTATATAACAATTAGCTGTTGTTCTTCTCTGTATTTCTCTTTCTCATAGAGTGCTGCTGAATTTAGAAAGCAACTGGACGAACAGATGTGGGAGAGAAAAAAAATTGAACAAATGCAAAGAAATTTGCAGGAGTTGCGAAATGAAGTTCAGTCTCTCAAAAGTGAAAATGCACATCTGAAAGATGTTCTGGAATGGGAAGCAACCTGAATGGTACAAAAACATGTTGCTAATCTCTTCTGTCCTTAAAAAAACAAAAAACAAGTCAGTCATATTCTGTGTAATGAATCATGTTTGTGTGCGGGCATACCATCGCTTTTGTACTTGCCATTTTTGTATTTCCTTGCACCTCAAGAAAACGTAATGTGTGTGTGTTACGACCCCCTGGATGGTCTAGGGGTGCGGGGACCATAAACATATAGGCAGAACCTGGTCGGGTGTAAAAGGGTAGTATTTATTGGCAACCAGAGGTAAACAGGCACGTAACAACAAACAAAAGGAGGGTGGATGAGGGTGCTGTGAAAAGACAAACTAAGTAAAATAAAAGAGATCCCCAAAAGGAGAACTATGCCTGAATATACGTTAAAACAAACAGTAGGCGCTTACCATAAAAAACACAAAGAGCACAGCACCCACTACACCTATGAAGCTAACAAACACAGAACTACGTGTGGTGAAATCAGTATAGACTCTGGCCCTAACTCACCCCCTTTTGTCAGCTCCGTGCTGGCAAAAACACACAGAACCAAAGCACAGTTCTCTACCCAGTTGCACTCAATTACAAACACAGAAGGCACACAAGTCCACTGGCCAAGACAAGCCACCCCGAGCCACTGGTGGGCTCTCCTTAAGAGCTGGAGGTAAGGCTGCGATGGTGACCTGCCATTGGGCGCGCTGGGACAGGGTGGACGAATGGGTGGAGCTGGAGTGAACCTGTGGGGCTCCACCGAAACCAGGAAGTAGGCGGGGCTTCAGTCCACAGGGCCGCACAGCCTACTTGGTACAGACAAGACAGAAATACAGACCACGGTGACAGCCGTAACAGTGTGTATATATATAAAAAAAACTCTTGCTTACTCCACCTTCAAATGCATAATGTGTTGAGAAGGGAAAACAAAACTTTTAAGACTTTATAAGTTCACCACTTTAACCATAGCCTACTTGTATCAATGTTTATTAGGCATCAATGGAGACTGCATAAGGTATGGGCACAATAACAGTGGGTAGACAGGTAAATAATATCAATATATACAGCAAGACAGATCACACCCAGGCCCCGAATCCACCTCCTCAAAGTGATCCACTCGCCACCGAGTCGGAGGTTCCTCTGTCATCCTCACTGGCACCATCAAGGTTGTTCCAGTTTTCTCCATACGTTTGTGTCACTTTTCCATTTTTTTACAAGATGTGAAAATATATTTAGGGTGTTATTGAATAAACATTCACATACAAATACCAGTCTTTCATGAGATTTTAATGAAAGTTTATATTTATTATACAAGTATTTGATTCTATAGGTCAGAATGACTTATTATACTCAGTCTTTTGTTCCTGTAGAAACTCCACGTCCGCCGTCGCTGGCAGTTATCGACCAGCTGCTCAACAAACCCCGTGAGCAGAAAGACACACTGAAGCTTGTGGACCAGGACTACGCTGCTCTAGTTCACAACTCCTGTACAGACCCCAACAGCATGCTCCACCCAACAACAAAACTACATATTCTACAATATGTAAAGCACCTCAGCAAATTGTTGAACACCAGTTCCTCTTTAAACGTCAGTCCAGAAAAACTGTAAGAGAGGCAGAAACTCTCTGACAGAGGTGAGTGAGACCACTAGTGTGCCAGTTGTTACGATGTCTGTTGCTATTGTTCACCCACCTCCACCTGTTCAGATGCTGACACAAGCTTCTATTGAGAAGATTGTACTCAACATCATGGAAAAGCAGCAGCAACATAAACAGGAACAACAACAACAACCAAGTTAATATATTTCAATTACTAATGTCTACATGTGTAATAAGTGAAAATAAGTGAATCACTGTAGTGAACAGTAAAATAAGTTGGTCTGTAAGTACAATCTAGTGATAACCAGTAGACAGCAGATTGGGGTAAACATTTCCTTTATTGTTATTTGAGAAGGATGAGGTAGGATGGAGTGGGAGGTGAAGGAAGGTGTTCTTACAGGTGTCCTGTCTCAGGCACGTTGATGTTGACGTCCCGGATGGTCTCCTTTTTCTTCTCTTCTCTCTCCTATTTCTTTGTCTCCTTGTCCTGTATCTTGCGCCTCATTTTGTCCATCTCCGTCTGCCGGTCTTTTTTTTTTTTTTTTTAAGTACATGCAGATGTATTCAAGGACTCTTTTGTCCTCTAATTCTTGGATCCTGGGGATTAAGATCTGATGTTCTTTGGGGATAGTATCCTCTGTTTGTTGGATCTTAGAGATCAGGCACAACTCAGTGAAACCACTGCTTGTAACCATCTCGTGGTGGGTATCCTCTAGGCAGGTTGTAAAAAAAAAATGAAATGAAATGTGTGCAATAGAAATTAACAGTACAGTTAATTAAAGCTGACCAATAAAAAAATAAAAACTAACAAAACAATATTTACTTAAATGTACAAAATAAGGCAGAAATGAGGTAAGGGAAATGTGCAAACCTGATTAGGTTGTAAAAAAAAATAAGCAGCCAGAGAGGGATCTTTTTTTTTTTTTTAGATCTTTCTTATTTAGATCTCTTTTTTCAGATCTCTTTCTTTTTTTTTTTTTTAGATCTTTTTGAGTTTTTTTCAGAATTTCTTTTTTTTCAAGGTAGATGGATGAGGTAGGATGGAGTTGGAGGTGAAGGAAGGTGTTCTTACAGGTGTCCAGTCTCAGGCACGTTGATGTTGACGTCCTGGATGGTCTGCTTTTTCTTCTCTCTTCTATTTCTTTGTCTCCTTGTCCTGCATCTTATGCCTCATTTTGTCCATCTCCGTCTGCCGGTCTTTTTTTTTTTTTTTTAAGTACAGGCAGATGTTTTCAAGGACTGTTTTGTTGTCCTCTAATTCTTGGATCCTGGTGATACGGATCTGATGTTCTTTGGGGATGGTATTCTTTTTTTCAGAATTTTTTTTTCAGGGTAGATGGATGAGATAGGATGGAGTGGGAGGTGAAGGAAGGTGTTCTTACAGGTGTCCAGTCTCAGGCACGTTGATGTTGACGTCCTGGATGGTCTGCTTTTTCTTCTCTCTCCTATTTCTTTGTCTCCTTGTCCTGCATCTTATGCCTCATTTTGTCCATCTCCGTCTGCCGGTCTTTTTTTTTTTTTTTAAGTACAGGCAGATGTTTTCAAGGACTGTTTTGTTGTCCTCTAAGTCTTGGATCCTGGCGATAAGGATCTGATGTTCTTTGGGGATGGTATTCTTTTTTTCAGAATTGTTTTTTTTTCAGGGTAGATGGATGAGATAGGATGGAGTGGGAGGTGAAGGAAGGTGTTCTTACAGGTGTCCAGTCTCAGGCACGTTGATGTTGACGTCCTGGATGGTCTGCTTTTTCTTCTCTCTCCTATTTCTTTATCTCCTTGTCCTGCATCTTATGCCTCATTTTGTCCATCTCCGTCTGCCGGTCTTTTTTTTTTTTTTTTTAAGTACATGCAGATGTTTTCAAGGACTGTTTTGTTGTCCTCTAATTCTTGGATCCTGGTGATAAGGATCTGATGTTCTTTGGGGATGGTATCCTCCGTTTGTTGGATCTTAGCGATCAGGCACAACTCAGTGAAACCACTGCTTGTGACCATCTCGTGGTGGGTATCCTCTCGGCAGGTTGTCAGAGAAAAATGAAATGAAATGTGTGCAATATAAATTAACAGTACAGTTAATCAAAGCCGCCCAATTAAAAAATAAAAAATAACAAAACAATATTTAAATAAATGTACATGAAATAAAAATAAGGCAGAAATGAGGTAAGGGAAATGTGCAAACCTGATTAGGTTGTAAAAAAAATAAGCAGCCAGAGAATCCCTCTGGGATCTTTTTTTTTTTTTAGATCTTTCTTATTTAGATCTCTTTTTTTTCAGATCTCTTTTTTTTTTTTTTTTTTTTTAGATCTTTTTTTTTTTTTTTTAGATTTTTTTTTTTCAGGGTAGATAGATGAGGTAGGATGGAGTGGGAGGTGAAGGAAGGTGTTCTTACAGGTGTCCAGTCTCAGGCACGTTGATGTTGACGTCCTGGATGGTCTGCTTTTTCTTCTCTCTACTATTTCTTTATCTCCTTGTCCTGCATCTTATGCCTCATTTTGTCCATCTCCGTCTGCCGGTCTTTTTTTTTTTTTTTTAAGAACATGCAGATGTTTTCAAGGACTGTTTTGTTGTCCTCTAATTCTTAGCGATCAGGCACAACTCAGTGAAACCACTGCTTGTGACCATCTCGTGGTGGGTATTCTCTCGGCAGGTTGTAAAAAAAAAATGAAATTAAATGTGTGCAATATAAATTAATAGTACAGTTAATTAAAGCCGACCAATTAAAAAATTAAAAAATAACAAAACAATATTTAAATAAATGTACATGAAATGAAAATGAGGTAAGGGAAATGTGCAAACATGATTAGGTTGTAAAAAAAATAAGCAGCCAGAGAATCCTTCTGGGATATTTTTTTTTTTTTTAGATCTTTCTTATTTAGATCTCTCTTTTTTTTCAGATCTTGTTTTTTTTTTTTTTTTTTTTTTAGATCTTTTTTAGTTTTTTTTAAATTTCTTTTTTTTCAGGGTAGATGGATGAGGTAGGATGGAGTGGGAGGTGAAGGAAGGTGTTCTTACAGGTGTCCAGTCTCAGGCACGTTGATGTTGACGTCCTGGATGGTCTGCTTTTTCTTCTCTCTCCTATTTCTTTGTCTCCTTGTCCTGCATCTTATGCCTCATTTTGTCCATCTCCGTCTGCCGGTCTTTTTTTTTTTTTTTTAAGTACAGGCAGATGTTTTCAAGGACTGTTTTGTTGTCCTCTAATTCTTGGATCCTGGTGATACGGATCTGATGTTCTTTGGGGATGGTATTCTTTTTTCAGAATTTTTTTTTCAGGGTAGATGGATGAGATAGGATGGAGTGGGAGGTGAAGGAAGGTGTTCTTACAGGTGTCCAGTCTCAGGCACGTTGATGTTGACGTCCTGGATGGTCTGCTTTTTCTTCTCTCTCCTATTTCTTTGTCTCCTTGTCCTGCATCTTATGCCTCATTTTGTCCATCTCCGTCTGCCGGTCTTTTTTTTTTTTTTTTTTTTAAGTACAGGCAGATGTTTTCAAGGACTGTTTTGTTGTCCTCTAATTCTTGGATCCTGGTGATAAGGATCTGATGTTCTTTGGGGATGGTATCCTCCGTTTGTTGGATCTTAGCGATCAGGCACAACTCAGTGAAACCACTGCTTGTGACCATCTCGTGGTGGGTATCCTCTCGGCAGGTTGTAAAAAAAAAAGAAATGAAATGTGTGCAATATAAATTAACAGTACAGTTAATTAAAGCCGACCAATTAAAAAATAAAAAATAACAAAACAATATTTAAATAAATGTACATGAAATAAAAATAAGGCAGAAATGAGGTAAGGGAAATGTGCAAACCTGATTAGGTTGTAAAAAAAATAAGCA